TAAATGATCAGCATTGCGAGGGTCCTCGATAAGAGTAATGGGTACAGAAATGAAACCAGTAGTTTTGTCACCTGAGGTGAATGCTTGAAGGAAAGTATTGTCATTGTGATTGTAATTGATGTTAGCAGAGTACCAGTGGAGCCAGGGTTGCCCTAGTATGCCATCATATCTCCCATGTTCATGGGTACTCATGAAGAAATGGTGGTCGAAATTGCGACCTTCGATTTGCACTGGGGCATCACGAACACATCCAAGAAGGGGGATGGGAGATCCATTGATCCCTCGAAGTGACCAGCGAGAACCATCCTCATCAATAGGTGTTTTGGATTGCTCCCAGACATGGCAAGTGATGAGATTGAGTTCGGAACCAGGGTCTACAAAGAAGGTGACTTCTTCTCCTCCAAATAGGCCCTTGACAGTCCCAGATGCTTTGGCGTAGAATCTTTTTGCACTTTTGAGAGATATAGCTCCTGCAAATCTGTCGAGGAAAGGAGGTAAGTCTGAAGAGTCACCCTCCCATGTTAGCAAAGCAGATCCGGGATCACAGTTATCGAGAATCTCCAAGCGGTTGTGTGTAACAGAATCATTGTCAGTATCTGAAGCTGATTCAACAGTAGGTTGCTAACTGTACGAAACATTGTGAGCGGAAAACTCGCGTCGGGTCTTTACCAAATTGCCTAAATGTTTCTGCAGGTCAGGGGATATGCCGATGAGTTCCTTGAGTGAAAGTGTTGTCTTCTGGTCTAGCAGTCATTTCAATATGTCTTCGGGAGAAAGGTCGGATTGGATGTCTGAGGTGAAGCGGTATGCTGACTTGTCTTTGGTACAATCATGCATGGAATCGTAAGGAGGTCTTCTCTCTAGCTGTTTATTCTTCTGACTGGATTTCCACCCTTTCCATGTGTTGATAGGATGAGGTGCAGAAGGTGGTTCAGGAGGATGGTCATCGACTGGAGTGAAGTGGAGTGAATTGTCAGGAGAGGTATGGATAGTGGGTCGGTTAGGAGTGTCTGTGGAGGGTGGTGTAGTAGATGGGGAAGTTGTAGTATCCGGTGAACGATGAGTGCAGAATCAAACATGTTTCTTAAGAGGGGTCGTCTGAGCTTCTGTATCAGTTGCAGTGGCAGTCTTATGTTGAGAACGGGTCATAGCAGGGAATGAATGGTATGTGGAAGAAGATAAGGTGAAGATGTCGTTGTCAAGAACTTGATGGTCATCGCGATATAAGCCAATAGTCATGCATGTGCACTGATGGGGAGGTGGATCACGGAGATTGCCTTTGGATAAAGTGTCTTGTCGAAGTACCGTCGCCATACTGCCAGGTACTTGTGAAAACACAATTTCAACGTCGTCTGAAGGTCGAGCAAGATGGCCGGTGACAGGGTTGAACTTGACGAGGCCCTCGTTGATGAGTTTCATGACTTCTGGGCAAGAATGGACACCAAGAGGATGGTCTAACGTAGAACCCTGCATTTTACCACAGATGAAGCAGGAACATGGAACGATAGTCAGTGGTGTGAGAGCATTGGGTGTATGGTATAGTGGAGGTGCGGGGGTAGATGAATAGGCAGTCATGTATTGCCGATTGGAGTCTGATGAGACTTCTAGAGTGCTGAGTCTCTCATTGATGTGACTGACCAATGTTTCAGATTCGAGGAGTTTCTGGCATAGTTTCTTGACTTCATCACTTTTGGGGGTTTCAGTCTTCACCTTGGACTGTGCTTTGATGTGAGACCATTGTTGATTGGAAGAGTCGGGACTGGAAGAGGAAGGATCAGAGTCTGTGGCAGAGTTGGAAGATGAGCTCCCAGTGCTGGGAGATCTATGGCGTCAGGACTTGTTCTTATTGTTGCAGTTCTTTTTCTTATCATTCATGTGGTGCTGATGCCCTTGGTCATCAGAACCGGAGGAATCCAGACCATCTGAAGAATAATCAATATCTTCTACACTAAAATGTTTACGTACCACGTCAACCATTCTAGAGATGGGTGGCGGGTTCTTAGTGGACAATGGTTTGTTTTCAGCTTGAGCGAGGGTGACAAGTACATTTTTGATGCTTCTGCGGAGACTTCTAGGTAGTGCCTTATAGAAGATCTTGTTGCATTCGTTGTCAGTCAGTATACCTTTTGTAGCCAGATTGCCTTGCCATTTCGTGAATTCGCGGAAGAATTTATCGAATTCTCTTTGATTCTTGAACTGGTGGTCTCGATTTGCGAAGCTGCAGAGGCTCTCTGGAGACCTAGCTTCTTTGTCTTTTGCTGAATAGTAGTAAAATAACCGTTCCTTAGCAATAGTCCAATCGGCGCCATCAAATATGGTCTTCTCTACCGCTAGAGTAGCTTTGACATTTGAAGAGCAGTACCAGAGCACCAGAGGAGGGAACTGATTCTCAGTGAGTCCTGCACTGTGAGTGGTAGATTTGAGAATTTCTATAAATCTGGTGGTATCGTGACCGTCAAAATAGGGAGCCTTGTGTGATCTTGGAATCGGTAGGGGGATGCTGGAGAAGACCACTGTAGCGGCCTGTGGTTGAGACATTGGTAAGGTAGTTGAAGCAGAAGTTGTTGGTGAAAAATGTGATGAAACCAAAAGAGACTAGTTGGCAATGGGAAGGTTAAGAGACAAAGATGCAACAGGCAGGAATACGAGAGACGAAGAGGTGAGAGGTGAGGATACGAGAGATGGAGAAGCTAGTGGTGCCAGATACAAGAAGGACAGATTGACTGTGGAGAGATTCAGCGTAGGGATCGAGGAGGACGTAGATGCTTGAAGGACAGAATTGAGATTCTCGATATTTGTGCGGTTGGGTGAAAGGAAACTTGTCGATGTATGCGAAGATGGTGCAAGAAGTGAAGAATTGAAAGGGGAAGGCCCTACTGAGTTCAGTGAGATGGGCAGAAATACTGCTGTAGGGAAAGATGAGGAAATGGACGGGGAAGTATCAATGGGAGAAGGGGTGACAGACAACTCATCGTTTGAAGACGGAGTGAGGGGAGGCTTGGCTAGAGAGGGATGTAATGTTAAAGTTGGTATAGGCGATGTGACGGGTTTCTTTCAGATATTGTTCTTGCATTTGGAGGGAGATGAAGAAGGTCTTCTATTAGGATGACCCAGTGTTGGGTTGTCTTGTGAGCGCAGGCCATAGGACATACACTGCTGGTGGTTGAAATGGTCAGAAGGCCCAGGTTGTAACTACCCCCTGCAGTGGTCACCACTGTGGAAGAGCAGATCGGGCTGATAGTAAACAAACGGGAGATTCTGACTGACCGAAGTGGTCGATAGACTTTCTAAACTTGATATGACATGAGTATTGATGAATGATGATGGTTACTTATCAACAAAGACATGAAGATACGAAGAGGGTTATAAATGAATGAGATGACACTGGCTTAAGATGGTGACTGAAGAAGGGGGAAAAGGATGATGTTTCTCTGAAAGTCTGCTGTACTTATACATATTGAGGCCTTCCCTCGAGCTGTGCTATTGGCTGGGAGTACCAGAAAATAGAGAGGAAATGGCATCAAGTGAAAAGGAAGATGATGACATGGCGGGAAATATTACAATCGGGAGAGTTGCCTAATAGAGCTATTGTCTTTATACAAAAAAGGAAAGATGAAAGGGCTGTTTTGTCTTGTGGAGGAAAACCTAAACGCTGCAATCCTGATTGGTCGCCCGAGAGATATCTAGACTTCTGAGAAGCCCACCCTTTATTTACATATGCAGACATTGCCCAAGTGTCGCGAAGGGATGAACGACCTTCCATCATAGATGAAATCTCTAAGACTTCCGTGCAAGCTCAAAACGCGAAGGTAAGAGGAGAATGTAGCAGTGAATATGGAAAAAGTGAAGATAAAACGGTTGGAGAACTCGATTGTCAGATATGGAAAATATGAGAGAAAAGAAAAATTTATCTATGGTCTACCTTAACTCTTCCGTCGATGCGCGAGTCCGTTATCTGTGAAGGTAAAATCTGTAAAAAATGATAAGTAGCAGCAGTTCTTTCTTTACTACCACAGCATTCTAAACAAAAAGCCAGTATAAAACCTCCTCAGATGCTTGCTAGCCGAGGAGCCGTCGAGCGGCACCAGTACCACAGGGTCGGAATGGAGGAGGGGTTTCTAAACCTTGAATCTGGAGGGGGGTAGGTACCCCCCTTCCAGATGTAAACTGCTGCTAAAACACAGCATTTCGCCCTCCGCTGACTCCTTGTTGGCCCTCACGACTCGGCAGCTCCTCTTATGGTAAGAGAATTTGCTGACTCACCCATCTGCAACAATCTACAATGCCGTCAATTCTCGATGTTATGGATTAGCAAATTCTGCAGACTCAATGCAGTGCATCGTCCGCTTTACATCTAGAACTCACAATAAATGCTACGGAAAGGCATCCATTATCCTCGCAGTCAGTCATTTTCTAGTCTTTCTGTGCACCATGTGAACACGTTGGTCAACGCTATATTACCTATGTGCCGTTGACCCATTGCATTGTGAGTTCTGAGATTCTGCGATCTGATTGAAACTCAATGTTGACGCCAGAACGCAAACTCTCAGAACCGAGAGTTCCCCGTTCACATCTAAGAACTCATGTCTTTGCTCCACGTTCACTTTACCGGTGGCCAACTCTAACTCTGTCTTTGCCATGAGTTCCAAGCGTTACCTATCATGTCGAGTCTCAGCTTCTAGCATCCTAATGTAAAGAATCAGAAGATGCCAGAGGTGCTCATATGATCCTTATCTTGCAGGGCGTGTTGCTTTTTGTCTGGGATTGTCTTGTAAATGACAGCACAGATGAGGATCCGTGATCATCCCCACTCCCAAGTTCATCGGCAATAAAACGGTCAGGACATGGCGACAATTTGACGCATCGTCGTTCACCATCAATGTTTGGATTACATGACAAAACAGCATTAGGTTCATTAGGATGATGACCTGCAAGCTTTTCCGCTGCTATTTAAAGCTCCTCACTGCTCGGCATCCCTCTCCGAAATCAGGATTTTATTGGCTCCCAAGACTCTCTGACCATTGGCTCTGTAATGTCTTCCACCGACGACCCTCAATTTCCTAGCATTAACGAGCATATCATTGACCAAATCTGAACACTGAAATTCGAGCACTGGACCATTCATCACGGATTCATTTGCATTGCACGAACACTCGAGGATATCAATCTCTGTGTGAGGAGGTCGAAGCACAAATGATGTCAAATGATGATCAGTCAGTGGGAGGCGCTGCATAAGGTCACTCTGACTTTGGTCTTTTCCTACGCTTTGACTGAATCTGTGACACATAGAATTATATCGAGCTCCTGTGGAAGTTCAAAGATATTGCTGGATTTGCACGGAGTACTGCCATCGGTTTGTGTTGTATTGTTCTTCCTATTGATAACACCTCTGAATCTATATGTTAGACTTTGTTAACATTATGATCCCTCAGGTACTGAAAAACCCGAGTCTTAACATAGAGCAAAAGAAAAATACTTTACGTGACTACATGAATGTTCGTCTCCTACATTTGTCTACATTATGGGCATGACTTATGCTCCATAGCATCTCGAGGAAGTCAGAGGTGGATCAAAAAGTCTTACTGACAGCTTTGCACAGTTGCAGATAGGCGTTGACTTATTCTGCGAGCAATGGCGTCATCTCGTTAAAAAGCCTCATTTTGTTCACTGTATCACTCAAACTCAGGAGTATGGACAGCGTCTAGCTGAGCTTGATGCTCAGCTGAAGCCGTACGTATCGAGATGGATAGCTCTTTGCACAGTTCGCTCAATGTTTCTTGAGTTCATAGACTTCAGTTCAAAGTAGGTATAGACCCATATCTCAGTTCGTCCTTGCTCATGTCGGAATCTTAGATCGCCGCCTTAAAGATCACCTTATGTATAGTTACTGCTACTCGAACCTCGATCTCTCTGATAGATAATTCTAGTCTATGTCGAGAATCCGTGAGTGCTACGTTCAAGCTGCAATCAAATAAGCTTCCTTGACTATCAGCCAAGGTGTGCGATGCCTCTCAGTCTAGTCTGAAGAAGGCTTTTTCTCGAGCGGAGGATGAAATGGAAGGTGAATTTCATGACATCACGACATCTGAAGTCACTGAGGTTTACATTGCCTCCAGAGCTTCAATGACAGGCCGACGTACAAAGTACAGAGGACGTTATTCGCGACATCGCAGCTAAGCTTGGCGTGATTGTCTCTGTGTGGACTGCTGTACGTCTCCTGCTTCCAAGTATCGCTCTTTGCTCACTCGACGTATCACCATAGATCGTAGCTGACTTGACTGTTGTGTGCGGCCTGCTCGATTTGATGGTTCGCAGTCCAGAAAACTCGGTATGTCAGCACAACCATAGTGATCTACGGTTTCATCTTATACGCTTCATAGGCCTTACAGTGTCTCTTTGATGTGCATCTACAAGAGCTCCACAACCACTACGCTCATCTCGCGGAAGTATTCTATGAGTTCCAACTCACTGTGAATGATGGGTCACTCCCACCACGTCACTAATCTGATGAAATATTTATTTCACTGGTAGGCTTCTTTCTACCTTCCTTCCGTCTGGATCACTGAAGATATCTTCAAGCCATTTTGATGTGTCGTTATATGGGAGAGTTCTCCCTCATGTTACAATGTACTTCTCACGGGGTCACAAGGAGTGCTGCGATAACAACACAAGTTGACGCAAGCTTGCTGCCTTTTCCACGACTCTCGAGATACGGTTATCCCATGCTAAGCCCACTTCCGATGTTGTTCTGTTGTCACTTCATGCTTTGCTGTGACCCACATGTAAAAAATGCGCCGGCAGCAGAACGATAACCATCCTTATTGGCTTACATGCTGTTAGTACATCTGATGGGATACTTTCAAATGATGTCCTCACACCTGAGGCATGCTAGAACATTTCGATAGTCTCATAACTCCGCTCCCTGTCTTGGCCAACTTTCATTCTGGTGAATGTGCATTAACTGTTTTGTGTTTCAGGTCCGGTCATGAGGATTTGCAAAACAGCTTCTGCGAAGGTTGAGTTTGCTCGCGAGAGAATGCGTCTTCTTTCCACGAGGCTTACCAGCTTACCTCCACATTTGCAGCTCCTTTCTGTGCTTTCATGTCGTCTTCAGCTAACAAGATTCAACTACTTCAGGATGATTTGCATTGGCAAGCTTGGCAACCATACCAGGACTACAGCTAGAAATATCAAACAAGATGGATGGTTTTCAAACAGTTCGTGAACAATTCTCTGTCATTTCGTATGACTCGTTCTGAGCAGCTTCTCTCAGATCATTTATGTATTGTCAGGGGCGTAACAGGCAATATCAGATCCGCCACTATAGGTCAGTCACACTTGTGTCTTGGATGGCTGGATAAAGGTGTATTTTTCATTATCTTATTTTACCAAGGAATTATACCGCTGAGTGTGCTAAAGCAGTTTCTTTAGCCAACAAAAGTTAGGCGTATCAAGGATGTGTGACCAATCTACCCAATTCTGCGGTGAATTCAGTGAACTGTCGCAGCAAACAAATAAATGCTGTCAACAAAGTAAAACTGCTGTCGAGAATAACTCATGTATTGCAGTCCCAGACTATGTGAAAAACATCGAGGAGACTAAGCCCACTGTTTGGACTTGGTAACAGGTAAGTAACAATACTGAGCGGAGTGTTTGCCAGTTAATAAACGGATTCTATGATCTTAGTGCCGGTCGTGATATGAGCTCGATTGATCGATATTCGATGAGAATTATATAGGATGATTGAAATTATTTCACGTAATCGCATCCAGTTGTTCGAAGGGTTTCAAGTGGGAGGGAGGTAGCCGTGAAGCATCTCGCCCAGGATTGATCTAGAAGGCAGGGACATTTCCTTATATAACCAAAGTGATCCAAAACAGGCAATGGCCTTGTGCAACGTCACTAGACATCAAGTTATGCTGAGCTTCATTGCGGGCTGCATGCTTCGCAGCCCATGCGTCCTGAATTACTGGTGTCACTGAAAGGAGCAAATGCGTACTTCCATCTAATCAATCATCACGGTTACGTGCATATGAAATCTGAGAGATTTGCACAGCGATCGGGTGCAAATGATATACTGTAGTTTTACGACCGTAGCGGATGGCGAAATTTTTGTGACACGAAGTGTAGCCTGGAAATGGCCGGACAGCGCTTGTGTGAGGTGTGACACCGTCCGCTTGGCGTTCTCGATACTTTGGCGTCTGTCTTTTGGCTGGACGAAAATGGCCACTATCGATGCTCGCATTACTGTTTTACCGACGATAATGCTGTTTGGGCTCGTTATGATGATTAGCATGTATTCTAGCTACATAAAATATTTCTTTCACCCTACTCTGCACCGTAGGCAAAGAAAAAAGGCGAAAATGGAGCATTCATGAAAACCCTGTCACACGGTGGACAGACCCCTTATGAGCTGTGACAGGTAGGGTAAATAGCGGACAATTTGGTCTCGGTGACCTGTGACGTCCGCTACGGTCGTAAAACTACAGTATGGTCATCTGGAACTCATATATAGTTGCTTACCTCATAAGAATAGTAGACCAGGATAGTTACATGTATATTGAGTGAATGTAAAAATGAGACTTAGATTAATGTACAATCGATCCTGACTTCAATAACTTGATCACGGAATGTGTTATTGAGAACACTAAGAAACTACTCGATTTCAAGGTCTTTAGACAATGGCTTTCAGTGTATTCTCAAATGCCTGCAAAGCATTGGAGGCCTCACTAGCCCAAACACTGGCTTTCTCGATGCTCTCCGTGGAGATCTAAAATGAAAGATGAGGGCGTAAGAAGTCAGGAGTTAATAGATTCTTACAGTGTGTCTCTCGACCTTGCGCTTGAGATCGGAAGCGCATATCTCGACCTGTTTGGGGCCATCAGCAGCTATCTCAGTTCAATCTAGCCAGATTCAACACCCACTTCCTTGTAGAAATCACTGAATACTGTCGTTCCTTTGAGGAGTGCGAAATTGCCTTTGAGAGTAGCAAGATCAAATCCCAAGCTTCCTGAAGTCTTCAAAGTAGCTTCCAGCTGGTTCCATTTCTGATTCACTACTGTCGTGGCACGGCGTTCGTTACTGAAGGCAGTGGACTATCAACAGTTAAGTTACCCAAAATTAAAGAAACAGTGTATCTTACTTGAATGAGACCATCTATCTCGCGCGTCTTGTCCGTTGCACTCTTGTGCGACACTGGAGATAGGCCAGATACAATACGGCGCCAGCCTGGAGCACAGACTCGGTCAGGCTGAAATAAATTTTACCCTGAATTACTCACCTTCCGCAGTTTGTTGAGCATCAGACGCGACTTTACGGAGCTCGACAACTACGTTATTGAACCGCTGGAGTCACACTCATTAGCCTTACACTTCGCTAACAAATAAAAAATCACACCTTTTGACAATCCTCGAGCGGAGTGGACACTTGTATAACTCGATAGAGTATATCTTTGACTTTTTGGATGGCCCTTTGAACCTCGGTCAGCTTTCCGGAGAAGGTGTTGGCGTGTTCAGATGTCATTTTGTACACAACTTGAAGGCGAAGTGAGCCAATCTGACTGCTGGATTGTATCTCCTGCTCGTCCCCTTATATATATACACACTCAGAGAACACGTACGCGGAGCGCCTTGTCTTGCGCAGAGGGGTTGCGAGAGAGACATTCTCACTCGCGACATCTGTCAAAGAGTATCTGACCTGAGCAAACCTAAGATATTTCAATTTGTCAAGCACTAACGCTGCATACTTCTTCCAGACTTCGCCTTAGGGTGTTCTGACTTGAGAACCTTGCAAATTTGCGCATAAGAACCCTCCGACATCGGACCTAGCAAGAAGCAATCTAGCGTCTTTCGACAAGAGAGATATATGCTAGCACAAGATAAGTATGACAGATCAGTAGGTCAGAGCAGATGTCAAACTCGCCGTCGATTAGGAGCCAAACACCACGCCTACTAGAAGTAGCTTGCACCAACGGTTTTTCATGTTAATGGCCTGTAGAACACTCGAAAGGAAGGTGAAGCAGTAACACATTCTACGATGCTCAATAAAGGAGTTTTGGATCAACTTGCCCCCACTGGAGGCAAGCTGAATCGCAGGGCCAAGTCTTGGCCCTGTTATCCGCCGAAATCTTTGGGTTTAATGCGTAACTGCGTAAGGTGTCGTATATAGTCGCCAGGTTCAGTGACGGATTGGCACTAGCAAGAATACAATTAGGCCTGTATGGCAAATCAATGACTGCCTGAAACTTGCATGGAGTCCATAGTTGGGTTTACTCCGGCGGGTGTACTGGGCGTTCAGGTTGACATGACGACATGGACTTCGAACCTTGAAGATCCCGGTGTGCCTGCAATTTGGCGCATAGGGCACATGATACTAGGAAAATTTGACTTGGTTGCTTCTTTGATAGGTGCCCTAAAGGGCGAGGATCTGGCAGCGCTACCTCCTGATAGATCGGACAATAATCAGCATTGCCAATCGATAGCAGACAGATGATACTTACCATATACTCCGGAAGAAAGTACACAATGATAGAACAAAAGAAGTGCCTGGCAAATAGCTGAGGATCAGCAGGTCGAATGAAAGAAGCTTCATGAGATACCCTGAGACACAAGGTTGCGTCTCGCTCTACCCTGCATGATGGCGACTGACTTCATGCTGAACGTACCCCGTCAATTACTTCGGCGACTCCGCTGTCACGGAAGCCAAGGTGTGGATCTGCATCAATGCTAGTGGCCAAGCACGCCCATTGACGATGCGATTGTTTGTAAGTTTGGGAGACTAGGATGTGAGATAGACTCGTGAACCAACAGAATCTGCGTCCAAATCGCAGAGTTGGCGTTCGGTGACATCCACATTCAATCGCTCCAACGTCCTATTCCCGCAGCTTATCTGGATAGAGTTATGACGAGAAAGACCCAATTCATGTGACAAAGCAGATGGTTTTACGCACCATGACTTTGAGCGTTCTCCAAGGTCGCCAAATCGGACGCAGTCTTCTAGCCCAGCTAGGAAGTGATCTGGATTCCACATACTATATTGCACCCATGTAGAATCTTACTAAATTGAAGCGCGCAAAAGTTTCCAGAAAACGAGGCTTGTGAATATACCTCGCATTGTGTCGTGTAGCGGAGTAACTAGCATGACAGCTCCTTCGAATGGCTGTACCTGTCCATTTGAATCAAAGTTCATAGAACGATGCTTGTTCATCGAAGCAGGAACCTGGGGGAATGCGCGGACGTCCGATGCAGAAGAGGCGATGGTGAGGTGTTTAAGAATTTCAATATCTTGCCGGCGGTACATCAATTTGAGTTAACGCGTGCGCTGGCAAAACAAGCAAGAACGAGCCAGACGGAACCCTACTACACCAGACATGTCAGAACATTCAGATCAGGAGACGTTTAACTTTTAAGCCATCCCATCGAATGACTTGTAAGGCTTCATAAAACTGCGGGGATTGTGAAGGACCGAGGGTAGACCTCAAGCAATGGCACGAATCCTTCGAAGCACCTGGGAAACTGTGAATGTGGTCAGGTACAATTACAGTGCAATGTAAAACTAGTATTCCCGTACCAACTTGCAGTTCATCAGTCGATGCTGATGCTCCCGAACTATCCGCGAGACAATTTGTTGGCTGATTCATCTAAACATGAAAACCCACAGTTCTACCATCCGGAAGGAGAAAAATTCGGTTCATGAAGCCCACTAGTATGCGCATTCCAGTGCATGCAGGTGGGGTTTGGAAGCAAAAAGCGGGTCGTGATGAGCGCTTAATACACACAAAGACCGCGAATGGTACTTATTGTAATGAGAAGTCTCTTGGAGGGGATACGCGTGTTGGTCCAGCACATGAACCAAATAAGAGAAACCGTTACATCAAACATAGAGCATGCGATATTATACGTCACTGCTTATAATACCGCGATAGCGGAAGAAACACTCCGCAACCACACTTCAAGGTCATTGGCGTCGTCCCGATTAAACTGTAAGCATGCATCAGAGTGCGGCCATTAGCAACCTGACCAAGATGTATACCTGGCCGAGAGCCACGTATTCCTCTGCTCTGGATAGACTTTCGGCGAGCTGGGCGTGAGCAATTCGAGAAAGTTCCAGTCACCTGATCATAGATGTCCTTGAAACCAGTAAGTCCGCCAATGAAGGTTTGCAACTTGAGTTGAATATGCTTCGAATTCTGGACTTCGTTCATCTCCAACGCAGTAGCCAGGCTCTCAAGTTGTCTATTCAGTGCTGTGACGGTTTGGCGTCCTCCCGAAAGCACGCCAGACTGCTTTTCTGTCAGTTGCGTCAGACTCACAATCTGGAAAGAAAATGCATACACGAGAAAAAGGTTTCAGGGCATGGCTGAGATCGGCATTCTCGTTCAGAAATCTAATCAAGATACCTCTGACCGCTACAAGGTAACTCTTGAGGAGTCGTTATTTGGATAGCGTAGAGAGGACGCATCCTCAATAATCTCTGAAAGTCTCGGTGGAATTGTGCTGTGGAACTGGGTGGCAATGGTTTTAAACGTCTGAGACAGATCGAGGGCTTATACGAAATGTGCGAAATCGTAGTGGATGATCGTACCCTGTGATAGTCAGAGAGACCTGGCACGTTCGAGAGATCCCGGTCAATTTCGTGCATGACTGTTCGCACTTCTTGGCATTGTCTACGTAGCTGCGGGAGATAGAGTAAGGGGATCCTCTACTTCTCAAGACATTTAGAGATGTCCACACCTGAGCTCCTTGAGTAGCCATGGTATGGAAGGAGGAGTTGACCTGAAGATTTGGCTGTTGGTGTCTGAGACAGTTGGGGACGGATGGCCATGCAAGAGGCGCACTACTTATCCTCTACTTCATATACGGCGTCAGTTGACAAAAGACTGACATGGATCGTGGAAAACTCCGGCAGACCACATAAGTGGACCTAGCATAGAAGTTCAAGAAACATTGCCATCCTGAAACATTCGTATGACGGATGCACCATGGGTAGGGGTTTTGTAAGGATGGCTTTGCAATGTGGCAACCTCAGTCCTTGCTCCGATACGTCGGAATTCTGAGGGGGTAAACCTAGAACCAGATACGTCGACGTTATGGAAAGGGCTATGCGTCCATATGCCCTCCTGTTGATTCATTGCCAGGATCAGAGTGCGAATACGCCGCTTTCCGCCGGTACTTGGTCTTTGCACTGTGCAAGTACAAGGATACGTGACGGCCGAAACATGATTGAGCATATAATTGAACAAGATACTGTTCAATCGCAATCGATCGAAAAGAAGTGCAGCGTCCTGAGTACACGAGTATCTGATGAACCGATTTAGAAGGTATTTGACTCACCGCTGTCCACCGAATTCCCTCCCACTGGTCCACAACCGAAGCCCCTTGTTGATACCGCCGGTGGAAGCCTGAGGTTAACGCCGAATGACAAGGTGGCGTACGCCGCAAAGATAACCGCAATACAGGAATTGTAGGAACATGCAGAAAACAACCCTACAAACACTGGTTACTGCAGCTTGACGAAACTTGAGGTTGAACGTTGAAATTTGAAACCTCGGATCCTCCGCAAGGCGGAAAATGCAGGCATAAGTGGGAATACTTCTGTTACAGGGGCGTAGATCGGATCTGAATCGATGTGGTAAAGAGAGAATACTCGCGGAGTTATGTTCAATGGTCGATATCGCCACGCTGCCTGAGCGTACAAAGCGTATTCACAATCTGTCACCGGGATACACGTTGCCGGTCAACGTGGAGGGGAGACATCCAATAACGATGAGACAAGCTCGAACCAAGTGCTAGTTTTGCAACGATACTATGCACATAGGAATACTCTATTGGCGGTGGGTATTCAGTATACAGTCGCTGGCTCTGCATGCAGGTTGATCCGCCACAAGCTATCGAAGATGATTTTATGCCAGTATGTATAACGAGAATTCCTTTCGTACGTGGCGAATCTAAAGCCCCTCTAGATTTAGTTGATAATGATGTCGGGGGAGAGGGACAGGACACTCAACGTAAATCGGGTGACGATGTGTCTACCCAATTTAATGGTCCAATACTGTTCCGAGATAAACTTTTTAAACAAAGATAGATTTCTGGCCTTCCATAGTCGGGTCGTGAGTTGCCAGGTTGGACGCGAATCCGTCGGCACGGCCAGTGATGCTGAGTATCAACAGTTAGGATTTGAAGTCGCGTACGTAGCCATGCGAAGCTGAAAACCCAGAAGGTATTCAGCTCAATTGAGAGAATGATTGGGACCATTGCTACATACAGGTCGACTGGTGAAGCTTGTGAAGCCTGAAGCTGGTCAACATCGATCTGGCTGTTCTTGGTGACCTGATTGGTCTCGGAAACATCCGAGGGCTTGCACCGTACGTCGCTTGCTTTTCTGATACCATGAACGACTTATCCGAACATTCGCCGAATGAACGGTGACAACGCTGACAGCCTCCAAGTTCCACCTGCAGTACTTACGATCAGGAAATTGCTTCGAATCTCCCATGAATGTCTCCCAGCGATGAACTCAATTCTCCTGTCGGAGTCTCGTTGTCCCAATTCACTATGTTTCTGTCAGGAACAAACAACTCAGATTAATCTGTACCACTGGTCCAGAGATCTATGCGAATTGCCATCCATACTGTGCACCAGTTGCGTACGATGAGTATCCTTATATAGTCTCAAGATTTGCCATTCATGAATCATGATTCCACCGAGTCTCCAGCCAACGTACCCGTATTGGTAAGAGTCAACTTCACACAGAAAGGTGCGTGACATATCCGGTTATTATCTGGGGCTTCGAGGTTACCGACTTGCTCTGCAGACGGAAAGTTGACTGGCGAAATGCCTCCAGATGAATGAACGAATGGTGGCAAGCGACGGGATCACACAAACCTAAAATAACGCCATACTCGAGTACTCATGGAATGTCTGGGTAAAGGCGTTAATAATGCATGTCGCCTATGCCAGCTGGCAGAAAGAGCGTATCTTTCGCCTTTCGTCTCCCGGAGTTGAATGTCCTTCCGCTAGGGTTAAGCGCTAAGCATTCACCTGTTATACGGCTTAGAGAATGAGTGATTTTCCAGCTAAAAGCCCTCATAATTCTCCAGCTTTGATGCCATCCGGGGAATCGAATTCTATCCAAACGATTGAGGTGCATCTAAACATCCTCTATACGCGATTTATGTGTCAACGGTACACCTTTTCTCCCCTATACACCTGTCGCTCCGGACCCGTATTGCCACGAAAAAGGTTTGTTCGGTTGTTAGCCAACAGCTTCAAGTCTATTCGCTCTCGTCAATCATACCACAGGTCAAGCTGCCGGATCACGTACCTACACGTCTCCAATCTATCCGTTTTGCATGTGAGCACCGTCCCTAGAGTCTCGTCAATGTGGTCTCTAGGTTGCGTGTAAGAGCCCCAAGATCCCGATGTATGTTGCAACCGTTGTCGATCCTCCCCTTCGAGATATCAAGATTTCATCAAAGTGACCTTCCGAGTTCATCCATTACCACAGACTGAACAGCTTTCTCGCTCTTGCATCCATACGATTGTCTTCCGTAGCTCCCAACAAATCAATCGCGATTTTATCGACATCATCTCAGGACCTATAGTACCTCGACGTCTGCAGCGACGGAATGAGACGTTTCAGGCGTCAGCAAGGGTGAAAGGCGTCGTTGGGACTTTCGACCTCAGAGTGAGCTGCGCAATCATCCACGGCGAAATTATCGCGAGGTCTTAGTGTTTTGAAATGTTTATCCTGCGAATGCGTTGCGCTCGCAATTATGCACAACTTGAAGTCAGATTCGATGCCATTGTCAATAGAAAATTCTCTGGAGTAACGAATAAATAATAAGTATAGCTTGAACTTGCTGCGTCGCTTCACATATGGTCTCTCTTCAACTCTAATATCATGTTCGAAAGAGAGTTGATAAGGGGCGAAACGAACGGTTATTTGTCTATGATAATGTTATATACATGAGCCCCGAAAGTGCATCGTAGTGTTGAACGCTAGGAAATGGCGCTAGGGGAAAAGTGTCGACCAGAGCCAATGGTCCCGAATGGCACAAGCTTCAATTCTGATTCTCATAATCGACAATGGCTACAGAGATTCGAGCCATCCAATCGGTGACTGGCTTCACAATCTGAACTGAGACCTGCGGCAGTATGTGAATGGCGTGGGCATACACGGGAGAATAAGCCATACCCCATTTCCTCTCAAGTGCTCCTTGAACTGGTTGATAAACTGTTCGACCTATGATAGAAGTGGCGAGCAGAACAGTTAGCCTTACCACAAGCAACGCCAGCAAAACATCCAAACCTCCTGGTAGAAGTCGCTAAACATCCTAAGCGCACCCAATAGCGTCTCAAAGCGGTTACGGATTGCCGTAGGGTTGAAATTGAAAGCCTGCAAAGTAGTAACAGACGCTGCTATAGCATTTGCCAAGCGTTGAGAATCCTGAATAACTACAGTCACTGCACTGCGTTTATTTCTGAAGGAATTGGACTGTCAAAGAACGAGAAAATGAGCATCATGTTTAGTAGAAGTCGTGTCTAGTCCTCACCCGGATGAATTCATCGAGTTTCTGAATCTTGGCTTCATTTGACATGTCCTCCAATAATTTGCTGAAGAGATTGTTGTACAGATCTGGAAATTACACCAGTGAGAACTCGCAAAGTACAACATCCCGTGCAGTTACATACAATCTGCAGTGACTCGAGTATCGTGAGCGGCGGTGCGTAGCTTGTTCACTATGGCAGCAAAATCCTGTATTGAACAGTAAGGACAGGACAACGACCTTCTGATAGTCTACATACCGTATAGAAGTGCTGTAACATCACATCTTGGTGGTCGTGTTGAATAGCCGCAGTCTGTATGTCATGAAGTCTCCCCCTAAGAGCTTGGCAGACCTCATAAAGCTCCCGAAGCTGTCTGCGGAAAATGTCGCTACTGAGGGGCATTGTGGAGGTTGGTATGCTGCAGTACAGACGAGATTGTATTCTGGCTGGACATCATTCGATGACTGCAGACTATATAGTACAGAAACAGGGACGCTGTGGCAAGGTCTTCAGAGTACCAATTGTCGATGAACATAGCACATCTGTCAGAAAATCTTTTCATTCGCTGAATCGTACCTTGTACCAGAGGGATTATGGACATCCTCCGGTCTGTGGATACCGAGTAGCAACGGAAGTCAATTCTCAGCGAACCTGACACGAAGTGGCGAGTCTCCGGGACGTGTTGGTACTGGATAGTAGCTCTCCAACGTCGGATGCTGTGGAGAGCACGTCGGAAAGTACAAAGATTATCTGATACTGTGTGCAAAACCCCTTACCAGAATATTACGTCCTTCCGCCTTTACACTTGCGACGTGTTTCCGCGACAAACGGGACAGAAGTGGTCCATTTTGAACTGTCAACAGTGCAAAACGCCTCTAACCGAAGGTGTAAGCGAATCGAGGACAGAAGCAAGCGACCCACAGCAAGGAGTTGAAATTTTAATCTTACCCCTTCATGAAAGATCAGGACACTCTTGGCTGTTTCTGTCTCACCGGTGGGATCGGTCGTGCTGCAAGGATCAGTGGCAAATCTGACATGAAAAACAACAAATAGTAGGTGTCACTCCCAGCAATGCGACTAACGATACAAAAACGCGATGCCCCATTTCGGACTTGCTCGCAAGCAGGAACGCCGCCAATGTGTATGAACATAGGCGCTCATCGTCGTTCGGGACACTGATAAAAGGAGAGTCAGCACAACTAAGAACGGAAGTAAAGACCCGACATACGTTTATTGTATTGTGGCACTGATCATTGGTCCGCCGGCAGTGGCACGACGAACGAATGTTCCTACTATGCTGTGCACTATTAGCGCACAAAGAGAGCTAATACACATGTTGCCTTGGAGTGATACAATCGATAATCACCATATGCCGCCACCTTGTAAAATATGCTGTTTGGAAAGCACGCTTGGAGAAAAGCAGTGTACAAGAAATTGCTTGAAGAGATTGTAAGCCTATGTTGTCGGATCGATAGTCAACGGAATGAAGAACTGTGGTGAAGAGAGGGATCCGCTGGCGCAGAGAACAGTTGAAGCAATGACACTGGGTACCATGTCACAAACAATAGGATTCCTATCGCAGATCCAGATTGTATAAACAAAGGCGCTATACCAAACGGTGAGTTCCTTCAGATCGTTCAACCTCGATAACAGTGTGTCCGACCGAGAAAGCCTTGAAGAGTTCAATAAGGCGTATATTCATATTCATTCGAGACTATGGCACCATCGATTGGCGGAAGCCATTTCATTGTAAATTGGGGACGTCGTGGTGCCAGTACGACATCGTAGGTTCAGAATCGACTTCTGCATAATTGACAGCGAAAAAGTATAATGATGCGCCACTTACCCTCATTTCAGGCGACACCGTTTGGTTGGTCCCATGGCCTGAATGGTAACACGAAGAAGCGAGTACGGTTGGCCGAAACCGCTCAGCCCTAGCTAGCCCTAGTGAAAAAAAGGAGTAGAACATTCGGGGATCAGAGCCCGTGCTTTCTCGGTTGCTTCATTCCACGTGAAAGATGAGCTCTTACTACGTCTACCTGACGTGAAGCATCCTAGAATGATGATGCGTGAAAGGGAGCACTTACTTAACGTGCTTGCGTGTCCCGGACGTCCGGAGAGATATAAACACATGTCGACCAGTTCGGTCCTGTTGATGATCGACCGATGTACTCGGTCTCGAAGGAAGTGGAAGGAACTGCACTTCTAACATTACTTGATCTTCTCCAGTTGCTTTCAATGACACAAAGATTTGACCCATGCTTTGAGCATCTAGTAAATGTTATCAAGTGCTTAGTAGATAAATCGAGTCACTGTAAGCGCGAGACGTGTCTGATGCTAGACTCTGTCCTATGCTCTGGTCCAAATTTGGGAACGCGCAAACTGGTCGATGTGTGCACAAATGAATGTGTCGTGGGCTCTGCGATGTATGATAAAGGGAGTCGAACTTCGTAGTATCTAGGAATAACTTGAGTAACTTCGCAACGTCTTATAAATGGTTGCTGTTACAACTCGTTGTACGGACTTATACTTTTTCCTTTTCTTTTACGCTGATAACCTTTTCTGTTACATTTCACTTGTCTCCCATATCCTTTTCCTACCCTTTATAGATAACAATCATGTGACCTCTTAGTCATATCCTGGTAGCCGGTATTACTTAGCAATTCCCGATACTTCAGACTCGCTTACTGATACTACCCTTTTCCTATTGGCTGAGTCCTCATATCGTACCATACCCCTTCTCTTTTCTCATTGGATGATCTCTTTCTCTGCCTAGGTATATAAACCCCATACATGTACTTAGAATCCTTAACCTGACCTAGGCAATCTACCCTTACATTTACCCTTTGACCCTGAATCTGCGTTAAGGGCTTTGCCCGTAACAAAAGGTCAGGTTACCCTCTGAACTAGTGCACTCAATGCTAGCACTAGAACCCTTGAACTTGCCTATGAACCTGAACCCTGAACTCACCCTCGCACTTGTCTTTGCCCTCACCTTGAACATCTACATCATCTATTGACTAGTATCAATCATCCTCGACATCTCTCGATGACTTGACATCGCCAGCGAAGAAGGTGCTCACTGACACCAAGTAGTCCAGCAACACATAGACTTTTGGGACCAAGAATGACAACAGCTTATCGACCAGCTCGACCAGCTCCACTACGAAAACCATCGACTCACCCGGACAAGAAGACATCTTCCCCGACCCCGATCCAATATTATTTACACTGCAATCCCTGACGACCCTCAGACTTCTGACAGGGTCCAGGTGAAGACTGAACCCACGGAACCCACCCTTTAGATAGTCTTTACTATTTGATTCGAAGCATACAGGGGTTTGGTGCACCCTAGTGTCCATTCATTACATGTGTTAGCCAGTCGCGAGACAAACATGAATAGTTCCTGGGGAGCTGAGAATGTTTAGTGATCCTAAATGCTCGGGGTGCCTTCAGAGGTTGTTTTACTTGCCAAACTGAGCAGAAAACCTCAGTTGTCTGGCGCAATCATTATCATTTGGGACAACTATACTTTTCGCTAGTACATTGTGGCTACCAACACAAATCCCCATAATCCACCCATTAGATTGGAGGAAACTGCCGAGGGGAGGTACCTCGACAAAAGACCCATCATCTTCGAACATGTCTGGAAGTTCCTCGATAATCAAACATCTGTACCAACCACCTGATTCTATGACCCAAACCTACAGCACAACTATAATTCGCATAGACCGCCCCCTGGAACCTGCCTCCGTGATAGCATACCATACTTTCAAGGAAGAGAAATCCACTACGCGACAATCAACAGAACCTGGTACTTTCACAACAATCCACGAACTACTGAAGCCACTTTCGAACTCATACCAGACACCGCGTGGACAACTACTTCACAGAACCCCACCCAGACCTTAGCCACCGCATCATCTTCTAGTAACCCAGGTGAATCAAACAAACCACCGGAAGTTCCACGATAACCATCTCCGCCGCCTCCACCACTGAACCCAAATCCACCCCCAAATCCTGCACCACCTCCATCACCTTCAAATCCTGCACCACCTCCTGGCCTGACCAATATGTCCACCCCCGGAGAAATCAAGATTGAACTCAAAACTAAGTTCAAAGGAGAAGCTGACAGAGTCCGAGAGGTCCTCAAACACTGCAACTGGAAGTTCAAATTTGAAGCTTCCAAGTTCGATTCCCAGGAGAAGAAAGCCATCTACCTCTTCTCCTATTGCGAAGGAGGCACAGCTGGACCATGGGCAGTGGAATACAGTGATGAATTAGATGAGGAACAGGTGGCAGTAATAATCCCCACAGGAACCAGTACTGCTGATGCACAGAAACAGCACGATGCAACTTTTGAATGGACAAAAGTCAGTACAGCTTTCAGCAACAATTTCCTACCCCTCGCCCAGGTATCCACTGCCATCACATGCATGGGTACCTTAAAGCAGACAGGTGGTGCCAACGAGTACATTGCCAAGTTCTGAGAACTTCGCGCCCTCACAGGTATCAAAGATGTTGCCATCTTCAAAGACGAATTCCTCAATGGACTCAATGGCGCCCTCAAGCAGGAAGTCTTGGCCATTGATCCCGTCAACCTCACCACCTACGATAAACTCTATGAGGCCATGCAGCATCTTGATGAATCCTGGCGAGCACATGGAGGAGGAAGTTCTAGCGGAGGCAATAGTGACACTTCTGGCAGAAGATTCCATAGGCATTTCCAACCTCGTGGACAGAACCACAATCTTCACCGACTCACCGATGATGAATGCAGCAAGCTGATGAAGAAAGGAAGATGCTTCTGATGCAGGGAAGTTGGACACATGGCGAACCAGTGTCCTGGGGGGAACCAGAATGAAGGACAGAATCAGGGAGCTAGAGTTAGAGCCGCATTGGAAGGAATAGCGAAAATAGAAGAAGTGAAGGAAGAGACTCCAGCAGAACAAATTAGGGCTATCATTGACAAATTAGATGCCGATGCTAAGAAGGAAACTTTGGACACTCTCGAGAATACAGGTTTTTGAATAGGCGAACTATCTCGACGTTAGTCTCGCCTTGTCTCACTATCTCTCATGTACTAGTAGCAGAAACACGCAGTCCATCAAGGAAAATCCTGTTATCTATTACTCGAGAAGGTAGAACCATCGAACCCAAAGCTCTCATCGACAGTGGAGCAGAAGGGGTCTTTATCGATGCCCGATTCATACAATGACACCAGCTGAAAACCACCAAGTTAACACACCCAATCAAGGTCTTCAATGCTGACGGAACTAGAAATACCAATGGGGATATTACTGACTGTATCTGGGTCCCTACAAAAATAGGGAACTTCGTACAACCCATTAAATTCCTCATCACAACATTGGGTGATCAAGATGTTATCCTAGGATTCTTATGGCTCAGACAATTCAACCCCAAAATAGATTGGGAACTCAGAACGGTGGAATTAAGAGAAGTGAACTATTATTCCATCTCATCCCACCTCAAGCGAGCCTTCGAGAAAGTACGGCAACTCCAGCAAATGGCATCAGTACCACCGACATCCCCGCATCATCTGATTCTTCGCACTACCATAGAAGAAGTCCCAGATGAACAGGAATCCCCTATCTCCACAGTCTTACTTCCTCAATCGGACACTATGGAAGCAGCAATCAAAGATACTATTTGCGAAATCCATACCAAACAATCTATCAATGATCACCTCCATAACCTCAAACCTCAAGAGCTACTTATCTCCTATCTCAGAAGAGAAGATATGCTCCAAGTTTGGATGAAGGAGGAATCCCCACTCACCGATGAACACTTCCTGGATTCTCCTGATACATACGGCCCCCACATTGGACGCATTACCTGCACTCTACATGGAATGAAATATTCTTATGGATGTGATTCATGGATCTGTGCAAAAGTCAACCTGGCAATGGCAATGGCGCAGCAAGCTGCTAAGAATGATGTTCCCAAAACACTCGCTGAAATGGTCCCTTTGATCTACCACGAATACCTCAATGTTTTTGAAAAGAAGAAAGTGGAAAGATTCCCTGAATCCTGGCCCTACAATCATGCGATCAATCTCAAACTGGAATTCTAACCATGGAACTTTAAGATCTACCCGCTTTCTCCTTTGGAGCAAAACAAGATGGATGAGTTCATCGATGAGAACCTCCGAAAGCATTACATTTGACCTTCACAATCTCCCATGGCTAGCCCCTTCTTCTTCGTTGGAAAGAAAGATGGTTCACTCCATCCCTGCCAAGATTACTGTTATCTCAATGAAGGGACAATCAAAGATGCCTATCCTCTTCCCCTCATCAGCGATCTCATCGATAAACTAGCTAGAGCAAACATCTTTTCAAAGCTCAACTTGCGCAATGGCTACAACAATGTTCGCATCAAAGATGGAGACCAATGGAAAGCAGCATTCAAAACCAATCGAGGCTTATTCGAACCCACCATCATATTTTTTGGACTTTGCAATTTCCCCGCCACCTTCCAACACATGATGAATGATCTATTCCGAGATATGATTGATGAAGGCTGGCTCATGATCTACATGGATGACATGCTCGTATTCTCGAAAGACAAGGAAATCCATTGTCAATGCATCCAACGTGTTCTACAGCGTCTTCGAGAAAATGATCTATTTTTGAAAGCGGAGAAATGCACATTCGAAACTCAAGAAGTAGAATTCCTCGGTCTTATTGTCAAACCCGGTGAACTCCATATGGACCCTGTAAAGCTTGACAGCATCAGAGACTGGCCTACTCCTACTACGGTCAAACAAGTCTGATCTTTCCTTGGTTTTGGAAATTTCTACTGAAAGTTTATTCACCACTACGCTGAACTCGCCCGCTCGCTGCATGACCTTACCAAGAAAGACGTACCATGGGACTGGTCTGATCAATGCCAGAGTGCATTTGATGCTCTGAAACAGAAATTCACTTCGACACTGGTACTTCATATCCCCGACCCACTGAAACCTTTCATACTGGAAACAGATGTCAGTAAATTCGCTACAGGCACCATTCTTCGTCAACAAGACATGAATGGCAATTGGCACCCATGTGGTTTCCTATCGCAAAGCTTCTCACTGGCTGAAAAGAACTATGAAATCTATGATTGCAAACTCCTCGGCATCATTCGCGGTTTGACTGCATGGCACCATTACTTCGAAGGATCCAAGCACAAGCTTGTCATTTGCAGTGACCATCAGAATCTCACATATTTCCGGCTTCCCCAAAGACTTACCCCCCAGCAAAGCCGATGGCACTTATTCCTCTCACAATTTGACTATCACATGGAACACGTCCCCGGCAAACACATGATTGTATCTGACACCCTCTCTCGGAACCCTGCATTTGCTGATGATTCTGATGACAACAACTTCTCCCTCATGCTGCCTGACTCACTTTTCGTTCGCTCCATCGATATGACATTGCGCGATGACATTCTCCATGCCACCGATCTCGATCCCATTGTCCGTGAAGCTGTCACCGCTCTCCAACATGCCGGACCACATACCCTCTGCTCTGACCTTTCTGACTGGGAAATACGCGACGGTCTTGTGTTTTTCAAACACAAATGTTACATTCCTTTGAATGAATCCCTCCGCCAATGCATTGTTCACAATCACCATGACCTACCAGTCATGGGTCATCCCGGCGTGATGAAAACCCGCGAACTTGTTAGCAGAGATTACTGGTGGCCCGGAATGCATGCATTCATCACCAATTATGTACTCGGCTGCAGTATTTGCCAACAGAACAAGGTCAACACACATCCCACCGTACCACCGATCCAACCCATTCCATCCAAATCCAATTGTCCCTTTGCTGACTGCAGCACTGACTTCATCACGGATCTACCTGCTACCCCCGGCGGCTTTGATTCTATCATGGTCATGGTAGACCAAGACCTTTCGAAGGGGGCAATTTTCACTGCATGTACTAAAACTATTGATCACGAAGGCACTGGACGAATTCTACATCAGCATGTGTATAAGCGATTCAGACTTATGGACTCTTTGATATCAGATAGAGGACTGCAATTTGCATCAAAAGCATTCCAAGAACTTCTCAAGATCCTGGGAACCAAATTGAAGCTGAGCACGGCATATCATCCTCAGACTGATGGAGAAATGGAGCAAGTCAATCAGGAGCTAGAAGGTTACCTTCAAATTTTCTGTGGAAACAACCTGGAAATGTGGCCAGAGCGTCTAGCTGATGCAGAGTTCATACACAATTAATGTGTCCACGAAGCCTGAGGAATGTTGCCATTTTACATCATGATGAGATACCACCCAAAAGCAATTTCCATCACTTACCTCAAGATGAACATTTCATCAGTACAAGAGCATGTACAACACTTGCAGAAGATCTGGGATGAAGTGTGTGCAGCATATGAGTTGTCCATGAGAAAAATGGCAGACCGCATCACAAGGAAGTTCACACCGTTCAAGAAAGGGGACAAAGTATGGTTGGAAGGAAAGAACCTCAAGCTCGGATATGAACATTGGAAATTAAAACTAAAAAGGGAAGGACTCTTTGAAATCTCTGAAGTCCTAGGACTGCTTATGTACCATCTAAAGCTACTGAGACATTGGCAAACCCACGATGTCTTCCATGCTTCCCTTCTAACTCCCTATCGTGAGACCAAAGCACATGGACTGAATTATCTCCAACCACCTCCTGACCTTATTGAGGACAATGAAGAATATGAAGTAGAAGCGATCATTGCACACTGCAAGGTTGCAGGATGATGGAAGTACCTTGTGAAATGGAAAGGATACCCAACATCAGAGAACTCCCTAGAGCCTGAGAGCCACCTGACTCATGTTAAGACCATCCTGCAAGCCTATAAGAAGAGGCATCATCTCGATTGAACAAAGCAGAATGGAACCAATCCTCAGACACTTACTCCATACACTTGTCCGCATCTTCCTCACAATCCGCTTCAGCCAAATCATCCAATTTATCTTCGCCATCATGTCTGGAGACCCCCGCTTCTGCACTATCATCATTCTCAACAATGCCGATGGTACCGCCACCGAATGCATCAACTGACTCCACCAACTTGCCCTCAACTTCCACACCCGAATCTGCGATACTCAAGCCCGAGTCGACTGAGTCAATGCCGACCTCGAAGACCTCCTCGCCCAAGCCGAAACTCTTCAAAGTGAGTTTGTCGCCACCTTCGATGCCCTCGAAGAAGGGACCATTCATCCTCCACTCATTCTACCACCTTTAGCCCAGCCTGTCATTGACCCTTCCAACAATTTCATCAGCCTGACTGCTGATGCCCTTCCCATTCCACCTCCTCAGCAACCCGACTCTCCACCTATGCCGCCACTCATATCCATTCCTCCAACACCTGTAACAGCCCTGCAACCCATCTACCCACCAATCCCTACTTGCTGGTATCCACCTGGTGAAACACCACTCAATGAACTGCCATCATCTGACTCCCATTCTTCCGGTAACCCCTCACCCAATCACCTCAGTGGTTCCGGAGTACCCGGCCATACCAATGGAATCCATTCCAACCTAATCTGCCACCACCGCAACCGCTGCGGCACTACCATTTCCATCGCCCCCCTTTCTCATGCTGGTTTTTATACATCAACTGGATATTTCGCTACAGCCCGCGAACATTGGAAAGCCGGCTATTACAATCATGAGGAAGACTTACGATGCAGCCGAGAAGCAGGGGAACCTACTTGGAGGTACTTAGCCGGAGGTACAGATGACAATGAATACGATGATTTAGATGATGTAGGAGTTTCCAATATCACCGATGAACCCGTAGGGGATTACTAGACTCAGTAGCTGGGAGCTACTAAATGCCTCAAAAGGGGGTAATATTACAACTCATTGTATGAACTTATACTTTTTCCTTTTCTTTTATGCTGATAACCTTTTCTGATACATTTCACTTGTCTCCCATATCCTTTTCCTACCCTTTATAGATAACAATCACATGACCTCTTAGTCATATCCTGGTAGCCGGTATTACTTAGCAATTCCCGATACTTCAGACTCGCTTACTGATACTACCCTTTTCCTATTGGCTGAGTCCTCATATCGTACCATACCCCTTCTCTTTTCTCATTGGATGATCTCTTTCTCTGCCTAGGTATATAAACCCCATATATGTACTTAGAATCCTTAACCTGACCTAGGCAATCTACCCTTACATTTACCCTTTGACCCTGAATCTGCGTTAAGGGCTTCACCCGTAACAGTTGCATGTCAGAACGAGATTGCTTTGAAGAGTAGCACTTACATCGGATCCTTGGCCAACTTCCGCACTGGATATCCTGCGCAGGACAAATCAAAGCATAATTCTGCAAATCGACGTGTGACATTTGCCTGCAGATAGGAGCAAATGATTATCAGAAAGCGGTATAGTGATTAGTGTGTTTATCTAAGTTGTTCAACTAGGAGTGCTGTTCATTGAGTAATTTAATATTCTAAAGCACTTACAGTTGTCAACTGTCCTACCATTCAGTGTAGAACAGCACCTTTGCTTCCGTCGGCATGTCAAATGATCGGTGTAACGCTGTGAGGCATATCCTCAATATTAACATGATTGTATCGAAGGCGAATGGTGCAATGACAGTTGCAGGAAATGTGTTTGATTCAAAGAATGCAACAGGCAATCCAGGCGGCTATGATGAGCCAGGTGCCTGGTTTTCGCGCAGACTGTCGTTTCCGGCATGGGCGTCGAATATATGTTCCTGGAGCCGAACCTGGACGACATTAGAGCACTGATTAGAAATACCACAAGAATGAACAGAAGCGAATACTCGAGTATCCTCTTCCAGTACGGTTTTCGCCGAGATCTATGAATATTCGTGCTATTTCCCTCCAGGCCAGTTGCATCTGGGACTCACCACGCAGCATACAGACGGTTGAAGCGTGCACTCAACAGAGCAGTTATAAGACTGCGAGTTAGGTCACGTTGCGAATCCTCTTAATAACGAGCCAGCGCAGAAATCTTTCAACGGGTCGTGGAGTAACGATGCACAAATTTGCGTCAGGAGTAAAGTGCAACCAAGCAGAAGAGGTTCAGCCAGGTAAATTGTGGTGCCGGCATTATAGAAGCTGAAGCTGTAGCTTGAAGCTTGAAGGATCAGGACGTGGTCAGATCCGTCCTCGGAATAGCTTCCCGTGCTTTTTCATACGAGCTTGATAGCGACGAGGTGAAGGTGAATTGCCATGGGTAAAAAATTGTGATCTGGAAGAACCTGCCTCTGTAAACAGTGACTCAATAACATGCTGGAGTGAAGACATACTAGTACTACTCGTACTTGCGTTGGAGTGTTCTAACTTCTATCCTCAGATTCCTCACAGAGTTGTCAACTCGGTCGGAAAAGGTCGGGGTGACTGTTTCGTTCCGAAAGGTGACGACGCTTTCCCACACTCGACTTGCCGTACGCTGTTTTTCTTCATCTCCCACTCGTAATGTACTGTAGTACTGTCCCTTGGATGGTGCTGGCATTATCAGTAAACCTGACTCGAATCATCGTACTTAAGCCCTGAAGACGAATACCTTGATCGGACCGGATCTTTTCCTTTCATGATATGTCAGTGTACGTCCTTCAATCGTTTCAAAACTTCCCCCTTCGATCATGCCAGTATCCGTCCACTTCTAACTTCACCCCAGTAGCTTGTTTATTCATGCAACCTGCGAGCATGAGATCTGGTCCTTCATTCTATTCATGCATATATCTGGCGTCATGAAAAGGTTTGATACCGGAACGATAGTCTTCAGTACCTTCCTATGTATCCCATTCCTCACTGACAGCCTTTCCGCTTCTTTTAACATTGAACAGCTCGCTTTTGCTTTTGCTTTTGCTTTTGCTTTTGCTTTTGCCTTGATCTTAATTCGTTCAACAGGCGGGGGAAGTAGTATTGAATTCTGTCCATTAGTTTGATATACCACCGCACAGGTTAGCAGCACTTCAGTTATTTCTCTGGCGCGCTGCGCAAGAAACCCGAAGAATATAATCCAAGTACTGGGGTCGTCAGCAGTTCAGATGCTATCACCATGTCGATCACTGTGAATGTCTTATCGGCCGTTGGGCTTGCATCAGACACATTAACAACCCTTTCATTTTGATATTCCTATCTCGCTCGTCTCTGGGCAGTCGGGCGTTCGCCTTAAAGGAATGTAGCCTCACGACCTCACCGCTCTCGAAACCTCCATAAAGCTGTCAGCGTGATGTTGTCCTTAGTTTCGACCCCTTCGACGGCCCCGGATTCCTTCAGTTTATCTGATTAAAGGCCTGGGATAGATCTATCAACCTGCTACGGCTCATAGTGCAAACCTTTACTACCGTATGGGTGGGGCCTCAGTTCTCCTCCCCTGCACACCTATGCAGAAGGTGGGGAGTGCAATGTATGTCATCACCCGATGCTTGCTAATGTGCAATCAAAACTTCAGGCCTTCAGGTGATGAATATCAATACTCCCTAACATTGGTAAGCATCATGACGTTCCAACTCAATGATTTGTACCCACAAACTCTTACAATGTGGACGTACGCTGGAGACTGGATGCCAAGGTCAATATTCACTACTTTCAACAATTCTGTCGCATGGACTGACATGACATATCTTTGGAGTATTCAAAATCATCTTTGGACAACGCCTTTAAATGATATGTTATCACTACTATACGTTCGTATATATCTACTATGAATATGAAGCCACCTATGCACTTTGAGAGTCCGGTCTCCGACCAGTTGCAGTACTCGGTTGCCCAAAACTGGACGTTTTCTTTGTATTCTGACCATTCATAGAATAATCTTGTTCAAATAACGTCCCCCGGTCCTTGTGTACATGCTATAGTTATACTTCATCTTCGCTCGCGTCAGAGAAAGAAAGGTATTCGTATTACCGTCACAGCAATACTTCGAAATCGCGCCAGAGTACTTGGATTGCCCTTCACCATAAACGAACGTGCATGCTTCTGTGTATGACCAAGTACAAATGCGTACACGTTTATGGTATGAATTGAGACCTACGAACCTTGTTTTGGTCAGGCAGACTTTCTACTTTGCTAGAGCGTCTCTCCTCAGTTGCCAGCTTTAAGGCATCTCCGTGTTCATCTAAAGGGGAAAGTAGGAGATATGAATAGCTGACTAACCTGCTGGGACGACTCGTCAGACCGCTGTGGTTCGCTAAATGACAACAACGTTCCGGCATGCCCGTATCTTCGAGCGTCTTCGCATGCAACGCATCTGTCGTTGTAGAGTCTAATGATCTCATGGGAAAATGAGACCGGCGGAGATTTCGTTCATCGCTAGGAACCTACACGTCCGACACCCTATGGAGCGCGCTATATATATCGTACATCTTCTGTAGCACCCGGTGTTTGGTGTCCTGAAGATATGGGGGTCTTTGTTTCACTTGAGGGGTAGACTGAAGACTTCTTTAGAGCACCTGACCCTGGCATATTCGCAGCCTCCTGTTTCTCAGCGTTAACAATGCAGAGCTGCTGAATGGACGCTCACTTCTGAACCTTCCCTGTCACTTGAATCACATGAGAGCTTTCACAGACGACAGGCATTTCTGTGAGAATTGTGCTCGTCAGTGACTTCTGAAACGGCACGAAAGGATGCAATATTTAGTGCCATTGTACACTCGGGATACTGATAAGACGTACTTTGGGCGGGGAACGCCTTTAGCATATGCATTAGCAATGGAAGGGACCGAGTTTAGTGACAACGCACAAATCTAGGACTGGAAGTGACACTTGCGATACCTCGTGATAGCATTTTCTTCGAAACAGAATGCGAAACGGCATGAGGTCGAAACATACCCAAAGCATCAATCTGTGCTTTATACGTAATATCCCGCGAGCAAAGAAGAATCGAAGGCACTCCCTGCATAGACAAACCAGCCGTAAATACTGCAGCTGGAATTGACGGGTATTGTGCAAAGGTTCATCAGTCGACGAACACCTGTGAGGCAAGATCTCAGCGGGCTGAGGAAATGAATGATACTACCTGGGCTTGTCCAGCTTCGGCTGTTACAGCTAGATTCAGAACAATAGGCCCCTCGTCAAAAACTACATTCAGGTCGGTATGGGTCGGTAGCGTCGGAGTTGCCTCGCTAACGAAGAGCCCGGAGGCGGACGAGGGCGGCATGGCTGACCAGCACCGGATTTTCCTCCCGGCATGTGTTCCGTAGACCTCAGCATCACTGTCGCGTTAGCCGACGCTGAGTGTGATTTTTTCGCAGGGGCCTATCGTTTTGAATGTAGCTGTAAAGGATCACGCGTAGAATAGAATTAAGCAACAGCTTGTGGAGCTTAAGCACCTACACGATGATGACTTTAGTGGAACTCGGGACATGACGGCACCTCTTCTCCTGCCAGCACGTAGCGCCATCATGATGGGTTAAGAGAACATCGACAAGAAGTAGAAAGACACGGGTGTGAGATCTTGAAGTACATTTCACCGCGTGCAGACAGGATGTCATTCGACTGAGTCTAGATCGTCCAGACGCGATGGGGTGTGGTACCTTAGCCATGTGCCAGTTGAAACGAGATCTACGTGTAGTGGATGGGTAGTGAAGAATGGGAGGGAGAACGGCTCGTCATCGGTGGACGTAATGAGTACGGGATATGGCAATTAGGACGGACCAATCCAGTGACTGTCGCCGTACCAGAATCATTACAACCCGAGATTGTGAAAGATAATCGATAAACTATTAGCTACGTACATGTGTTGCATCCAAGTTCCTGGTATGAAGACGTACGAGCAGGACCCCGGCGTTCTGAGCTGGCTCAGAACGCCGGAGTCCTATGCATCGGTCCTATTAGTAAACGACCAACGTGGTCGACCGTCTTCTTGAATCAATACCAGTCCAAGAAGGTACTCAGGGAGCCTAATATACTCATCATGAAAGTACTTATGTCTTTCATTCCGGAGATCACCATGTAATTACTACACAACAAAAAGCTGCATTCATGCTTGGACCTAAAGTGGTTGGCTGAATTGCCCGTTTCACCGAGATGGCGCCCTCATCACAAGCAAACGAGACAGAGTCGTTGCGGGCTCAGGCACCTCACATTAAATGTACAGCTACTCGTGTGTTTGTTACGTGTACAAGTGACGCAGATGAGCGTCACAGGGTGAGCCAGTCATTCACATACATGCGGCGATAAGCTCTGACCTTACTCAAATTCTTTGTAAATGTGCAAATCTGTCGCCGCGAATATAGCCCACCCTGGAAAAGAGCGTACATCAGGATATTTTCTTATATCATTAATTTTTGTCTGCATACTGCTGTAGAAGGGTATGCAGATATGACAGAGTCATACCAAAAGTCCTCCCGATATTATCTTAGAATACATGTCACGTAATTTTCTTTTCTCATCACCCTTCCACGAAGCATCGTCAAACAGAGTTGACATACTATTCATACCACGACTACATGTATGACTTTGATAGCATTCTCGGAGCCATTAAGACCAACAAAACCAAGACTCGACCTTCTAGGCCCTCGCCATTGTGTTAATTGGAAACGCACACTATCGTCATTCTGAGATGATCAAAGGAACAATGTGTTCGAAGATCTACATGTTCATCTCTTGCACGATGTCGGTGCGCGGTTGCTTACAGCGATTTGGTACTCGCGGAATATCTCCACGAGATCGCTGTGTCGCGTGCGGATCTGTGTCAAACGTGGTGACGATGTAGATCCTATGGCCTAGTGAAAATAAAATAAAAAGCAACCTAAGCCGTAGTTTGTTTCTGTGAATGTTGTTACGCACCTTCTGAGTTGGAGTCTGCGCCGCTAACTCCATGAAGTTCGACACCTGGCTCAGGTGAGCTGAGACCTAGAGTCGACAACATTAAGACGGTCCTCACCTCCGAAAGTTGGACGGATATGCTGTCCCAGATCGACGTCACAGCAGCTAACTGCGTAGACACATTCTGGAATGCGTCAGATTGCGGGACACATGTAATATCTTGGTTGGTTTTCTCCTAAAGCCATCGTTAGGAAGCGTGAACCTGCGAGTAAAACAACCCACAGTAAATGAAATTTCGTCGATGTCCTGGTCTTCCAAGGTATGATAAACTGCATCCACTTTACGATAAACAGTCGTGTTTGCAAGGCGTTCAATCACCCTGCATATTTGGGATATCTACAATGGCTGAGTGGAATGAAAGCAATACTGGCATTGTTACAAACCTTTGAGCGAACCCTATGGTTGCCGCATTAAAGATAGTTAGAATGTAATAGAAGAGAACATACCATTTCAGAGCCATCCCCACTTTGCTGAGCCACGGAGTGTCTTCTTGACCATGGACAGGAGTGATACGCAAAAAGATTTCCTCCCAATCATGGGAGAACTGATTTACGTCTTCGTTCAGCTTTATAAGATCCTCCATTATTTCCTGACTGCTTGTTTGATCTCGGTCGACGGCCTGCCAATTCGTTGAGTGAAGTTGTAAAAACAGAAGAGGTATAAGACAATTACAGCTCGATAAGCATTTATATCAATACGGCCACCTTGCAAGATGGCATGGGTGTCATCGGGAAGGTTTGAGGGTTGTCCAGTGAATTCTGGAATTCCAATCGAATTCCGTTTCAAACCAGATAATAAAGTGAAATTCGAGCCTTACTTCTGCCGAATTCTTCAGCCCTTTCTGCAACATACCGTGACCTCCAAATGATTTGAATATATGTCTATATCGTATCAGCAAGCAGGAGGGAAGGAAGGTAAAGGAGTTTAGTACCCCACAGTGACCATCCCAAATGTCTGTGAGTCTCTTGAGATCATTTACGCAAGTGAGAGGTAGACAAAGAGAAGCGTCGGCGACACTCTTCAGCTGCTCGAGGACAGAGATAAAATCGTGATGTGATACGATACAGTCCTCTTTGAAGTTGCGAACTTGGACCAAGAGATCGGCTAGGGCTCGGTCTGTGCACCAAAATGGGTTGAACATGCTGATGCAGCGAGGGAGACCGTTAGGATAATAGGAGATCCAGAGGACTAGAGTTCTGCGAGAATTCTCCCTAAAGTACCTGTTGATATCACGGCGATTATGATAGGGAGCTTACGATTGAATGAATTCCGATTGTAGGTACTTGGTGGTGCGGCTCAAGTAATTATGGCTGTGGCCCATGTGCACCACACAAACACGGTCCAGTTATCCGTAGTGCCTAGAGCTTTATGAAAATTCCGAATAACGTTGGTTCTTGCGTTACCAGAGTTGGTCCTTGCGTGATCTGCGGGTATATACAAGGGGGTAGCACAAAGTCCCTGATCAAATCCTGATAGGACCACACGCTGTGGCGACATGGTTAAGTCATTAAATGGAACTAGACACTCCCCACTAGCAGAAAACTGCAATGGCATGCATTTGGGGCCTGTCTACCAGGATGCGAACAGCGTAGAGCCGACGGACCGAATTCGTCGCCACCGCAAACACATTTGGCTACAACAGAACATTACGAATGTTGAGGTGATTCGCGTCTTTCGTGGTAAAGACCAGCTACGTGTACGAGTTCAAATACAAGCATTCAAATGGTCATCAACAGCTATCCGGGATACATATTGCTGCCCTGACTTTGCCGACAAGCAAGGTTGTCAAACGCTTTCAGATGAAAGCGTCAGGATTTGCGTCGGTAGAAATAGCGTTCTCACGTCGATGGAATTCCGCTAGGTCATCGTTCGGCGTTCAAACTCTGTTCCGAATGCGCGCCCATCGTTCATTTATTGCTTCCGAAGTTCTGTGTAAAGGGGCGTAGCTTGTATTGTGTGGCATTCGGCGATACTAGTAGGCTTTTCGTGTATATACACCCTGCGATCATATATGTCTGATAGCGTTCCGTGAAGGGGGCGGCGTTGGGCGTATCTGGGTAAACACAAAACAGTTGAGAAAGTCTCAGTAGTTGAACGGTTACTCACATGGTATCAACGTGGATTTTCAAATGCACGAAACTCCCAGCTTTCAATGAACAATCCGACGGAAATATTCCCGTAAATTCACAAAGAGGTAAGTGTGTCGTTGGCGATTGCGTAAGAACCTCGTATAATTGTGCTCCCCGGAAATTCTGATCAAGTTGAAGAAAACAGTGAGAATTGTGAGCATCCTTGAATCTCTGACTCTTTCGGAATCATGTCCTTCACCTCGACTCTCGCAATAGCGCCCGGAGTCATGCGTGCAGGTGTCGGAGACCTATCAGAAGGTTGTTTGAAGGCTGAGGTAACTATTGTGACCATGACCACTTGTTTACATGTTTGTACGTTTGACATGCAAATAGACGCAATGTGAACGCCCAAGTTAGAATCAGAAAGGAGACTACACGGCTCTATGGCTAGATATCTTACGTTATATCGATAGACGACGCCACCTCGAATCGTTATCTTCTTTGACCTGACTGACAACGGAGGTACTTGGATCCCCCTGCTCAGCTGGAAGCATTGCCAGCGGCTACTTTGTAGGCGCTAAGAGCAAGGACACCACATGTGCGACGAATTTCCGACATCACTCGGTGTGGAAGGAGGCGAGATACTTGAGAAGACGGACGGAATGGTGCCTCACGACGTGACAGCTGTTGAGAAGAAACGCCACAGTCAATGGATCCAAAAAATGTGAAATACATTCGCAAACCAATGCAAAACTTAGTCGCTCGGACTGATAAAGGCAGGAGGAAACCAGATAGTAGATCTCCGGCGGTGACAGGATGAGGCATGCATATGTCCGAATGGTGTCACCTGAACAGTCAGCGTCGACTGCCAGTTGCAGCTATTTGCGGAACGATAGGCCACCTTCTGAAAAAATCCAGGACACGAGTTTCAATCCCCGAAGGCTAATTGCAGTTTTCCAAACCAACCATGAATGTAATTTGGAGCATTCGTGGAGCAGGAGTGCTTGCGGCGTCTCAGCCTGAGTGAGTGCCACCTTCAGCCGAGAGCGGATCTCGAAAGCCTCTGTGCTGGATTTTTTGCTAAAGTGGCCTATCATTCCGCAAATAGCTGTGATACTTCCGAAGAATACCGGTGAGGATAATGTAGAGTTCGTAAGTGGAGTTGACTCCGCTGGCGAAGATCCTTCGTTGGAACTGGAGAATACTCTATATTAGACGTATGTGACGGATTTAGAGAGCCGCTTACTTGTCAGGGTTGGTTTCCAATTCAATGACCTTCAAGTCATATTGGGCCTATATACAATCAATGGATGAGATGAAATGAGAGAACAGAAAACATAAAGCGCCCCGAAAGACAGCAATACTTCCAAGCCTCACGTGGATGTTGTGAGAATCCACCTTAGACGCATTCAGACAGGGGTCTAACGAGTCAATTGCCTTCAAATCGATTAGTGCCTTCTCCTTCCCCTGTTTGTGCCTTTCGGGTCCCCGCTCCTCCTCCACAAGCCAAGACGTGAAACATATATGACATACCGTGAGCCTAAAAGCGATGTAAGCACTATCCCCCTTTTGGACTTTCTTGAGATGACCATGAGTTGTATTGGAAGGGGCAACAGTCGCCTGAAGGCTCGATACAGCAAACATATCTCTGAAGAACTGTTAGATACACATACCGTACTTCTTTTCAGCCATATGAACAGAGATGACTGCTGCGCATTCGATACCAACGAGAAGACTCCAACTGCGGAGCCGATAGCCTTTACTTAACAGGAAAGATACGTCGGTGATCACTCTGCAATTCAGGCGGAACTGCATTCACCACCATCTGATACCTATGAAAGGCCGTAAGCCGCTTTTCCTCCTTCAATTAGAAGGCGAACGTACCTCTTAATCTTGAAATTTACACCAGGGATTTCTTTGTCGAATCTCGATGGCCTTGGTACATGATGTGTTGACGACAATGCGAGTGCACTTAACGGCATGTATCCATGAAGCCTTGAATCAATCAACACCCTTCAATGCTCCTTGAAACCATCTACGAGTGTCTTCGCCACCACCGTCATCTTCAAGTTTCTGCGGTGGAGATTAAACGTTCAGGATAAAAGAGTAGACATGTAAGAATGACCTTCTGAGTAATCTTGCATTTCGTCCTTAGTATAGTCGATATCTAGTTCTTGAGCAGGAGAAACACATTCGCGATGAGTCCAGATATCAACGACCTCAGTGCAAGAGTGGACTTGAGTCTCCTCCGCATTCGGCCTCGGGTTGTTCCGACGTACCATAAATGGTACTTCCAATCTACTAAGTTAAGTAACTTAAGCTTAGTCGTTTTCCCTCAACCATTTGCCTGGGTTTGGCGAAGTGGATTACGACTTCACGAGAGGATCATGATAAGCCCTGAGGCAAAGAGATGAGCTACGCCCCGCTCGTCACAACCTACATTCAGCATTAATGGCGTCGGTGGCGTCTTGTGCATAGCGACGCTCGCTCTGAACGTCTATGTAGATTCCAACAGGAACTTCAAAGTCTGAATATTTGCAGAGACCTCACATATGCGGCAAAGCTTTTGACCTTACCATTATGGTAGTCAAATCAATGTGGCCTCCACTCGGCGTAATTTCTATTGGCCATGCCTTATGATTTGCGAGCATACATACAACTGAGAATGACGTAGACTCAGGAAGAACATTACAACTGGGGGAGCGCTCATTAAGGATACAATACAAGAGCCTTGGGAACGTACTATGATACAGGCGTTAACAGAATATCATACGGCTAAGGCAATTGGGGTCAACCCATACCGCTACTTCTTGAATACGGGACTTTCTGCGTGTACCGCGATTTGGTACTCGTAGAATATATCAGCGAGGTGGGTATACGAATTTCGAGTCAACTCGAGTCGCTTGACGAAAGCTGCACGCCAATACTGCGCATAGAAATGAGCATGCTGGAAGGAGAGAAAGAGAGCCGGAATGAACGAACGGCCTTATCCTCTGTCTGCAAAGCAGTAGCGACCAACTTCTCGACCTCACTGAGATCGGCGGAAATCTGAAACGTACGGGTTAGGTCATGAGCCCGTTGAGAAGGGCCGAGTCTGAAGAACTCACACAGCCCCAAACCGACACAATTGCGCCCAATTTGGTCGCGATGTTCTTGATGTCCTGCATCCCAGTTTGGTTCTCGTCACGTTCGGCCTTCAACTTGTCGAGCTTTTCCACTTGCGCTAACAAATATGGATAAAGACATCAGCTCTTAAGGAAGGACTATAGAGTGCGACCTTGCCTTTCTTGATTGCGCATCGGCTGCGGATACCTTTGAAGGATACCTCTGCTGGTACCGCCAGAATCTGTCACAGTGAGAGTGCGGTCATCAGATCTTGAACCGAAAAAGGATGAGGGCGGTATGTACATACACCAGCCATACCCAAGGCTTCACTGTTACCATCAATGGCAAAGATGAGAGCCAGTATACCAGCAGCGGCCGCGATGAGGCCAACTGCAACACTCATCGAGACAATCTACAGGGGAATATGTCAGAGTCGGGGTAGCTGCTCGTTAGAAGTATTATAACCTTGATTTTCATCCTTCCATGCATAGCCCAGTCAGTATCGACTGACGCACAGGATAGATGATGTGTCACTTACGCCCGTATAGAAGACGAGAGTGCTTTTATCTCCTCTTCGTGATATTTGTATCGTAGGGAGAATCGGTACAGATGATTATGTTCTACGGTTTCTTCCCAGTCTTTGCAGAAGAACTCAATGCGCTTGGCCAGATTCTTGAAGCCATCGACCATGTCCCGCGCTTTTATCTTGTCCCTTTCGGCTTTCTGGTATCGCCATGTGAATAGGGATCGAAAAAATCCACAAACTGCTATACATCACCTGCTTGGAGTCTCGGATTGCCTCTTGTATCTCCGTCATCTGGATATTGGTATTGAGAAGAACTTCGTCGATGATAATCTTCGCGAAATCTACCCATGCAATGGGGCACTATTAGCTAGGAAACCAAAAGAGAGGCCAAGTTCACCTGTTGCGGCAACCCTGGCATCTCCAGCAACGTCTCGTGATTTCCACAGAAGAGTGGAGTAAGTCTGTACAAAGTCGTTTAGAGATAATCAAGCCTGACTCTGCATTACATCTGAGTCGTCGTACAGTCTGCAAGTCATGCCAGATGTGGGTTAGGCGTTCAACGTCTTTGACAAGTTCTTTCGGAATGTGCGCCTCGGCCAGGTTGTTCAACAAACGTGAGATACTGTCGAAGGACGAATCTATTGAGAGTGTATCTACGCTTAACTGCTTCACTTGGGCAAGGAGTTCGCTCTTCTTGTCATCAGTGAGGCATGCCTCAGTGGGTAGTGCGGTCTCTGGAACAGCAGCCATAGACAAGTGTGATCAACGAGTAAAGGTTTCGGTGAGTTACGGCGGTGGATGAAAACCGCCGTATTTCAAGGCATGGAAACCTGCCTTGTTGTTGGGTATATCATATAGTACGAGGACATGTGCATGAAGCGTTAGTGTGAATACCTAGCGTCAACCACGAGGAGGCTTTCGAATCTCAGCATCATAGAGAGTTCATTAAGGGCAAAGGGGAAAAAGGAGATGAAAACAACGTTGAAGACGCTCCTTTTGGTGACGGACCTGCCTTGTATGGACTTGGTTCTCATGGTCCGATAGCGAGAGCGCCAAGCATTTCAAGTTTCACTTTGACTCTGATTATACGAAGTTCTCTAGTTTGCATATTCCGACTAAGCCAATTCCCCTTTCTATTGGCCCTGGTAATCATAAAGGGTTCCACTGCACTTACGGATATGTCTCAGAAATTGCTCATTGATGCGTTGAATTGACGGACACACACAGAGAAGGTTCTACTTCAGGACGCCTCTATTATCATGAGCAACGAGGATGCCATGTTGTTCTCATGCCTCGCCCGCTACGCTGAAGGATTCACTCCTTGCCTGTAAAAGCAGAGGTTTACTCGAGGCAAGTCTCACAGAGTGCCCTCAAATCATACCCTCGTCATGTCGTTGCAACAATCTGCACCAAAATCTCAATATATCCTCCTTCTCTTAGGCGAGGAAACGAAGTCCATCGACAAGCACCTCTTCGACTTCGAGGACAGCGTTGCGAAGTTGGAGCTTCCATTGCCTGTTGATCTAGATTTGTGCCGTGTATGTACTGTTTCTTCTTGCTCCTTATTGACATGAAATGGCTAATCTCAGACACGCAGGTGTTTTCAGAGCTAGTCTGGAAGTCGAAGGATGTTGCTGGTGATATTCGGGTTTCAATGAATGGTGTGTAAGTATCGTGTTCTTAGTCAAGAATCTTTATTTACATATTTCACGAAGATTTCCGATACGTCATGCTGAGAGAGATTCAAAGTCGAAGTACTCGAACGCAGGAGAAGGTTGATAAACTGACGAAATGGCTGGAGGTTGGTTTCTTCTATGTGTCACTGCTTGCTGTACGTTGACGGTTGTCTCCAGCCAATTCGGGCTCAGATTCAGGTATCCATTGCGATTTCGATACAGTTCAGGCGGTTTGCGGGTGATATCAAAGTCTATGCTGAAAGTCTACGCACATCTGAAGAGACTGAGGCTAAGGCAATCCGGCGAAGTGTCGACCTCGCCAATCGACGGATTGAGGAGTGCGACGCCAAAATAGAGGACCAATCCACCATTGGTTGTTCCGGAATGTTTCTTCAATTCGGCCACCCCTTCAGCATGCGATATCACCATAGATCTCATTCCCAGAAATCATGTCAATGTAACTCAAAGACGTCAAGTTGTACATCTTTGGCCTCTTCGCAACACCATGATCCCGAACATCATCCGCAATCGAATGAGTCGGAAATGATGCGACCCCAGTCTAATCTTCGACGTGAGGACGTTCTTCGAGGCATATTCAGACCTTGCTGACGTCTCAGTTTACTCAGAGCTACGCAGGATTCGTGAGCAACTCCAGGTTGAGAAACACGATGTTCTTGCGCGACAACATCGTTTCCATACAAGAACAATTCATAATATGAGACCATCGGATTTCCTGTTTACGGTCGTTTCGAGCATTGAGGTCCTCGCTGAGCATATGGTCGTGCTTCAGAATACATATAACGAGGTTCGTGCGGTTACGTCCTGAGTCTGTACTGACATTGACGCATCGCATAGCTGTCTTCGGATGTAAAGGAACTTAGGAATGCTTTGTGGCATCGGAGGTCAATAGATACGTTGGTGAGTGTACCAATATATCTGTGTTCGAATTCAGTGTTCATTTCTTTATGGTATTCAGGTGAATTCATTCGGACCTACTCTTGACGTTTACTCCAAAATGTTTGAGAAGTATCAAGCATCAACATGAAACTCTACTCCGAAGATAACTTATCCATTTTGGAGGAGATGGCGCCCTTCGCTCTGTTTTCTATTTAACTCGTTCCCATTATTGCATACCTTCGATCGACACTCTTCACATCCCAAGTCTACGCCATCGATTTGCTGATCCTCCCGCGTGCACTGAGCGTAATCCTCGTGTTTTCTATATTCACTGAAATAACTTTGGCTAGGAACTCACGGATTACGTCAACGTAATCCTTTCTATGAGCGTCGCAGTGGCCCTTGGTTACATTGCCTTGCTATTGCCTGCACTGTTGGTCCCATGAGGGACATGGTAGGTCATTTGAACGACAGTGTATGAGCGTCGTGGACGTTCAGATTGACGATGTTATATGTCGGTCACTTTTACTCATCATTGTCAACGATTTCTTTCCTGTCCCAATATTAAATTTCTGGAGCCCACTCCTACCGCTATGCCTTGGATTCTCCATCGTCTCACGGGTGCGTCTGCTCCTTATGATCCGTGTGCACTAACTATATTTGAGTTTCGCCTTCCAGCGTTGCAGGATCAAATTCAACAACTGGAGAAGGATAGGATATTGAAAGCTGGTTATGGCTTTTAAGATGGTAGTTCTTGCGTCAATCTGGGGCCGTGTAAGTTTCTCATAGTGGTACCGAGCCCGAATAAGTGAAGTATTTTTGTCCTTAGGTCTCAGAAGACCTCAAATACACCGAGGTATGCTCAGCCACGTACCCGAGAACATCATATCGAGAGGTGCAAAGTGTCCAAGGACTTTCTGAGACTATAAGCTGGTATTATTTGTGAAAGTATATGCGTAAAATATTTGAAAGTCATATGCAAATCGAGTCATGCCATCATGGCTGTGTCTCAGAAGATAACAAGTCGCAGGAACCGGTATTTCAATCGGCTTCGACCAGTGACCAGGACCCATGCGGTAATGTGTCGCGATGCCCTATATACAGTATCTCAAAGATATCTAATTGTTCCCGCTATAAGATTATCCTCTCTATAAGGGAATCTCCTTTTGAATATATTTAGCTGAATTGGCTGGTCCATAGGTACCAGAGGCGAAGTTATTCATTAGCACAGTTTTGATAGCATCAAGAGTAGGATACTACGGAATGCCGTCGAGATCTTTGTGGGTTGTTTGCTACTTTCAAGCCACTTGTTTGGAATTGAAAACGAAAGTTCGGCAGATGTGACTCTAATTCAGCAGCGTAATGAAGGATGAATTAGGAAATATATAGGTAGGGCATGAGGTAAGAAAGCGCCTTACAACGATGGAGGAGCATGTAACGTTGTCAAAATAAAGAAAACATAGTAGTAGCTCAAGCGGAAAATTCAATCTCACTGGCTTCTTCACCACCACGCATAATTCCAAACCACCTCGGAATCTCGTTCCAGACGTCCTTCCTCTCACATTCGACCGATGTAGCAAGCTCGTTCTTGCACAGGGCACAAATCTTTAGTCCACACAACTTCTCTCCGTCACTAAAGTCAGTTCGAGTGAGCATGTCCACAGCCTGTGCAAAGCTGTATAGAGGATCCGCGTCTCGTCCATGGGATATACCGCCGACAGCTCGAAGGACGTTGAGCATGATATAATAGAAAGACTCGCGGCAGACTCGTCCGGCGTCGTTGTGTTTGTTCAGACATCCTTTGGAGATGGGTCGAGATGCAAGCTCTCGTTCAATGAACGCAGCAAGATGACGTTGAGCTGATTCACGGCCCAAGAATACGACACGAAGCTCCTCATAGTTCAGTTTGAGGAACTCCGGGTCCATAGGTGTATCTACAGGCTCCGGTGACGTACATGGTGCAAATAGCAGAGGGGGTGGAAGAGGCGTCCCAGAGACGATCCGACGAGGTCCGTATCGTGAGAGATCGTAGTAGGCCGTGGGTAGGATGTCAATAATGTCTAGCTCCAGAGCGAGGTTGATTACGAGTAAGGGATGCGGGTAGGCATCACGAGGGTTATATCGACCGCTGTCCTCAGTAGCTATACGCTCTCGTGTATCCCAAGCTTCCAACGTGACTGGCCAGTCGGACCGTAGACGGAGAAGACACCTTCGTCGGAGATGGTCAATCATGTATTTCGAGGAAAGACGGAGAACAGCAGCTATGATTGGGAAGTCATTTGATGAAGGCTGTTCGAAGTATCTGTTCAGGCGGTTGTCAGCGAAACTCGCGATGCAGGCGGTAGATATGGGTTCACAAGCCATCGTAGAGGGCACGTAGTAAGTAAAGAACATCTGATGGTGTATCGTGCAGCTCCACCCAGGGACATCCTTCAAGGAGCTCTTCATCGTCTGGTTGAGGGACGGTGAAAAGGTCTTCGAATATTTGCGAATGTCGCTCAAGTTGTCCCTGGTGCACTTTGAAAGCGACATTATTGCATATTAAGACGATGTTTCCGTCTGCAAACCACATGTCCGAACGAATAAGCTTGGCCAGATTGAGGGGAGACTTTGACATGATGATGAGAGAAGGCAAGGCCAGGTGCGTAGGTGAGTCGGCAGAGTCTTCGAGATAACTTCAGCCGTTTTGAGCCACAGTGTCACCCTCTTTCCGATGACCTCGACAACTTCCTAGAGACCTAGCTGACATTAGGGCTGACAAGAAGTAATGTCGAACCATAGAATGCGGTTGAACGAAAATATTGTTGGGAGAAAGTGGTGAGCCGCAGAAGAACCAAAGCCACGTTCATGAGACGTCGAGCCTGTCGTTCAACTTGCCTACTTGCAAGTAGGAAGAGACAAAGCTTGGAGAAAGCCGACGACGAAAGATTCATCGCTGATTACCGCATGCAGACTACCCTTTCGGCAAACTCCGTGGTTGCAAGAGACTACTTAGCGTGACTTTTGTTTTCCTTCCTGACACCGTTCATGTACTATTCCCTTCTGCATATTCTTCTGTCGATCTACAATCGTCGTTATCCTAGGGCACTCGCGAAGACGTGGAGTTCCGCTGTTTGAGTTTGACTTCGCAGTGTGCGATATTACACCACGTTGTTCAAGCACTATTCTACCTACGATTGACATTTCATTTCACATCCGTGGGTACTGAGGTTGAATCGTGACACTGGCACTGACAGACCCAGTTAACGTCTTTCTATCTCGAGGCGCCGGATTCCACATAGCATTCAGAACGCATTTTCTCAGACTCCCCGTTTTGCAGCATGTCCGCTCTACCGACAGCGAGTCGTGGCCGGCACTTTTTGTGACAACGCTGTGCTTATCCGGACGTTGAGCACTCCAGGTTAAGGGCAGCTAAAGGTGCCTATTCGCCCTTCCCGTTTCTCTGGTGCTGTTGCTACCGTTGAATGTCTTGTGACGTCTTCTCGGACTTGAACCGTTGAAGTCATGACAGGAAAGGCAAACGGAAATGGTCGCAGTCGCACCCGATCACCTCGTCCCTTTCGATGAGGGTAAACACATGGTGAATATCTCAATTCTGAATGGCACGTTTCTGATACGTGAACGTTTTGATGATGTTATGAGATGGAACCATGTCGGATGTATTTACCCTCTACAAGGTTCTCCATCACTATTTAAAGAGTCTCACTGGTCCGCATCACAAGTCAAATCCACTTTCTAGGAACTCTTTTTGGGGGTGGTCGTCTCATCAGTGTCGATCCCGTAATGTCTCCCATCGACAAGTTTCAGCTTCCTAGTGTTCAGCAGAATGTCATCGAACAAATCCGATCACTGAAGTTCGACCACCGGATCATTCACGACGATTTCATCTGCGTTCAACGATCATTGGAGGGTGTCAGCACCTGCGTCCGGTGGTCGAAGCTCAAACGATGTCAGCAGATGATCATCGCTTGGAAGGGACTGCATCAGGTTTTTTCCTTGTTTCGGTTTTTTGCGTCAAATTGACTGAGAATTGTGTCGAAATAGGACTATATCTCTCTAGTGTGGAAATCTAAAGACGTCGCTGGAATGGCGCGGTCCACTGCAATCGGTTTGTGCTCCAAAATCTCCTAAACCAAAGTTATGTCTGAATACAAAGTCAGACTTTGTTGATGTTGTGATTCCTACCATTCTGCAAAACGCGGAGCTAAGCATCGAGCAAAAGATGGATACGATGCACGACTACATGAAGGTGTGTTGACCACATCTGATACAGTAAAGGTCACAGTTGACATTTCATAGCATCTCGAAAATGATGGAAAAGAATCAAAAAGTCTCACCGACGGATTCCTGAAGTTAAAGAGAGATGTGGATGTCTTTTGCAATCAATGGAATGATCTCATAAAGGAGCATCGGTTGCTCCGCCTTGTCACCCAAAGTAAGAAATGTGAACAGCGTCTGGTGGAGCTGGACGCCCAGCTCAAGCCGTGCGTATATACTATTTCCGAGCATGGATTTTTGGTAACGATTTCCACAGCCTCCAGTTCAAAGTGAGTATATTTTTTCTGATTCACCTTGGCCCGTCGCCCACGTTAGAATATCCACACTAGATTGCCGCTCTCAAGATAGCAGTTCAAGTTGTCACTGCTACGCGAACCCTGATCTCATTAATGGATGGTTCTGCTATGGGTCGAACGGCTGTAAGTATTGAATTCAAACTCTCGTCACCGGCTTTAACTGACTGGCGGCGAAGGGTGGTGACGTCGCTCCGACACGTCTCAAGCAGGCTCTTTCTGAAGCAGACCTTGAGATACAAAGTACACTTTCCTTGCTATGTGTCAGATTACGGAGATTCAAGTTCCTCAGATCTTAGACAAAAGAATGCTCGCCATTTGCAAGATGTTCAGGAGCTCGACACACAGAGCACAGAGCATAAGATTCGCGACATTGCGGCTAAACTTGGCGTTATTGTCTCAGTGTGGGCTGCAGTAAGTCCATTTTAATTCGGTGTTTCTCTTGACTTACGTAGCATATTGTAGATAGTGGCTGATTTGACTCTTGTCAGCGGCCTGCTTGAGCACGCAGTTCGCAGCCCAGAAAATCCGGTATATCATGACAACCATGATGTGATTTCGATTGTTCTGATTCCGTCTCGTAGACTCTCCAGGGCCTCTTCAATGGACGCCTGAAACAAATTCACAACCACTATCGTGGTCTTGCCGAAGTATTCCATGAGTTCCAAGTTGCCTTGAACGATACGTCCCTCCCGGCGCTTCGCCGATCTCGTGAACGGATTCTTTAACTGGTAGACCCCTTTCTGCTTTCTGTCCATCCGCATTACTGACAGTCTCATGAAGGCTATCTCGATGTGTCGTCTTGCGGGCTGGTTTCTCGGAATAGAAGGATTCACTCCCTATGACGCTCAAATGCAACGATAACAAAGGTTGACGTCTTGTTGCCTGTTTTAATTATTGAAATGCAATTCGCTCTCCGCTACCCTTTCCCAAATCTACCTTATTATGTTTCAGTTACCTTGCCTTGTACATTTCCGTGATGCGCGTGTACTTTTTGCTTCAAACGCGGAATGACGGTCATATCTCTGGCTTGCGTGGTGTTCACATGTCTGATGGAATGCTTCTGAATGAAGCCTCGCGCCTTAGTCGTGCTGGGAATATCCGTCCGTCCATCCATCCGTCCGCGGGTCTTTGGGACCGCTCGTGGGCGTAGCACTCGGATGATATCGAAACTTGGTTTGTTTTTATTCATCATGATCCAATTAACTTTACTCAGTCCTCCGCCGACCTTGAGGCTGTTTGCGAGAACATGTAGGCGTCCCACTTGCCTCCGCCCCTTCCCATACTTTCATGTCGTCCTCAGCCAACGAGTTCCAACTTTATCAAGACGTTCTACAGGAGCTCAATGGGATCATGCATACCGTCCTCAGAGCTCTGTTCGGATTATCAATCTTAGCTTCTGCAGCGGAATTCCCCAATATAGCAACCAAAGTGGATGATTTTCGAACGGTTCGTAAATGTGTATCTCTCAGTTTCGTGTGGCTTATTCTGAGCAGGCTTTCTCAGATCTGTCTTGGGTGGTTAGAGACGTTGCAGGTGACATCAGGACCGCCAGCATAGGTTCGTCACGTTCGTCTGTCCCTTTGTGTGATGTATCGATGACTATCTAGACTTCCGTTACGCCATTTGGAGCACCATTCAAGACCCAAAACTATCTATATCCTCGAAGTTGGACATCTTGGATTCTTGGATGAAGGTCAGTTCATTGGTACGAAGGATTCCCTACTGTTGATTTGGTCAAAACAGTCTTTGGAAAGCAAGAAGCTGGGGGCTTTACGGATGCCCGATCAATTCCATCGTTTCTGCGGCGACTTTTCCAAACTATCACAAGAAGCACAGGACACCCGTGATCAGAGTGAACTTGCTATCGAGAAGGATATCAAATCTACTTCACATATGCTGCAGGAGCTTGGCGAAGAAGTTTCACCTGTCTTGCTTCTGAAAACCCTGGCTGGTCAACTAAAATCTTGGATCAAGAAACTTCGGTTTGCCATGGTAAGTACACACTCTGGACTTAGAATACGACTGAAACGGCTACATTCTTGTACGCTCAGTTGAATTGGATGTCTCGCAGAAGTGCATCTACCAACTCTTCGATCCAAGCCACGCCGGGCATTCGGTCTGTCATGAGCAGAAGAGAAGGTGTGTGGTATCTATTTCCCCTTCTCAATTAACTCAATACACCATTAGAATTAAAGGCGCTGCGTGACGAGAAAGAAAGAGAACTGCAAGTTTTACAAACTCGGAAGCGACATCTGTTGGGTCTTCACTCAAAAAGAGATCAGTTTGTTGAAGAGGTGGCGGCAACCTGCCAAAAGATTGCACTCGTTGCTGCAAAGGTTGACGTCTTTAGCAAGATGTATCATAAGGTATTTACTACGCCGAGTACATGAAATATTCTTGACCATTTCCAGCTTGATGAAGGCACCGAGGGGATTAAACATGTTATTTCGGAGCAAGCCCCAGTAAGTGGCATTATAAGAAGTGCACATATGCTAGCTGACAGTCACTAGGACTTGAACGTAATTCTCATAGCGTTTCGTGACAAGCTTGATCGGTACTCGAAGATGTTGGAGGAATTCCAGAAGCGCGCAATGTGAACGATTGAAGTTATCTACTATTTATTTGTGGGAGTCTACGTCTCATGCCGTTCTTGCGAGTCATTTGATGGGTTAAGACGCGAGGATGAGATGGACGGATTTAACTATCGAGATGTTTCTATATACGATCGAAAACATCCAAAATAGGCAATGACTTTATTTTCAGGTGATCGTCGATATACCCAATGCGAGTTGCAGTTCCTGCATCGTAGAATACAGGAGTAGCTGAACACGCGAATGTTTCCAGTTAGCCACATCGCCGCCCTGATGAACTTGCGAATGTTATGCATACCTCAACAGATTCATGACTGGTAGCGTTGGGTGCGTCTAAAATTTGAGAAACTTGGATGCAGAGCTAACACGAATTGAATATCAGTGTCAGAGGATAGGAGCCTAACGCCATGCAGATTTATTACTTCAGCGCACGTTCTCTCTAGTATGGAGATGCTGGGGAGCAATGCCATTAATCCGCTTTCAATGTTCAGTAGTACATCCATGGTCTCTCGTTGGTCGCTCAATTGGTCTCTCCTCTGCTTCGCGCCACTGGTGTGTTGGCTGATGTGAATAAGCGTACGTTTTAAATCTGTGTTTCTCGCTGAATAATAAGAATTGTGTGTATGCATTGAATACTTACGGCGTAGACCCCGAGGTGCCCGCTGATTCGCTTCTCGTGCGGTTGTCAATCGCTGTGCTATTTCGGCTCTCACAGTAGCAATGGAATCACCGAGACTCCTGAGGTGTATCGTAAGAGCTTGTGACTTGCTTTGATACTGCTTCAAACTCTGCCAGAATGCCATTGATGAATGTAGAATAAGGTGAGCAGACTATACTCCAGCAAACCTTAGCCAGAGCTAACCAATCATTACGTCTCGAAGGTGATTCATGAAAACTCCTCGTTACGAGGCGGTCTAAGATGAAAATAGCGTAATCTAAGCCATAGCGAGCAACAATAATATCGACTAACCTTCCAAGGCGGCGCATATACCAGAGGCAACATCGTCTCGTTGCCACAGCGCATCCTGAAACGACTATGGGTAGTTTTGCGCACTGAATGTTATTCATGTTTCTCATGTTAAAGAGGCATTCACGGACCTTATTAGCTTCTGAAACGCTCTTCACAATACTACTCGGAAATCCAGCATGATTCACGATAACGGTGACATTCTTGAACATATTGTAGAGGTCCCTGCTTATAAGAAAGATGCTTCTTGGCATATCCGGGGAATAAGAGTGGAGAGTGGACTCCATGACCGTTCCAAGATGTCAGAAATCGACACTATGCCACTACCTATAAGAAATAGAACACGTGGTAACCTGTCTGGAGGACCGGCTGTATCGCATGCGTCGTATCAAAGACTTCACTTTATGTCGGTGACGTTGATGCCTCGAGCCCGGGACTAATGAGGTCGATCACTGCTTTACATGCGACAAAGGCGTGCCGGAGGCCTCACCGACATGCCAGTTAGACCTTTTTCGTCCTGCTTCCCGATCTCTTGTCTCCGAAATCTCGGTCAGACTGCTTAGGTGTTGTAGGGCGTCTTGTAAATGAAATAGATATGTCCTTATCTACAACTGAGGCGAACGAGGCTTATGCACAATCCAAGGTGGCTCAATAAAGTAGGCTATAATATCAACCAAGGATATGAAGCCATGCAGGCCTCACGCTGCAGTCTCGAAGGTCTCTAACGCGTTTGAGGCCTCAGCCAACCAATCACTAGCCTGTCTGACACTCTGCTGGAACATCTATAGCAAAGGATGCATGAGTCATGCGAGATGATGCGCATCACTGGGACTGTACCGTGGCTGTTGTCACTTCTGCCTTGAGCTTGGAAGCGAGTCTTTCTATCTATATCACGTTATTAGCCATCATCTGAGAGTGCTGTAGTAAAGGTGATACGTACTTCAGTATAGAAATCATTAAAAACACTCATGCCTCCGAGAAGGGCAAGGAAGTCGTTATCGATAGCGGCGGGATCGAATTCCTCGCTCTGCAAAATATTGGAAGAAGCTGCCAAGGCACTGGACAACCCATGAAAGTCCTGATAAACGGCCGTCACAGCACGAATCCTGTTTCTGAATGCACCGGACTGACATTACTTTAGTCGCTGCCAATCCATGGTCAATGAAAACCATCTCACCTGAGTGAACTCATCTAACTTGAGTGTCTTGGCTTCAGGGCTCGTATCTGCGATCAACAATTCACCGAGTACATTGGTACGAAAACCTAAGACACGGTTTAGTCAGCTAGAAACATGCTGGATTCTGGTATTATTCACGTTCTGCAGTCCTTCGTGCATCGAAAGCAATGTTAATGCGGAGCTTGCCAATGATGTTCATAAAGAGCTGCAACCAAACTTATCAGCATTCACGATTTAAGACAGTGAAGAAACACCATACCGTATGACAGTTCTCGAGCGTATGGTCAGAGGTAAATGACTGTCCGTTCCGCATAACGTGGTTCTGAATCTGGTGAAGCTTATTTCCTAGAGTACGACTGATCGTATTGACCTCTGTCAACTGGTCGCGGAATTGGGCCATCATTCTGGATACAACCTAATGATGGGTCAGGTCGATTTGTCGAATGGCTGGTCGTCTTGCTATATATATATATATTCAACGACTCACCTATGTGTGGTTGTTTGTCCTGCGTGATGTCTTCTAACGGGTTCCGAGAGAAACAAACCCACTCGCCACATCTGTCAAAGAATATTCAATCCGGGCATACCAGACGCTAGATACTTGGATAAGGCATTAAATCAGAGATGTTCCATATTTTGTTGCAACGAAGTCTCGGTGATAGTATTCCCGAAGAAGAATCAACTTGAGAGTTTTCGAAAACCTAGTTTCTGATGTCAGGGTCTGGCGTAGAAAGAGGCGATTTCGCTCTTTGCCCAAGAGCGATGTGCGCTAATAGTACGAGATTAACGTGACATATCAGGCGACAACAGAAAATCGGTCAAAGAAGTTGTACAGCTGCGACCCAATACGACGATTTACCGGGCGGAACGCCTAGCGACTGCTTCATCTCTCAATGGGCCTGAAGAACCGTTCGAATAGTAGTGTAAGCGAATATACAGTAAGACCATAAGAAGTCGACATACAGATTCCAGTTTCATATTCAGGTTCTTGGCCAAGGGTTCATGGTTCAGCTGCCTTCAGTCTTGGCTTCTCTTTCCGCCAGCACCATTGGGCGTGATATTCCTGACAGTTGACACGGTCGTCGCGCTAGGCTGTATGAGTAAACTAAGAGCGCGATGTCGTGAATCTGTGATTACAAGATTATAACATTGATAGCTTCGCACGTCCTTCGAGCTCTCACCCCGACGTGGTGACATGAAGGTCGATCCCTGTATACGTCACCGGTGTACCTTAAACTAGTCCACCGCCGGCTCTAATATGCAACAGGGTGGCGGAAGAAGTACCCTATCAGTGTTCGATGCAATCGATAATCGGTGGTGACGCGCGGGTTGTACGAAAGGAAGACGTCTGTTCATGCAATGATTGAGGGATCCGTTCTAGAAAAACAAGATGACCCATAGACAGCGACAGATGATGCTTTATGCTCCAGGATCCGAATAAACAATATGATATTTATGAGGCACAGAGTAGAATATCAGGAAAACAGGGAAAGACGCACCATCAGGCATGCTCAACCAATGACTTATGACCATAGTGACTTCACGATCCCGGGAACATGATGTATCAGGCGTTCATCGTATCCCATGGATCGTAGGAATGAAGTATATCTATTGACTCAATTGGCCTGGTCCACAGGTCTACATCGGAAAGCTAATCTTCCATCATGCTTGTCTGACAGATGTTGAACAATTATGCTCTCTGAGAGGATAGCTCGTTGTCCGCGGGGCCCCGGGATGGTATCATCACCATTCGCTGTCAACAGTCGCAGGATCACAGACATACCGTTATAAGGCCTATTCAGTCCAACCCTATACAATGTTGGTTAGTTCAGCGTAAGGATACAGAATAGAAGGAGCTGGAGAAGTGTTGGCGCACACCGGTGAAGCAATAGCGCGGAGTGCTGTGCACTGGAGCCATTAGCGCGATACCCTTCGAATGCTTGTACCTGACCTACACGATGTAGCCCAGACTTCGTTCAGTTGGAGAGCAGTGGGAGTATTTTTACGCGCCGAGATGAGACCCCGAGGATGTGAGGATGGTCGACCTAAACGAGGAGAATTGGAAGCTGTTACTAATTTCAAAATCTTGTCGGCGGTATGTCAAGGTCCGGACACCGACTTGCAAAGGCGTGTTCTTGCGAAACAAGTAAAAGTGCACCACCGTCAAAAGGAACTAGATGGAGCTTCTTAGCTATCTCTCTGATCTTGGTGAGCAATTCGAACTTGGTTAGAGTTTCACGCTTGACTTGCACATCAAGAGCTTACCTTTGCTGACGTTGTTCGCGTTACCATACAGCGACCAAGCTGCTGTCGTGTGCAAAGAAAAATGCAGCCTTCCCCGATAGAAATACCGGCTGCAGGAGTATTACTCGTACTCACTGGTCGTAGTACATCTGCATGTCGAATGGCCCTGAGCGTCGTACGGTTCCTGGAATGCTTATAAACGTGGGATCTGGCACATCTGTGTGTCGGCAAACTCCGAGAACTTGTTAGATGAGTTGGAAGTCAGTCTGAAAAACTCACTACGAGGGTGAGTCGGGGTGACAACGTTGACGGCTGTTTGGCACGTACGAGGAACGCCCTATCCCCGGTTCTCCGATTTGAGACTGTACAGTATCAATGTGATTATGACGTTGAAGGACTCGAAATCCATTCTCGCAGAGTCGATAGCTATTCGTTCTACCGAGTAGTGGAAATAATCAATCAAGTTGCCGTTTTCGCTGTACTGACTATGGCTCTGTGCGAATTATCAGACTTGGTGTGAACTTGGTTTCAGTAGAGCTTACCGGTAAGGATTCAGTGAATCCTAACGTACTGTACCATAGTCAAGCTCCAGAATAGTAGAAATGCATTTGTCGGGGCCCATCACTTGGGAATACACGCAGAGACGCAGATGAGAGAAGCAGTAGACATTGGCTCGGTCGTCCATGATGGAGAGTTCTGACTCCGACTGTGGAAGAGGCGTTTGGGTCTCTTCGCAAGTTGTTGCAAATGGTTGAATGATAGTCCGAATGTATAGATTCGCACCTACTTGGCCAGATTTCGTGAAGAGACTAATTATCTCCACCGAACAGCCCAAATCGACTTCTGGCGAAGCGAAATCTAGAGTTGCTACAAAACTCCGCCCAATCGATCAACAGGATGCGAAGCTTGAAGAAGCTGTATACGGCAGCGCTTCTCCTGATTATCCGATTAAACTTTTGTCCCTTGATCAAGCACACCAGTATGTGATGCTAACCACTTTCTCAAGTTAGCGTAACGCCTTGTGGCGCATCTTCTCATGTCAAGCTGACCCGAAAGGAAGTAAATAATGAAATGGCGAGTACAATGAAGTAAAATGGCTTGGAAAAAGATTGTGGTGTGAGTATGAGCGTATAGGCGTACCAACCGGAGTTCCACATGACATGATGTCCTGTCAGGCCCATATAGTGACATACTAGAGGCCTAGCGTCGATGCAGAAAACCGACGGTTTAAGCGTCCCGAAATAGGAGCCTGAAAGACGAGAAATAGGCAATTTACGAACATATTGGCGAGGAGCTCGTGTGAAGGTGCATCCCGGGAAACTTCTCCGAGGGTGAATCTTGCTGGAGCTGGCAGGCTGAGGAGGAATTGTGTCGACGCAGACACTGGCATGAGGACACCACAAGACACGTCGAGAACTACGCTGGAGCTGTCCAAACCCTTGTTGGCGTACCTCAGAGTCGGTTTGAGTTTTCAATGACAGGCAGCTAGCCGCGAACAGTTACTAGCCATGGGTACCTGATTCCCAGTGAACCACTGAACGCTAAGGCCTTAAGGTTTGACTCGGTGGCTCCGCATCGCCAGATGAGCTATTTTGTCTCGGTCCCTACGGAAAGAACGAGCGTCAGGGATTGAGTAGACCAGTGAGGGATGCATGTTTCAATGTTTCCACATGCTTATGGGCGGTTAACAAAGATTTGGGGTCCCAAGCTTTCCCAGAGGTTCTTCAGAAGTGTTAATACTACTGTACCATCTGAGGGTGAGTTATCATTCAAGGCGTCAGCTCCTCCCAACGGAAGATGCCATTTTCTCACGCTCAACTGGCCTCCCAAGTGGATCGCACCTTTCGCGATCTCTTCATCGACATCGCTAGGGAAACAGGGCTTTAGAATGACTGAATGATGTGAACGCAGCTTGAAAACTTAGTGTCTTAACGCAATTTGATGGAATGAGGATCAATCTTGAATTTTGAATGCAACTGACATGCTATTAGTACCTCAAGGCGTCAAGTCATCAACATACGTATGCGATCATAAGCATCTATTCATATTCCTGCTAGCGACCGAGCTGTGGTAGAATAGATACATTATAATATTAGTCAACGTCCGTGAAGCGTAGCTCTGCTAAGACAGTGCCTAATTTACGAGGGACGCGTGTGACTACCATGCTTGCCAGCTCATGGCGTTCTCGTAGTCATCTAGGATCCTGAGTAGCGAAGTGTAGCCCTTATAAATATGGTCGATACGGTCTTTAAACAAATAGCTCAGAGGCTAGGATGGCTTGAATCAGACCGTAACAGACTGCAGGGGATCACAACGTACCGGTGTTGTGGAAGTCCTGAGTGTCGTATCGGCCAGTTGAGCAACTAGTCTGGAGTCGGCAATGATCTAGGCTCACATTAGACTGGGAAAACATGCGGCTGGAGGTAAAGACTTACGGCTACCCACACGCCTGCAACTCCATAAAGAGTGCCATCAATTCCACACATGCCTTCTGTGAAGGTCGACACAACATCTGTGTCCATTCCCGCATTTCGTCCCCCTAATGACGAGGAGGTTGTCGATTCACTTCGATAGCCGGCAGACTCCTTCAAAGTTGCCTGACTCCGACATCGTCCGTGGATTGGTACCGAAGCCTACAAATGATATTCTTATCAAAGGGAAGCTGATGGCCAACTTCTGCACTCACCTCTGGACCTTTTCTCGTTGCTTGGATCGCACAGGCTACACCGCTGATGACCGGGATCTCTGTGAGAATTCCCTTCATGATGGACATCTGGATAGCCGGCAATAGTTACATCTTGAGTTCAGTTTCATAGTCGATACATACCTTGTGTTGGATACTTGTTTTGGAACAGCATTAGAGACGATATGGAAGGCGATTCGTGAAACTTACAGGTCCAGGGCCGAGAGTAGTGCCTGCGCTAGCTCGCGACAACCATTCCTTCGGAACGGAAAACGGGACGACCTGAGGTTTTGTTTCATTATCGACTCACATTGGTCCCGAAACCTCTTGATCTCATGGGATAATTTCCAGAGTTCAGCTACCATATTCTTGGCTCTTTTGTTACTTCTGTCGGTGTTCTTGCATAACAAATAGTCTGACTTAGAAAATAGGTAATAAAAGAAGATGAAGAGTCAACTAACCACAATACAGCTACGCAGCATGTCTTTTGCTTGATGCAGCTCACGCAAAGATTCGATTCCTATTATGATCTCAATAAATCCTACGGCCATCGCATTCTGCGTAAAGAAGCATAGTCGATAATCAACGGGAAACATACCTGCGACATCTGTTCGCGCAATATTTGCGATACCCCGCGACCGAAGAAGGACGCGGACTATGTTCTATGGAGACAAATCAGTAATAGCATCATCGACCCTGGTAGCTACGGACGCTATGCAAACTTGGCCACTGCGTGAATACTCCAGATGCGGCACCCCGAACCGATTTTGAAAGGATATTGCGCAGCGTGAGATCGTCCAGCACGGCCGTCACACGATCGAGAGACGAGTATAGCTGAGAGATATCTTCTTTAAGCTGAAGCCCCATGTTCTTGTGCTGTCTTGGTCCCGGCTATGACGATATGAGATTGTTTGGGACGTAGGAATGCACGATCTTATGTAGCAGTAGGCTGGGGCAGGCACTGCTGCATCTTAGACTGCATAGAAAGACTCAGCTGTAGACGGCGTTGAATACTGTTCGGTTACTAGTGAGAATAAGGACAATGCTCAGGATAGCACGCGGTATCCGCAACGCGAGACTCGGAGATGAATCTACGTAAATTACCGGCGTACGCTGCGAGTACTTCATTTGCGCAATGCGGTTTGCAGGAGGTTTGGGAGAAGTGAACCAAAATGCATGCTTTCGCTGTACAGGTCTGACGGTAAATGCCGGAATGGTAGTTTCCAAATCAAGAGCGTTTCAAGATCCTCCAATCCATGAGTTTTACATGCCTTCTGCTAAAACGCTCATAGTACTTGTGCATCACTCCGATTTCTTCATTCCGCGAGTAGTCTGTGATACCCAACCTTCGTATCAGAGCATGCACATCGGACAGTCCGTTAGAAACGTTCTGCTCTTTTGACCTTATAAGCTGTAGGTGCGCGTAATTCAAAGGTCTTGCTCTGTCCCGAGTCCTCGTACACGCGCCGTTGCATCCAGGTGGAGGAATGGCCTCTACATCTCGATCGGACGAGGCAGAGTCATTGCGAAATCTGGCTCCTCACGTTAAGCAGCTGCTCGTACGCTTGCTTCGAGTGCAGTCCTGGGCGAGGAAGGCTGTAGTCACCTGTACAAATGATGCCGACGAATGTTATAAGGTCAGTCATGCCGTCCAGATACACGTGTCATGTTGAGTGTTGCAAGCGTAGGAGTACTCAAATCTATTGTGGAAATCCAAAGATGTTGCTGGGGATATACGCACGGCAGCTATCGGTGAAGACATTGACGTTTGACGTTTGCGAAATTGGATGTTTTGCTAATATGGGCGCAAAGACTTCATTCATGCGGTACTCAAGGAGATTCAGGACCCGAAAATCGATCGCCAAATGAAGTTCAATGTGCTTGATAAGTGGGAACAGGTGAGCTGATCTGTGTAAGATAGTCAATACTAACTCTCGATTCAGAGCATGCAGCCGAAGGTCCAGACATCGAAGGATTTACCAGGATCATTTCATAACCTAGGATCCAAAGTTCTCGCACTGTCCGATCACATACGCTCCGCTACCCACACTGATCTTGAAGCGATAGATCACAATATCAAGACCAAGACAGACGAACTGAACAACTTGTTTACCGGACCACAAACTCACCAACAGCCTTCCAAAATACTCGCCCGCTTCCAGTCATTAGTTACTCTTGTGCGGCTGCTCGTTGTAAGCTGATCACTAACTACTAAGTTTGAGTTATATTCATGGATCGCTGCATCATTTGTAGACAGCGAGACCCTCAAAGTTGGATATTCCGGTACAATCCCCGAGGAGAACAGCACCCCAATCTACGTCGCCTCCTATTCAAACCTCTGCTGTTCAATCGGCACTTCCAGCAAAGAGCAAAGACTCTAGTGATGCCTCTCATCGTAAGAACACCCTTGCGTTTCCGACCTAATCCGCCTACTCGCATTTCAGTCGCTAAGAAACGCAAGAACGCACTACAAAAGGATATACGCACCTTGTCCAAACGACGACGTCAATTAGAAAAGATACTCCCCGCCAGAGACAAGGGTGCAGAGGACGTGAGGAGTGTTGGGACAGATATTCAAGACCTCTCACCTCGCACAAGTATTTTCAGCAGCATCTACACCTCAGTCAGTTCATGATTTTCCCATTGTCAGTGCTGCCGAGTTGATGTTCTTCGAACGTAGATGTTCTCGGAGATAGATTCCTTCAAGGATTTCATCCGCACGCATGCGAACGTAAACGATGCTGTCAGTGGTGTTCGCTTTGACGTGGAGTGCTTTCCATACCTCATTGCCTTTTGTTTAGATCTTTTCGACGAAGATACAATCACTATGTGCGATGCTTGATGAATACGCAAAGATGATGGAAGCGTATCAAAAGTTCTCCTGACTCTCGTATTTGAAGTGGCAGACCCACCAGTCGTTCATCACCATGGGTCTCACTTTGCTCTTGAGTCTGTTTCGTGCCGTCCCAGCATCCGTCGCGATCTTTGTGTACTCGAGTAGGCCTTATGTATCGCCACAATGACGATCTAGGTTATATGTGTGCACCCGTGATGTATTGAGATTATATTGCTGCTATGTCGGCTTCCATTGGCATGCATGTAGCCTGAGGGCTGCATAGACTGTTAGTACCGAAGCTCATCTCATCTTCACAATACCCTCAGCGTATTTTCAACCAGTATCACGTAAAATTGTGATCCTGGAGAGAGACAATTTACATATTCAGAAGGATCCACGAAATCATCTCCTACGCAGGATTGGCGCCCGTTTTCCTACAGCGATTTGGTAAGTACTGGCGAAATATCTCAACGAAACCACTGTATCTGCTGCGCACCTGTTCCAAGCGTGCCTGTAATAACGAATGCTTAAACGACGGAAAGCATGAACCAAACAAGTTGTTGTGTGGTGTAGGAGTCGATGCGCACCTTGTCAGTAGGAGTATTTGCAGCTTTGTCAACGAAGTTCGTGTTGAAAATCAAGCCGCGGTCGCACTCGCGACCGTATCCGAACGCATTCTACTCAACGTCCGATTACCCTTTGATCCTATTTCTTTATATGGACACTTAGCTACTATACCTTCGTTTATCCGTTTTCTTGGCTTTTCAAGCACCGTACCATTTTCCGTCTTGAGCCCTTCGGCACTCCGATGTTCCTTCCGATTTCTTCCATCCTCTTGCAGTATATTAATCTTTGACCCACCGTAGGAACACCTCAGTCGTAAGCTTCGATACCGACTGAGGTGTGTAGCACTCAACCCCCACTCCGAAACCATTGTAATACTAACTTCTACCTGTAGCACTTTATTCAATAGGTAGCTACCGTACAATACAGTCGTAAGCTTCGATACCGACTGAGCACTTTATTCAATAGGTTATGGGCCCCGCATTACCCTAAACCTCTATCGAAGCGAAGAGTGTCAGTTACACTCTGTTTATTGATCTGCGCCTGCTACTACATTCCATCTGTCTATCATGTCTACCATCAAGCTCGACGACCTTCTCCGTATACCAAAACTCGAGTCTGGTGGTACCAACTGGGTTGTCTACAGCAAGAGACTGAAGTGGGCTATCGACGCACGAAGTCTATTAAAGCACCTCGACAGTAGTGCCTCTCCGCCAGTCGTCCCCACCCCTGCTGATCCCGACAAGCCCACCAAGGATGAGACTGCCCTCATTGCGACTCGTGAGGCAGATCTTGTTGAATGGAACAAAGGCGAGGCTATTGTAAAACAGCTCATAGCGAGCACTATTCCCGATTCCCTCTTTATCAAGCTTCATAGCAAACCCACAGCCCTGGCTATCTGGACCGCCCTCTCTAATGAATTTGAGAACAAATCCCGAATGGTCTCTGTAGATCTTCGCCGCCGCTTGCAAGATCAACGTGCTAACGAGAAGGATGACCTACGTATTTTTCACTACCCTTCGTACTATGCGCGAGAACCTTTCTGCCATGGGACACCCTCCAACCGATGAAGACTTCTACGCTATCATTCTCGGCTCCCTTCCCACATCCTATGACCCTTATATTTCCGCCGTCACTGCTACATCAAGTGTGTTAGGCAAGACACTTAGCCCCGATGACCTAATGCAGACACTCACTGAAGAGTACGAGCGACGTGCATTGAAATCGAAAGGGGGCCGTGGTGGTGACCAGAGGGATGCTGCATTCTCAGCCGATGACAAGGCTGGGAAGACGAAGACGAAGGTGAAGTGCTTTAACTGTGGGAAGTTGGGCCACTACAAGAGGGACTGTTGGGCATCAGGTGGAGGAAAAGAAGGGCAGGGTCCAAAAGGGAAGGGGAAGGGGAAGGGGAAGGAGAAAGGAGATGCTAAGGAAAATGCGTCAGTAGCAAAGACAGAGGAGGAGTCAGAGGATGCCGCATGGTTGGCCATGGCGGAGGATAACATCCTGGACTACCTAGAGACGGCAGGCGGTTCCTGCACTAATGTGGCTACAGACAAAGAAGACTCCTTACTTTCCGTTGAAGACTCAATCTTTGATGAAGTTTCCGATAACCATCCCGAAACAGACCCTAGTGATGACGACGACAACGACGACGAAATGTCTATACCTGATCTTGTAACTGTCTCCGATTCCGATTCCGATGATGATGTGACAAGCATTACCTCTGATGGCGAAGAACTTGACCTCAGCTACGAACATGATGATGAAGCCTATACACTTACCTTTGATCATGCTTTTCTTGCCAAGGGTGCTGGAGGGTTGAGACACGTTGGAGTCGAGTTGTACGACTCTGGCGCGAGTCGACACATGTCCCCATTCCGCGATCGTTTCATTAATTTTGAGGTCACTCCACCACACCCCATAGGTTCCGCCGACAATCGTACCTTCAAGGCAATCGGCTGAGGAGACATGTGGATTGATGTCCCCTGTGGGGAGAAGACCAATCGAGTCCTCCTCAAAGACGTCCTGTATGCTCCGGATATGGGAGTGACCTTGGTATCAGTGGGCCGCATTACGGCTGCAGGCTCTGTTGTTGTTTTTCGAGACAACTCTTGTCGCATTTTTAATGCAGCAAAGGAGTTGGTGGGTGACATAAAAGCCTCTGGAGGCTTATACCGTGTATATCACCCGAAGGATTATGCCGCACGAGTCACTGAGGTGCTCTCGCTATATGAACTCCACCGCCGCCTGGGTCACATAAGCTATGACATGACTCGCGAGCTCGTTACGAAAGGACTTGTCCTAGGAGTGCAGTTGGATGATTCAGAGCCACCAAAGACCTGTGAATCTTGCGAACATGCCAAGATGACTCGAAAACCCATTCGACGCGAACATGAAGGTGGGCGAGCGGCGAACGTTGGCGATGAGATCCATTCGGACCTATGGGGACCAGCACCTGTGGAGACCAAGGGAGGACGTCGTTATTATGTTAGCTTCACAGACGACCACAGTCGATACACCTTTACGTACCTGTTGCGCACCAAGGACCAAGTGGAGGAGGCCTATCGCACGCTCTCAGCGTACTTCGAGACCCAAAAGAGGGTGAAGATCAAAGTGCTTCACACGGATTGCGGGGGAGAGTTCCTAAGCGAAAGTTTCAGCTCCTTTCTCGCTGAAAAGGGGACAGTAAGACGACTTACCACGCACGATACGCCCGAGTACAACGGCGTAGCGGAACGTCTCAATCGGACACTAATCACCAAGGTCCGCGCTATGTTACATGACAGTGGACTGCCGAAATATCTGTGGGGAGAGGCGGTACAGCATGCAACGTATCTGAAGAACCGTTCGCCAATGCGAGCGTTGGATGACACGACACCGTACGAAGTTTTTGAGGGGACCAAGCCTGACCTCTCAAACTTGGTTCCCTGGGGTTCCCGAGTCCACGTACATGACACGAGTGGTTCCAAACTTGACGCGCGTGCCGCTATAGGCCATTGGGTTGGATTCGACCAGGAGAGCCGTGCACACCGTGTGTATTGGCCAGAATGGCGGATCGTCACTGTAGAACGCAGCGTACATTTCAACATCGACGATTCTACTACCGTCGCCGAAGTGCCGCTCGCGGGGGAGCGTGCACCTGAGGCTGGCGAGCGGGATACTTCATCGTCAGATACAGAAACACAAAAGGAAGAAACCAACGCACCTCAGGAACAGCCATCACCAACCGGCAACACGCAGGACGTCCTCGGCTCTGATTTCGAGCCAAGCCGCGCGGAATGCAAACGTGTTCGAAAACCGTCCGCATACATTCAACGCCTGCGTAGTGGTGAGGGGGTGACAGGTGGATGACGTGGCGACCCGGTTATACCAAAGGGAGTCCAAGTTGAGGGGGAAGTCCCGGCATTGGTGGAAGAACTGGAAAGCGAAGCTAAGGTGGCATTGGATGGATGGGATGGTGTTGAGGAGGTGGAGTTGGCTATGGCAGCAGCAATGGGAGATGCAGAGGACATAGAACCGTCTTTTGAGGAAGCGAGGAGGCGCCCGGACTGGCCAAAGTGGGACGAGGCAATGCGAACCGAGTTAGCGGGTTTAAAAGCAAACAAGACGTACTCGCTCGTCGAACGACCAGTTGGAGCAAATGTCATCAGCTCGAAATGGGTTCTGCGAATCAAGAAGAATGCGGCAGGTGAAATCGACAAATACAAGGCTCGTTTGGTCGCCCGCGGATTTTCCCAGATACACGGCATTGACTACTACGAAACGTTTGCGCCAGTCGCAAAACTTTCATCTTTTCGACTCATCTTGGCTATCGCAGCTCGAAACGGATGGCCTGCTGATTCCTTCGATTTTAACTCAGCCTACCTAAACTCAGTCCTCGACGATGGTGAAGTCATCTACATAGAACAACCTCCCCACTATCCGGAAAAGGATCCAAAATGCTATGTACTACGCTTGCACAAAGCCTTGTATGGGCTCAAGCAAGGTGGTAGAAAGTGGTACGAACACCTTTGTCGCGTGCTTGCTGACCTCGGATTCAAGAGAGCTGAGGCTGACTGGGGTGTCTTCTATGCTGGAGATGGAAACGAGATCGTAATCCTGGTCATTCATGTTGATGACTGTCTCATCACCGGCAGCTCAACTTCTATTCTCCAACAATACAAAGTCCTCATCAACGAAAAGTACAAGATGACCGATATGGGTCCTATCAGTTGGATCCTGGGCATTCGAGTCACCCGCAACTTAGAAGATCGCACCTTCGCACTCTCGCAGCATGCCTACATAGATTCCATCTTGGCGCGTTTCAATTTCACCGATTTGAAACCGGTTTCCATTCCCATGGATCCGAACATTGTTCTCTCCTCATCTCAGTGCCCCACCGCTCTCGCTGATATCGCGCGTATGAAGAAAATACCATACCGGGAGGCAATTGGATCTCTCATGTATGCTGCGGTAGGCACTCGTCCTGATATCGCCTTTGCGGTATCCACCCTCGCTCAATTCTCTCATAATCCCGGTTGGCCTCATTGGGAAGCTGTCAAGTGTGTGTTCCGCTACCTCCTTGGCACGAAGAAGCTGTCTTTATGTTATGGGGGAGCTAGAAAAGGCTTGGAAGGTTTCGTCGACGCTGATGGTGCATCGCAGGAACACCGTCACGCGATTTCCGGATATGTATTCCTGGTTGACGGGGGAGCGGTCTCTTGGTCTTCGAAGAAACAGCCATTGGTCATGCTGTCCACGACGGAAGCTGAGTATGTCGCAGCTACTCATGCTGCAAAAGAAGCAATGTGGCTTTGCCGTCTTATCGGCGAGGTATTTCGACCACTCGCGGAACCTACCTCTCTCTATAGTGACAACCAATCTGCTATCGCGCTCACTCGTGATGGAAATTACCACGCTCGTATGAAACATATCGACATCCGCTACCACTACATCCGCTACGTCATTGAGGATGGTTCTATTCAGCTTATCTATTGTTCCACCAATGACCAGACTGCCGACACCTTAACAAAAGCGCTTCCCAGCGCGAAAGCCAAACACTTTGCCGCTGCTATGGGACTTCGCGCGGCTTGAGGGGGAGTGTTGAAAATCAAGCCGCGGTCGCACTCGCGACCGTATCCGAACGCATTCTACTCAACGTCCGATTACCCTTTGATCCTATTTCTTTATATGGACACTTAGCTACTATACCTTCGTTTATCCGTTTTCTTGGCTTTTCAAGCACCGTACCATTTTCCGTCTTGAGCCCTTCGGCACTCCGATGTTCCTTCCGATTTCTTCCATCCTCTTGCAGTATATTAATCTTTGACCCACCGTAGGAACACCTCAGTCGTAAGCTTCGATACCGACTGAGGTGTGTAGCACTCAACCCCCACTCCGAAACCATTGTAATACTAACTTCTACCTGTAGCACTTTATTCAATAGGTAGCTACCGTACAATACAGTCGTAAGCTTCGATACCGACTGAGCACTTTATTCAATAGTTCGATATATGTTCGAGATCAGCTGCGACCTAAATATTGTAGCATTGAGATCATTGGCACCTCCGAAATCTGAATACTCACACTTGCCCTGATCGATATAACTACAGACAACTGCATGTAGACATTTTGGAACACATCAGACCGTGATGCGATCTGCATTTGTTGGTAAACCTTTTCCTGAAACCGTGGTGAGAGAGTTTTAGAACACAGGGGAAATGCTGGACAGAGAAACTTTCCAATCATGAGAGAATTGCGCCACATCCTCATTGAGTTTTACGAGATCGTTCACTATTTCCTGGCCCCTTCTTTCATCTCGCTCGGTGAGCTATTCATTCGATCACTGAGTGAAGGGGATCAAAACCAGAAATATACAATAACGTTACAGTTTTGTGCGCTTCTACGTCAACGAGAACACCGTGTAAGCTGTTTTGCAGTTATGGAGAAGGTTGTATAGCAGTCCAAGAAAATCTGCAATTGAAACTGAGTGACGGTCTAAATTCAGAAGATCGAATGCGAGATCTACTTGCAGATTCTTCGGCTTTCTCGGCAATGTACCGTGACCTCCATATAATTTGAACATACGTCTATAGAGTATCAGTAGTGATAGTCGAAGCTTAAGGAACCAAGAAGCATACTACCCCACAGTGCCTGTCCCAGATGTCAATGAACCTCTTGAGCTCCTTCGCGTGATCGAGAGGGAGGAAGGAATTATCGGCAACACTCTTAAGCTGCTGCAAGATGGAGATAAAAATTTGACGTAATGAGACGCAGTCCTCTTTGAGCTTGCGAACTTGAATCAAGAGATCGGCTGTTGTTGTGCCTTTTCCAAAAATCGAGCGAGACATGCTAAAACATTACAGGGATAATACAGAGGCAATGGGGGATGTGCGAGACCAGGATTCTGTACAGGTTCCTTTATCGTATAGCTGACAGATGTCGCTACATTTTTTATGGTTCCGAAAAATGTCAGTTCTTGCATAATCTATATATGAGTCCGTCACCTATAAACTTGTTCTCCCAGAATAAGTACAGCTTACATTGTCTGTTCGCCAAAGTTGATCATCTCGAATGAATGTGTACGGAGTTGGATAAGACAAACTGAACTGCATTAGAGTGACTATCCTCTGGGCACTGTTGATTAGGAGTTCAATACCAAATATCTGCCAATGTACTATATGAGCACGCTCATTTTGGTGACCAGCCTGCCTTATACAGATATTCCTCTGAGCGTCTAGATTTGCCGGGGGGCCAAACTGCTAAAGTTCTGCTACTGTAGGTTGAGTCTCTAACCCTAAGCTTCCGCTAGTTCATCTATCGCAATCGTCACATCTCTATATATTGCTAGACCCAACTCAGATAGTCATGGATATGTTCATGGTCTGCAATTACGAGAAGGTTTTGTCAAGGTCAGAAAGTGCGACTCGTTGAAGCCCTTTTCTTCCCTAGGGAAACCAAGTACTGATTCGTGTTGAGAGGAGGATAGACGACTTACAGAAGCTTCCATTTCATAACCTTTCCATAACCACGAGCGTGAGCGTGGCGTGTCGGTCTCCTGCCCCCTGCACTGCATCGAATGGTTCGTTCGCTTGGCTGTAAAAGCGGAGATCTAATTGAGAGAACTCCCACAGAGTGCCCTTGAACCATACCCTCGTCATGTCGTCGTTGCAGCAGTCTGTATCGAAGTATCAAAATGTCCTACTTCTCTTAGGCGAAGCATGTTGCTGGTGATATTCGGGTTTCAATGAATGGTGCGTAAGGATCGTGTTCTTCGTGTTCTCAGTCGGGAAAGTTTACTTACATATTTCACGAAGATTTCCGACAGGTTATGCTGAAGGAGCTTCAAAGTCGAAGGATTTGAATGCAGGAGAAGGTTGACAAACTGACGAAATGGCTGGAAGTTGGTTTTGTTTCGTTGTGTCACTGCTCACCGCACTTGACGGTTGTCGCCAGCAAATTCAGGCTCAGATTGAGGTATTATTGTGATTCCGACGCAGTTCAGGTGGTTTGCGGGTGACATCAAAGTCTACGCACATTCGAAGACATCGAGGCTAAGGCAATGCGGCGAAGTGTCGAACGCCAGAATAGAGGATCAGGCTATCGTTGGCTGCTCCGGGTTTTCCCTTCAGTTGGCCACCGAATTCGGCCCACGAAATCATAGCCCATCTCATTCTGAGAAGTCAACCCAGTGTAACTCGAAGATATCCAGCTGTATGCCTTTTTCCCATTCGGAGCACCATGTTCATGAGCATCCTCCACGATCAGAGGAGTCGGAAGTGATCCGACCCAAGTCCGATGTTCGGCGTAAGAGTTTTGTAACTTGACCATATATTCTATTTCACCACATTCTCCTTTTCTAGAGTTTCAGAGGAATCCTAACTACCTTCACGTTGACGTGCGCGATGTTCTGGCACGCTAACCTCGCTTCCGGACGAGACAGATCCATATTAATGGAGCATTGGAGCTCCTGCTCACGATTGCCTCCGGAATTGAGGCTCTCGCCCAAGGCATGGTCATCCTACAAAGCACATACAGCAAGGTTGGTGCGATTGCGTCCTGCATTAGTACCGAATTGATGGATGTTGTAGCTGTGTTTGAATGTGAAAGAACTCAGGAATACTTTATGGCAGCGGAAGCCAATAGGCGTATTGGTGAGAATACTAATATCTTATGTTCTAATTCAGGGCCCATTCTATGTTATTCAGATAAGCTCCGAGCTTGGACCTACCCTTGACGTTTACTGCGAAATGTTCGAGAAGTATCAAGACATATGAAACTCGCTTCGGAAGTTAACTTATCCCTTTTGGGAAATTCTTATATGCAGTTGATATCCAATGCTTTCCGTTATTGCATTCGTCGATCGACGTATTTGTCTTATAATTACAACTGTCGAGCTGCTGACCTTTTCGGGCGTTCATTGAGCGCAATCCTTGTGTTTCCCATGCTCGTCGAAGCCACGCCACTAACTCGAGGATAACGTCGATGCATCCTTTCCTATGCATGGTCCCAGCGGTTTTGGTTGTGGAAGCATCGGGCGCTTTCAACGACACTGACGCTGAGGCTGTTATACAACTTACAATGTGTAAGCGTAACCTGTCGAATCCAGGACACGAAGGACACGCCCTATCCGGAATGTTGTGTTCCGTTTACTTTCGCCCATCGTTGCCCTCGATTTCTTGCCTCCTTCCCTAACCCCGTTTCCCAAGCCAACGCCATGCCTTCGATTCTTCGTCGTCTCACAGACTGGCCGTCTAGCTCGTCGAGTGATGTCCATGTCGCCTCGTGTTCCATCTCCGCCGGCAGCGTTCTCCTCACAGATAGCGCCGCAAGTGCGGACATCGATGGAACCTTTACCGCTGAACCCCTTCCTCTAGAGGTCTCACCTTCCTCCCAGGTATCATCTGCCTCAGCTGGTCCCTGTGTAGACTTGGCAGGATGCGACAATGTTGGCATGACTGATGCGAAAAAGGACGCCATCCTCAATCAGATTCACCAGTTGACCTCCGATACGCAGTCCATCGACGCTTCATTCGCTAAAGTTTCCCAACTCTTGGTTACTCTCCTTGATTCTTCCTTGCCTACTGAGCTGCGTGATGGGGTCCAAGACCTCTCATGTAGGTGGAATCGCCATCGTCAGGTATGTTCTCTCCTAGCCTTAAATGTAGTGCCTCCACTCAACGTCGGCCGAAGGCATACAGGGCTCTGATGTGGCAATCTCGTGATGTCGCTGCTGACGCGAGGGTTTCTGCTGACGGTTTGCCGCGTCTTAAACAAAACCAATGATGCCTAGTGCTAACAATATTGCCCCTGATAGACTTCGCGAAAGTCTTCATAAGTAATGTCCTATTACAACCGAATATTTCCATCAATGAGATGCAAGAAGCTATAAGGCATTACAGAACGGTTTGTGTTTGACAAAATTTTTGCAAAGAATTGATTGACTGAAGGGATATCCAGATTTCAGAGCAAGATAAGCAGAAGGCGCGAGATTTGGTGGACGGCTTCAACGAATTAGGAAGAGATGTTATCGCCTTTTCTGACAATTGGGAACGGGTGGTTCTGAAGAACCGCCTTCATCGGTTCTCACTTCGGTCAAAGGAGTACGAAGAGCGACTTTCGGACTTGCGTTCCACTTTGCATAGGCAGGTACTCGGCTACATCACAATGACTATCTTGAGCTGAGCTTGATTCACCTCTAGAGTCAAGGTTAAGGTACAATCGATTTCACTTTCGTCTTCCCTCGGCGTTTGCTCATTTCGCGATCTTACAGGTCGTTTCTATGAGTGTTGTGCTTGGACTCCTGGTTACTGCTGCTAGTGCTGGCGCGCTCGCAGTTATATATGCAATGCATGGGAATCCAGGGATTAGCGTATTCGGAGTGAGTTAGCTGGGATACATGGGAACACCTTGGATAATATTCGTACAGATGGCAGCCCTTCCAATACGATTCACCATGAAGAACTTGCGGCAGGCCCTGTCAGAGCGAAAGGGTGAGCAGTGTCGACTCCCAGAACGATCATAGACTCACACCTTCGATTTTTAGCACTGCGGGAACAGATTCGGCAATTGGAGATGGAGAGAGACGAGAGCGAAAACGGAATGAAGGATATCACAAATATAGCTTCTAAATTAGGAGCTATTGCTTCGATATGGGGCTGCGTACATTTATTGTGATGTTCTCTTAGACCGAGATATAATGTCGCTGATGTATCGTTGTCATTCCTGCCACTAGATCTCGGCAGACCTTAAGTCCATTGAAGGCGCCATCGACCAGGCACTGGGTACTCCAGATCGAGAGGTATGTTTTATGGATCCGAGTTAGGACTCTGCGCTCATAAATGTGATAGTATATGCGCGACGCATTTGAATCTCGTTTACAGCTCACCCGGAACTTATACAGTACGATGGCAGAAATATTCAGAGCATATCAAGTGGCTGTAAACGATAGTGACTTGGGGGTTCGGTGATGGGTGCCGGCAAGGAACTTGCAATTGTTTGTATCATAATGTGCCATGCCTGTTTATTACCGGTGTGAGACGTCCACATAGGAGATCATCCCATTGCCTTCTTCCAGGAGAGTCTCATCTGGTGGAACCTGTCGCATCCCCACATTTTTTCCCTTCTGGGAATTGACCACAATTTATTCCCTGGGATACCCTGCATGGTTATGCCCTGGATGGTGCAGGGCAATAGTAGAAATGTGATTGATGTTATGGTGCATCAGACGGCATCCTCAACCTTGTCATTGCTTACCGTTTCATCATTGGGTATGTTTTCGTCTATAAGCACATGCGAGAAGCTACTTATCGTCTTGAAGTTGAAAGAGATCTCACTCGGCATAGCTTATCTTCATCGTGAAGAGGTTATCCATGGTGATCTACGAAGAGTATGTTGGCTATGATCTGAAGGGAAATGATGACTGATATCCCTCAGGTCAACATCTTAACTGATGATAAGTGTATGGCACGTCTCAGTGACTTCGGCCTAGCTGTGTTTGCTGAGGGCATGAGCAAGAACTATGCATCAGTGCGGGCTGGAGCTGATCACTGGTTAGGACCAGAGTTACTCGATCCCGAACGGTTTGGCTTCCAGGACGATCGGCCAATGTATGCTGGCGACATTTACTCCTTTGGTTGCATGTGTCTCGAGGTAAATCTCTTAGTGTTCTTTCAATACAACCCCCTGATTGATCTGCTTGTCACTGCTAGCTGTATACCGGGCAGGATCCATTTCTGGGCCTATCTCACTTTGCCGTCGCGAAACATGTCACTGATGGCCACAGGCCCCCAAGGCCATCATTTCATGAGCATGTCAAGATGGCTGACAGTCTGTGGTGGGTAACACAGTCATCTTGGTCTCTCCCACTGATCGACCCAGTGCAGAGAAGCTCGTTGATTGGATCTTTATGGTGTAGACCTTCATCATTGCATCTGGTTGAATGCATAGTCTCGCTGGTCACATAAAGTCTCTCACAGGACTTTAGTGAAGCTCTTTCACACCTCTAAGCGGATGTGAACTGGCTCACGAAGAAGTGTGGGTCATGCTTCAGACTTTTTTCGATTTCTTGCATTTGAGCTCTATCAGTCTCTGCTTATAATATCGACAGGTGGTTGAAATCTTCTGTAATCACCTGCCACTCTAGTGTATCCTGTGACCATAGTATTCCTTACTGCATTCAGCTGTCATGCACATAGTTTAAATGAATGTAAACGTACATGATGTATAGTGTAAGTGGTATTTCTTGTGTTCATAGATAATATATACACTTGCAGTATCTGTACCGCAGTAGACGAACACACAAACCAAACTGCCTCTATCGATGCTGAATGGGAGCCGAGTTTCTCTGCCTGTAAGCACGTCAGTCAAAGGACATCAGATTCGAAGCGAAATGATGACAACAACATGATTCTCATCCTTGGTAAAAGGCGTCAACAGATGAGGGTTTTTGGCCTCTCCCAGGATCTCGAGTTCGAAAAAGAAATCGTCATGCGGTCAGTCGCCTACGGCGAAGAAGGAACCGAAATCTCTGAGTAAACATCTTAGCATTCTCCCCGATGGCCAACTTAGGAAGAGGGGATCCGGATTTGGTATCTCCTTTACCAACTTGATCAAGCGCACGTCTTGTCTATATACACGTTTAGTGTACAGGGCAAAACTCTTTTTGGTCAGGTTTCGCCGGCTTGCCAGGCAAAACGGCAATTGCCAGGTTTGGCAAAACTGGCGAATGTTTTTTTCGCATCTTTGAACACTTTGCAGACAGAGTTACAAAGGGCAGAAGTACAGTAGTTGCATGTGTACCAGCAAGCAGAATTTTATATGAAAGGCCCTATAGGCCATCTATCAGACCATCTACTGCAGACAAAAGTTCAACCTCAGCGGTGCAAGAAAATGATTGACTGAAATTTCACAGCAAGCATCTGAATTGGATACTGCTTTTTCAGGAATGGCTAGGAGGCTTCGGTGATGCAATTTTCATCCATGAGGCTCTTGAGTACATCTTGCGGAGCATCCTTGAGTGCAGTTGGGCACTTAGCACAGTCACTAACTTGAAGGTGCTGGAGGAGTCGGTCATCTCAGTATTCAACAGCATGTTCAGGGCTACTATCATTGGGATGACAGTGCTCGCAGATGTAGTACTTCCGATATGACTGACCTATTTTCAACATGACCTACCTCACGGAAGCTTTGAGTGAGCTTGTCGGGCGGCCGCCCACCTCTGGCGCTCATCGGATGTAAGCTGAGTGAGAGGTTGAAACCCTTGAGACACCCAGAAGAAAAAAACCCATTGTATTGACATTCCGGCTGTAGTAACTACCTGTTCCCAATCATGCTCGAATGGTATAACATTCTTAGGATTTGCCAATTTTTGCCACCTCTATTCTCAGACCTCCCTGGCAATTGCCGGCAATTGCCATATTTGCCAGGTCAAATGGCAGAAGTATTGCCATGTGCCAACAACGTGTAACACGTTGTTCTCGAACTCCCACTAGCAGTTGTGAGTACTTCGACTATTGCATGGACGTCATTTGACAATATTTTTCGTTTACAGTATAGCTCTCACCAACTTATCAGAAAGAAGATGCCATCGCGATGAGCTGCGTTCCTCAGGAAATCCTAGATCTTATCATCGACTGCCTTCATGACGATACCGCTGCTTTAAAGAGTTGCAGCTTAGCTCACCGGTCATTCCTATTCTCCACCAGAATCTATTTGTTTCGCGAATTCACAGCGTATAGCGCTAAGAATGCCTCATCTGCGGCCAAACTCCATACCGACGCCCGCACCCTCGCTAACTTCGCACAATTCCTTGTTGAAAGTCGTAATATTTGCGATTACATTCAATCCCTCACTGTCTACGGAAGGACCCAAGATGCACCCACGCCGTTCTTTGTTAGGACGCATGCTTTAGTGTCTATATTGGCACGTCTCCCTCGGCTTCGAGAGCTTTGTTTGCACAGCGTCTGTCTACTGGCCGCCAACTTCGAGGAAGAGTTGAAAGTTATACGATCTCACCAACATGCGTTTTCAATTAGGGGTATCAAGCTATCTCAATCTGCGTTTCGCTCTGGGCCTGAAGACAAGTCACTCTACGGTTCCCCTTTCAGTGACTTACTAAGCACATTTTCGCGCGTTGATACTCTCTCTCTGGATATTCATGGCGCTATATCCAGCCTATTTCACTCCAATCTCACGGACGAGCTTGGACAATTGCCGTCGAGAACGAGTGTCACCGCTATTGTCGCGACGGCCTTTCCGCTGGCCGTTAGAGGCGAGGTGAACCCGTACCTTTCTCAGACGATTGACCTCTCCGGAGTCCGAACTTTACATACCAAACTCGTGCACCCCGTCTATAACTACAACATCAAGGAAACTTCTATTTTCCTTCAATATCCTTCGCTCTCTCTCGCAGAGCTTCACTTGGATATGACCAAATTTCATTTTGTAGATACTTTCTACCGTACGTCTATCCTACTTGTGTCATTTCAATGTTGAACTAAACTGAATGCTCTTTTTGTAGAAGAGATGTTACTGTCACACTTGACGCCGCCGACTATCCCTTGTACCTCCCTCGAATCCTTAACCTTATCGGCGGAAATATCCCGTATTAGTCAACCCCTCGCCTGGGAAGTACTCACAACGTTCCTCTCCCGATTCCTTCAATCCCCTCTCACATCCCTTACATATCTTAACCTCCGAATCCACATCGCTGTGTCAACCGCTCCAGGAATCTCACTCTTGCTCGCAAAGGATCTCCAAATGGATCCACTTCGACAGGCTCTGGAGTTTAGTAAGAGACTTCGAAAGCTCGACATTGTGTTTGTGGAGGAAGAGGTTTCGTCAGCTGGGATCGTACCTGATACCTGGAAGGAGTGGATCAAGAAGATCGAGACCCACTTCCAGGAGGGACTAGCCGAGTTGTGCGATCGCGGTCTGGTGACTGTCCGCGTTGCATAGCAGTCCTGCTGCGAACCGAATGCGAAACATGTTCTAATTATATACGTGCTCGAATGCGCACTTTCATTAACTCATTGGCGTGCCAGGCATTATTAACCTGTGCATGGACGAGGATATGACCTCGACCAAAAGAACAGCACGCTTAGGCTTCGACCCTAAGGATAATTCCTCGACTACCACCCCATGTTTCGCACAATACTCCACGATTTATCCCGAATCCTCAGAGCTGCAGACGAAGTTAGCTGGTTGAACAATTACGGCAAAGTAGAGACAGATCGAAGAGGCGAATAACTAATGACAAGCCCTGTTTTCAACACTAAAGTTGTATATTCGAGTGATTCGCGCAACTTACCTCTCCGTACCAAGTAAGTACTGGGGCATCTAGGAATGCTGGAAAATGCATATTGCAGAGCTTGAAGCATGAAAGCGAACGCTGCCAACTTCTGCAAGTCATGGTGGAAAAACCTTGCTCGCAAGGTCCTGCATTAATGCAGTCAGTAATGAATGGTTCGGACCATAAATACAGACCTGAGAGAGCTCATTAAATGAACATTGGGCGCCGAGCGAGTACTACTACTTGCAGGATGGGAAGAAAAGGAGGAAGCGTTCAACTTGAGGAGGCCTAAGCAGGTTGAAGAACCTATGCGTAACGTTGACTGGCCAAGTTGGCATTTGAACGGTAGGTCAGTCATGCGCATGCACCTTTGGAACGCAAAAAAAGGGCAGAATAATCGATATGCATTCACATTCATCCCGTTCTGAACGATACACAATTCACCGGTATATACGTGATCAAACATCTGAACGAGCGTCCTTGTCAGGTCACCATATCCCCATCTAATCGAGTTCGCCCAAGGTTCTGTAACACCAACGAAGTCAGACTTCACTGGATGCGCAGAGGCTGAGACGAATACCCACCTAGTCGCTAGGTCCCTGGCCGCGTGGGGCTGTGGACGTACAGACAAGTGGAGGCCAGGTCCACCTAAGACAGGATGGCGGCCAGCATTATCACGAGCGTCGAAGAGCTGCGCAATATGAGGAAGTGGGCGATTGGCGGTCGGAACGATGATAGGATTTCCCAATGTGAGACGATCACGCTTGGAAAAGAAACTAGCGATGGTTGATGCGATCTTTCCTATGTCAAGTGCACCACTTTCGTCGACGGAACTGGAAGGCTCAAAGTCGTCGGCTAGAACGAGGGGTGGCTTGCGGATGAGGAGTTTCCATGGCCGACTGATTTTTGGAGCACGGATAGGAATAGGACCGTGGATCAAGATTCCGTCACGCTTGAAGATACTAGAGACGTTAACATATTATTTCAGCTATCCGGAACACAAACAGCATATGCCTATAAGTAACATACCCTTTCGATCCTAACAATGGCCTCAATTGTCCCATGTCTATGAAGCCACGAGCCGCAAAGTCGTTTATTTGGATCGCGCTGCTCTCCTCTGCACGAGCAAGAAGTTCGAGTTCTTCACGGCTGGAGAAGTATACTCAGCCACTAATCCATGAGAAATATGAGTCAACTAAGTCACCTGAAAAATTGATTGAGATCTTTAACATGGTTCCCCACATCGATGAATCCCTTGGACAAATCGGTACCTGGAGCACTGCTCTCATCTTCGGAAGGAGCGGAGGCAGATGTGAGAGGAGCAGAGAATGCGGGTGCAGAAAGAAAGAGGAAGGCAAGAGCGACAACGATGGTAGAACGCATCTTCGGGTTGATGGATGTGTATGTGTATGTGGTGATTACAGATTCGATGGAGTTCGGGAAGATGTTCATAAGCGAAGGTGTGAATGAAAGAATTGACGTCAAGCTGTGAAAGAGAGCAAAAATTAGTCAGGAATGGGTCGAACCCTGATTGCAGTATATGGTGGTAAGTACTTACTAACCGGCACTTGACAATAAATCGGCTTGTAAGAAGGAACGAAGGAGGTCAGCCGGAGAACAACGAGAAACCATGGACACTTTATAGCAAAAGGTTGTATTGCCATATTTCCCGGTCAGCGGGACTAAGCACATAATGTCCACAGCAGGCGGACAAGAGAAGCATCAATAAGTCTATATAACGGGCCGTTTTCACATTCCGTCGAAAGCCGGAGACATATTGAGAGGAATGAGGTGCTGAACCAACCAGCCGTGATATCCTTTATGGACTTGGCCGGCAGAAGAAGGCAGTGCAGCGAACACAGTCTAATAATCAAGGTGTCTTCGAATTAGGATGGTCGAGTGTCAGAAGCAGGAAAATGGGATGAATGGTGATATCTATGGCCGAGGAGCCGGTTGGAACTTGAGATCATTATGCCAAGTGGACGATGTTTTGATGAAGCGCCCTCATCTTGATACGATCCTCAGTTCTTCGGTAGAGAGAACAGGGTCGGAGGTGGCCTGAAGTATCCCTCATCGTCCCCATAAGCCCGATCATGCGGTCTCCATTCAGTCGCATTGTTCACGATTTCCAGGATATCTCTCGAGCGCGTGCTATGCATATTCGACCAGATGTGGTGACTTGCTTCAGCACCTAGATCACCATCAAGACATAGCGTGTCATCGGCAAGGACTATCGAAATCAAGTTCGACTTCGAGAATCTTTCCAGAGCAGTATCGAGGATACCCCAAGGGAAGATTCGATAGGTCTCTGTAAGGTTTGAGATGACGATTGAGAGATGTGTAATAACATGTGAGGGAAGGGAGTCTATGGCTTGACGCAGAAACGACCGCAGACATTCATACCCGGGATGGTAATCGTGGTGTTCGGCGGTATACTTGACTGTCACATGGAAGTCCGTGAATGACCTCTGACGGTGGCCTGACAGCGACGTCCAATTCAAAGAGGCTAGAGGAATAGAGATAGATTAGCCGGTACGGTGCGAGATGCAAGCTCGGACTTACCAATATCTCTGCAGTACGTATAGTCCAGGATAATGTGTAAGTGTGTCAGGTTGGTTGAGACAGCGGGTCGTAGAAACGATGATAAATGGTCGAGGGCTTCAGGTGAGGAGATTCCGCATGATATACGAGTTATAGCTCCTACAGCTATCGCTTTTACCGGAAAGTTGAAACGCATGGTATTAGAGTATTCTTCCAGGAATAGAGTACGGATTATCATAGGATGGTGCATCCATTTCCGGTTCCCATCAGAGAGAGATTCGATCGTAATGTGGTAGAGATTGACGGCGTGCAGTTCTTGAATCTCGGAGAACATCTTCAAGAGATCAAACCAGACCGGGTCTACAACCACGTCATCGAGGATGAGGCGAGACAAGCGAAAAGCCTGAACTGCCGAGGGCGGGCATTGACTGGCAATGTATAGCTGTGTCAGAGAAAGCGACCGAAGATTACGAAAGTTCTCTAGCAAGACTTGTGCCTCAGAAAGCTGGAAGTGCCGGAATCGTACGTCCGATGAGCCTGCGGGGGAGCAGACGGAGCGCACCGATAAGTCATGCATGAAACTCGCACATGGACAACAGTCCCCTGCATTTAAGAGATCGCAGAGTTGAGCACAAGTAAATGACAGATGTGTGTGGTAGGGATCAAACAAGATTGTTATCCGATTAAACAGCAACGGCCAACTGAAGGCGCACCAATCGCGACAGACAAGGGCACACAGGGATAAGGTGTGTTTGTCGTTCCTATACTGTTCGATGATGTATAGAATGAGTTCTGAGGGAAGAGGGCGCGTGCCTTCTGCCATCTCGTCGATGGTTGTAAAGGTGAGGATGCAATATTACCAGTGATCGACCTTTTAGGGCGAATGATCTGAAAACGTGGCGAATACGAGGGTAAGCGCGGTGCACTCGACCAAAGCAAGTGACTTCACCATAACACTCATGCACGATGTCCGCCGACTCACAATCACTTCTACTTGGCCAGGACCTGTTGCATCACATACTTGCATATAACGCAGGCGATAAGCAGACCCTCATACACTGCTCTCTCGTCTCTCGCTCATGGGCGGAATGTTGCCGGCCCCTTCTATTCCAACATATCAATCTCATTCTAGTCCAAGATGCGGCCCCATGCACACGACTTCTCCAATCCATGAGGAATACTCCTCGCCCATTTCTACTAACTAAAACTCTGGCCATCTCTACCCCAATGCCCAGTCATCAAGTCGATCTTCCTGCTATCACATTGCCTATTCTCGGACCTATCCTTGGCCATCTTCCGAACCTATCATCTTTAATCCTTCAAAATATCGCCCTTCAATGGGACCCTTCTATTCTTGCTCAGCCATACTATCCCTCCTTCACCCTCTACGCTCTGATTCTCAATAACGTATCTACGAATGTGATCTGCCTATCCGACCTATTCAGTCTTTTTTCTGAAATTCAGAACCTCGCTCTGAATATTCGAGGTGATTTGGAGCCTGTGGCTCTTCATCCGCCCAACCATCCACTGCTCGTGCAGTCGTTATCGCTTCGAGTACGCGATACCGAATCCGACGTCGAAGCCATACATGCACTCGTCCAAAGTTCACTTGACGTGACCACCATCGCACGATATAGCTGCAAAGTCACTTTGGGCTTCGAGACGGTAATATTGTTCCTTAATTCGCCAAATTTGGAGGCGTTGACTTCGTTGTGTTTGGACTTGACGGGTATGAATATTGACGATGTTGGTGAGTAATCGTGTTTCCCGATAAGCGATTTCCTCTGAAGAAAATTCGTATTCTTTCAATAACAGCCTCCCTTCCTTGGTTCAAGCTCAATGTTCTAGGACGACCCAGTCTAAAATCATTCCATCTCATCCTCCTGTACAATTTCACCGAATCATGGCACTCCGTCCCTGATTCCCTTCAGTCCCTCCCAGGAACCTTTATTACCGATATCGCCCTGCATGTGGTTGGCTCTGCCTCGCAAATGGGATTCTTGACTTGGGATAGCGTCGATCACGCGTTGGGGAGCTATCCTCGACTGCGAACGATAACCATCATCCTTGACTTGATCGATCGGATGACTCTGGACGATGAAAATACATTTGAGCAGGTGAAGTCGAAGATTGAGAGGCAATGGGTTGTGAAAAGGGACTCGCTTAGGGTATTGAGGTTGGAAGAGTGGCAACGCGAACGCGGTTACGAGGTATAGGCCATCGTTTGGTGGTACTTTCAATTTATACCTTCATCGTTGTCTCCGAGGTACGTAGTTTTCTCCCTTCGGGATGCCGTTTCGGGCTTATTTGATGAATCGTGATTTCATAGCTTTCCTCGCTCGTCTTGTTTGCTATCCAACCCATTTCGTGCCGCCCCACATCTTGGCTACCCCGCTGAACTTTGCCCACCTTCCCTGATAGAGGACAACACGAAACGTCATGAAACACACCCTTTTTCTCTTCATAACCAGCACATACGATCTTCCAGGCAAGATTATGGTACGTATTGGCCGTTGGATTCTGGTCAATCCTCACTCTACATAGGTCCAGCCAGTGAAGCACGTTCCTGGCGATTGCACGATGAAACGGGTGAGTTGATATACCGATATAGTCCGTAATCTAGTCCCTCATCATCATACGTATAGTCTCCCTCAATCAAAGAATGACCTCCTCTCAGAGAAGCTCGTCGGGCTCGCCGACTCCTACTCGGTGGTACGTTTTGGCTATGCCACCACCCGACTCGTTAGCATTCATTACCATGCAGTCATAAGCGGAAGCAGAAGAATATGCTCGAGGCGTACCTTTTCTTCCAGGGCCAATCCCGCCACTCAGTACTTCATTTTGACGTCCCCTCACAGGATGTATAGTATATTTCCCGGGCAGTCGTAAACATCGACGTTTGCGAGGTTCGTACATGCGTCAACTGGGACTGCTGGTCGACATTCGAGGTTGCGACGTGGCTCGTTGACATTCGAATATTCCGGCTAAGGTTGTTCGCGAGTTGACCTACCTTCGCCCGCATCGCATTGATGATCGAGTGGCTGGCAAAGGTTAGAGGACTATAGCTCCTAATCTTATGCAGGGGCCTAAACTCGGAGCGTATCTATGGTGAAACGTTTTAGTGTCGAACTATGCTAGCAGGAAGAGCGTTCTCAGGAGCGGAATTAATTGACCCGTTTATGCTTGTGCAGATCCTATTGTCACAATTGCGGGGGACTTTGGTGCATGCGCGCCATTCGCAGTCTAGAACGTATATCCATCGCTGTCCTCCCTTCCTAGCAGCCTCATAGGCCCCCCTTTAGAGTACGGTATACAACTCGACATGGACTGTCGTCCTCGATATAACCGACTTAGAATGAACTACGATTTTAACGTTGTTCCAATACAATGTAGCTTCCGAGGAGCATCATACTGTACATAGAGGATGAATCATCGTTTCCATTTCTGTCCGATCGATTGCAAAGCCATCAGATTGGCCAGTGAAAGATTTAGCGCTGCGCCTGCCTGGCACATCTCCTCGACCTCAACTTCGTCATCAGCCTGTTCACGCAGAGACCATTAGTATGCGTTGTTAATTGCATTAACGATGATTCATCTAATTTGATTCCATTCGCTATTAGAAACGATTTCAAGCTGGCCATGAACCCTCCCCCGCCGTTACCGCAAGAGCTTATAGACCTAATAATCGACTTCCTGCATGACGATAGGCTTACACTTGCTCGTTGTATGTTGGTCTGCCACAGATGGCTTGATCGCAGTCGACTTCACTTATTCCGTGACGCCTACGTCACTGTTCCTGCCTCTGAGCCTTTTGCGATGGAACAGCAGGAACCAGAGTTCAAAGCGCATAACCTCGAAGCGTTCATCGCTTTCTTGGAGCGGGATGCGAGTATGTCTCTGCGGCTTGCAGTGCATTACCTTTTGATACGAGGATTGTATCCTCGAAGCAACTGCATCCTTCCCCTCCAGAGGGTCAGCGCGGTGTTGAACCTGTTGCCTCGTCTGCGCAGCCTCTCTCTTCTGGGCGTCAGACTATCTTCGGACGTCTCGTTCCGCAATAGTTTGTCGACTTTGAGTACTTTCCATTCTCTGGATCGACTGAGTATGTCGGACGTCACGGCATCTCCTCGCGGCTCCACCAATAAACGACCCATCCTCGACTTGTTTTCGCTTTTCACCTCGATCAACACTTTGTTTGTCAACGACTTCTATGCCGGTCGCACGGATACCGATCCACTGGATGATCTATCCGAAAAGGTCCATGTCGCAGCGCTTCAAGCCATTCGATTACGGGATTTCGATTTGCTGCAGGCTATATTCAGTAGAGCAATTAGACTGGACGGCGTTACTTCCTTCACCTGCACCATAACTCAAACGGAGCATATTCTTTCCGCACGATCCCTTCTATTCGCTCTTTGCTCCGATACTCTTACCCATCTCGAGTTTGACTTGCGATGGTTCGAACATGAACATGGTAAGCCCTCTTTTGCGCTATCGCCAACGTCGTATGTTCATGAGGATTTCAGAAGAAGTATGGGAAAGAATGAACCTGACACTGTTGAAGTCGTTGCGTACATTCCGACTTCATTTGGCTCTCTCAACTCGTCAGGAATTGGATGTCTCTATCTGGACGTCGACCATAGCTCTTCTATCCAGATTCTCTAATCTAGAACTCACGCATCTCGTCCTCCATATCTACGTTGGCCCATGCCTTTCCAATGAACAGGATCAGCTGCAGGTCACACCCGCTTCTGCACCATCCCAACGCCTGCAGTTGCTGGATTGGGAACGCTTCATTCGCCTAATAGACGCAATGTCTACATTGCGAAGCGTCACTTTCCATGTTGCCTTTCAAATTGACTTCGATAGTCCAGACCTGCTCGCGCGCCGCCTCGGGCAGGAGGATTATAGACAAATTGATAATCTTATCAAAAGTAAGCTAGATGACGGTGGGCGGGGGCGGAGAGTGCAGAGCTCATGGCAGCAATGTACTTGGGAGACCCTGGAGGCTTAGCATGCAATTTCCCGTAAGAGGGTGAGTCCGTAAGCCTATCGTACTGTGTGTCCAACAATTGACTAGTTCAAAGGCTATACGGTTCCCTTTTCATTCTCGCCAACTCGTAATCTTGCCTCTAGCTCGACGAGCTTTTGGCGTTACCTTATTTCGTCTTCTAATTCGAAACTGCATGCCCTGGCTCCTCATGACTTGCAGTTCTACAAGCTTTGTCTCTGTTTCCGATTCACCTCGTGGTCCTCATTTCCGCCAACTCTATACATCTTCCAAGATAGTCTCATCTACTCCGCTTTCAGTTTCAAGTAAATCGATCGATCCAAATAATTCCCATCACCAAAGTCCAGGTGGCAAACGCAAGCTTACACAAGCTACATTTTTCCGTTCGAACATCTCCGCGTGGGTTTCTACCTTGTCACACCTTTCGAAAGTTCCATCCAGCTCTGGTACGGAGGTATTCATCCATCTTCATCTTGCTACTCAATCCGAAGACGACGAAGAGCGCCCCAGTTTACTGCGGAGGATGCATCGGAGCGCGTAGGTTTGTTGGACTGGGCGCGCAGATCCAAGTTCTGAGTATAATACCTGTTCTGCGGAGAATATCATTCCACGTTGCGCTACGTCAGGATCTCAACAATCTAACTTTCTAATCTAGATCCTTACGGGGATAAGGATTAGGGGGGTAGTGTGAAGCTCCAAAAAATACAGTTGACGCCTATGCTGCAAACAATAGTCTCCGTGAAAACCAGGTGCCTGGCTCATGACCACCACCTGGAGACTCAATTCCTTGTATCTGTCACTGCATCATTTGCTTTCGCTAGAATCGAGTTGACATCGAAGATACGCCACATAACATTACGTCGATCTTTCGACATGCCGGCGGAACGAAACTTAGCAAAGGCGGTGTTTTACACCAAGTCATAGGGTGGTCGCCAACTGTGAGTGTTTCAGAATCAAATTATTCTCTCTCTGGACGTCGTGGATACGCGAGCACGTTGAACAAGTGCTTCCTTTAACGCACGATCATTCCAGAATCCTCCAAGTCAGGTACACGTAGCAAAAGCTTATCGATATATCCTACACGCGGAGTAAAAAAATCGAGAAAACAAGAGCTCCGAATGCTCTACCCCTCTTCTTTTGCCAGGGCTGAGCGGTTTCGGTCAACTGTGCTCGTTTCTCCGTGTTACAACTCAGGCCATGGGACCAACCAAGTCCTTCCCAAACAACATATCTTTGGCGGCCTACGGTGACTATTGATTGCATCAATCCATGGCAACATGTGTTCGTTCTTTTTGTGCGCTAAGATTCCACAACATAGTTTGAATCTTCGCAACTGCCGGCGGACCAATGAACAGTGCCTGAACGTACGTTGGGTCTTTACTTCCATTCGTAGTTGTGGTAACCTTCTTAGTGCTTTTATCAGTGTTCGAATGACGATGAAGAGTACCTGAGCGCTTTCATTAATACAGATTGGCGACGTTTCTCCTTCCGAGCAAGTCCGAAATGAAGCATCGCGCTTTTGTCCCCCTTCTCAGTTGCCTTGCTGAGAGTGATACCTATTCATTATCACATCCCATGTCAAGCTTGCTATTTGAAATCCGCGACCAATTTCACCGGCGAGAGATCCAAGAGAAGAGCCCTAATCCTTCATGAAGGGGAGTGTTTAAAATTTCATCTCCTTGGCGTATGTCGCTTCCTTCTCTCACACTTCGGATTCGCCTTAACCATAGGTTAGAGGCACGTTGCACTGTTAATAGTTCAAAATGGAACACTACCGTCACCTTTGTCCCTCAAACACGTCGCAAATCTAAAGGCGGAAGGACGTAATATCCTGGTAAGAGATTTTGCAGACAGTATCAGATAGTATTTGTACTTTCCGACGTGCTTCCCACAGCATCTGTCTGGAAACAGCATGTCCTGCAGGCTCGCCACTTCGTATCAGGCAAGACCTGACCGGTACTACTCGATATCCACAAACCGCAAGATGCCCGTGATCCCATTGGTACAAGGTTCGCTTTCATGCAACCAAAGGTTTTCGACGGATGTGCTATATTCGTCGACATATGGTACTCTGAAGACCTTTCTACGGCGTCACTGTCTACCTGCTGCACTATATAATCCCGGAGCCATTAAAGGACATCCAGCAAGAACGCAATCTCCTCTGACTGCAGCAGTTCAGCTTCTGCGATGTCCGCTGGTAACGAACTCTTCCCCAGACAGCTTCAGGAGCTTCGAGTGGTCTGTCAGGCCCTTGGAGAGAATCTCCGTGACATACAGACCGCGGTGATTCAACGTGGCGACCAAGATGTGACATTGCAACGTTGTCATACGGTATGTAACTGCTCAGGAAGGTCATTACCCTATTCTTACTGTTCAACACAGGCTTTCAATAGCATAGACAGCAGAGTACGAGTACGCACCATTGCACGCGACACCTACACAACTGCGGAATGTATGGAATCACATGGGATGATGTACCTATGAATTCTGACCGTGTTATTTCTCCAGATTTCCGCATCAATATCTTTAATGTCTTGTTGGGTGACGGCAGCACTGCAACCAAGATCGGGAGACTTGATGAATTTATCCAGGTCAGGACTAGACATTGTTTCTATCAAAAATGATACTAACTTACTCGTTCTCCGACACAGTCCGACTCCTTCAGAAGAAAGTATCATGCCCCGGCTCCAGTCTTTGAGGACTCTCAACGCTTGGCAGATGCTTTAGCAAGGTCTTCTAGCCTTCTGCAGGGTTTCAATCTGACGGGAATAAATAATCGTTTTGAGACTCTACTGGGTGCACTTAGGGTGTTCAAGGACTTCTACACCCAGGTTTGTCTATCTTGCTGGTGTTCATTGCGATAAGGCTCACTAGTCTGCTTGCGACTTCTATCGTAGGTCGTACAATACGTCAAGGAGTTCAAAGATCGCTTGGGTGGAAATGGAGTATGGTCTGCTCTTCAATGTTATAGCTCACACCGCTCATATACTGCTGTAGATCTCAGTTGAGATTATCAAGCCAGTCTCCGATTGGTTGCTTCGAATCTCTAGGGCTCTTGTGGAATTTCAAAATTCCGTTTGAAGCTTGTACTATTCGCGACTATCGGCTATGGTCGATTTATAATTTTTCTGAACCACTTCCTACTAGTATTCATCGCTACAATGCATTTGCTGGTTTCGTATATGTAACATTGTCATAGACGAACGGCCATCCGTTCCGTTACTTGTTCTCCGGGATTTCGCCTCTTTCGGTCACGATTTCGAGACAGAGGTTATGTACTATCAAAGCAATGCAGTAAGCTCAAGCGAAGCCTAATGATTAGTGGCTTACTGAAGTTCAGCGAGAATCGAGATGGTAACTTAGGCGCCTGTGCTTGCTAAATCTAGCAAGCCGTAAGTTCGATCCCGTTTCGATGGTAGACCACCGCGACTCTTTAAATTTTAGAGCTTTATCTCCTGCTTGCAGCTTCTGCGACGCGTCTCTATAGATACTTACTTGATCGCCTTTTCCATACATCTGGATGTGTTCTACGCGTGCGATTTAGACCTATGTCGCTAGTGTTGCAGTCAAGTTGGTGGATGCGATCGTCTCCCCATGCTGAGCATCACATCGCACACCGGTGACGACGTCATGGTAGGGAGAGTACATATAAGAATGCGGGTCTACTGGTTCTCCTGGTCAACTTTCTCCTCTCTGCATACTGGCCACCCTTCTTCACGATGTCACCGGCACACGTCCTCGACAGATATTATCTCTCCATCACGCTTCTTGTCACGATAGCGTACCAGCTCTTGGGTTTCGCAATTGCTTGGACATTCCAAGTACGGTATATTAAATATCGCCGTGGTAACCAATAACTGATAATTAGCTTTTTTGTGAATAGTTTGACAAGATTACAGACTTCACTGGCGGTATGCCTCTCCTTGCATTGTCTGTGCGTCGAACTTGCAGCAATTGATGTATCTCGTTTTCTTGCTACTAGGATCAAATTTCTTTATCATAGGTATGTTCTGCGCCTCGTTTGTTTCTCCGAAAATAAGGCTCAACCTGAACTACAGCACTTTTGACCCTGCTAATGGGCAACACGTTTTATGCGCGTAACATTGTCGCAAGCGTGTTGGTCATGATATGGGCAACTCGGCTCGCAGGTTCGTGTTATTCTGATTGAGTCTTTCGGGAGTTGCTTGAGGCTTGAGATAACTTATGCTACCTTGAAACATATAGGATTCTTACTCTTTCGCGTATTGAAGACAGGGAGTGATACTCGCTTCGACGAGTTTCGCTCGCATTTCTTCAAGTTCCTAGGTATGTATTGCCTTCTTTCTCGTGAAGGACCATCTTGATGTTTCTCCTCATCCCAAGCGTTCTGGATTGGTGAGTCTATTCTTCTGCTTTCATCGTGGGTGTGCGTATTCACTATATGATCCACAAATAGGTCAAATCCTTTGGGTACGCATCATTTTTTCCTTTTGTATCTTTGTATGCCGATTTTTGCCCACGTGTATATGTTCAACAGGTTTGGACGGTCTCCCTTCCTCTCACCATCCTCAACTCTCCTGCCGTATCTGATCCGTCTCTAGGCGGATCGAACTCCTCGTTCGGGACAGGTTGTGATATCGCTGGAGTAATTCTTTGGGGTATTGGTTGGTTCATTGAGACTACAGCTGATGCTCAAAAGGTGAATCTACCTGCCCTTGCAAGGACTTTTGGCGCGTATACTGAAATATTCTGCCATAGTTTCGATACAAGGCATCGAATCCGCCTAAGGATCGACCTATGAATGTGAATATTACTTTTAGCTTCGTTACTCTTTGGTGTCTTTGATCGACCGATGGTCTTTGTTTTGCTAGACCGGTGTATGGAGATGGTCTCGACATCCACCGTATTTCGGCGAGTACGTTCGTTTCATTTCTTCTTCCCTTGCATGATATTCTGCGGCATGCCAACTTTCTTTGATTACAGAATTCTCTGCTGGTGGGGCATCTGGATCCTCTGCCTCTCGCCTACGGCAAACGGTGACCTATCCAGTGGCGCTCGAAAGGCTCAGTATGCATCAGTGTTATCCCCGATCTTTACAACCTTGTAAGCCATACAATATCTTATCCCACATCCGTTGCATGTTGATTGGGACTGATTTGGCTGAATGCGTAGGTTACTTATGTTCGCCTCGGGTATTCCTACGGCCGAGAAACCCACTGGCCGGAAGTACTATCTCATGTCCCATTCGTCGTCCTCTCCATTCACCTCTCCTCCTTCCTCCGCCTCCGCTTTGCCTGCGAATCCACCCTATCCGGATGCATGGAAGAAATACCAGTCATACCTTCACTCGACGTCTATCCTTATTCCCATCCATCCTAAGCTGTATCGTCCGTTGCCGAGGTGGATCAAGAGGACTGTGCTGCTTGATTTTCCGATCTATGGATTTGATGAGCACGATGGCCAGAAGGCTTTGGAAGAGGAAGGAAAGAAGAAAGCAAATGGAGGAGATAGGTCGGATTAAATGGACTTCTTGAAGGTACGGATGAGTGACATTTCGCTGATCTGTTGGAAATGGTTGTAGTAGGACCTTAGCATCCGGTACCGAGATGCGTTCATCGTTTTCGCCAAATGGCAAGACGAACTTTGCAGGTGATATGCATACAACCTAACGAAACGTAATGCGTGAAATTAATGAATCCAATTTACATTAGCCTCGATAGGATCGCAGGTTAAATTTCCGAACGGTTGCTTTCATAAGTCGAAAGATATAAACAATTCGAGGGGGTTCCGTGGATCATGATTGTACTTGTTTGAGCAAACATCGAGAAATACGGGCGCTCAACTCTTATTCTGATTCACTCCCGCCTTAGTGAGCTAATTCAAACAATATTCTAGGCATACTCAACTAATGAGTTACACTTCAATCTTTCTCTTCTACCCTGGCGTTTCCCCCTAACTGAACACGACAGTGACTGCCACGTATAGCAGGGCGCAAACAGGCGTTTGTCAAAGACCAACCAGTACCGTCATCCCGTTAATATTGGGTCGTACGTCTCTTCGACATCCCAATTCAGGACAATTTCCACACAGCTCATTGCTTATCCTTTTGGATCTGGAAGCAGTTCGAGATAACCACTCCTCGCAGAGTCAATATTTTACCTGAACTTATTTACGCGATGATCGCACTGTTGTCTGATGATAAGCCGACACTCGCGCAGTGTACGTTTATCTCCAAGGACTGGCTGAGCCCAGCAGGGAGGGTCTATTTAGGCACATATCGCTGGAACTGCCGCACAAGGAGTCGACGGATGTTATTCTTGTAGACTTTGCAAAGTGGTTGGACTCGTCGCCGCACATACGTCGTTATATTCGTCAGCTCACCGTCGATCGAAAGGGCCGCCTGAGCATGCGGCCAACCATCCAGTTGCGAGTACTGGGATGGATTGTTGGAAACCCCCCCAGACTTGATATTCTGTCACTCGACAGTCTGACGTTGGTGACAGGCTCCTTGGGGCCTTGATCGTCATCTTCTGGCGTTTCGCAATTTGAACGATTGGCTATCCACAACGTGCCTGTTAAGAATCCCACAGGCTCAGGGTCACCCATCCCTGAACTACTAAGCCTCTTTTCAATTATCGAGGCCTTACATATAACAAAATTGTACGATATCTAGATCACGCCGCTCAGAAGCTGATCCCGAAACGCATTCAGGTCACGACACTGCTTGTACCGGACGTCACTTCATGTGACTTCTTCTTGGGAGTTGTATTGAATGCCATCGACATTTCGCATCTCCGGTACTTGACCCTTTCCCTTTCTCGGAAGGCTGACATTGATTCCGTGGCATCCTCTTGGGCCAGCCGGATATTGAAATCATAAACATGGAGTTTGCGAGCATATCCATACAATGACAGTTAGTTCTTCCCTTCTCTGTATAAGCTGTGTCAGGTAACCGGACTCGGATGCTCTCAGCTATACCTCCGTGGAACAGACTTCAGCTACCCACTCTGACGTCCGTTAATACAGTAACACTACTCTTCAAACTTGATGAATCCAGCCCCAGTTACAACACGGTCATATGGCTGGGAATCATGGCATTTGTATCTGAACTGCCACCTTCACTCGTAAACCTCAATCTCCACATTCGTATCATGCGTGCATACGAGCACAAACTAACGTCCGTACAGCAATTGGACTGGTCTGCGATGGATTGTACACTAAATTGGCTGCCGGTTTTGGAGAAGGCAGCGATTCAACTGCATGACATCGGCCCTCAGTTTTATCCTGGGTCCTGGGGACAATGCATTGGATGAGAGCAGGAAGAGGGTTGAACGTGCAATACTGGCTTTGACACAGAAAGGCGTTGTTCGTTTATCCTGGTCTTTGAAGCAGAACTGCGGATCTATCTTTGTAGTTCAGATAATTGGTGAGTCGTGCTCTTCTTGAACGTCCTCTCAAGAGGCGGAGAACACCCCGTATTTTGTTCTGTCTTCATCTCCAACTGATGCGTTACTGGCAGAATAATCAGGCGATTTGGTCGGAATCCGAAGCATCAATAGCACATAGTCAGCGAATGCATATTACTTCTGCTGCCCCATAATGACGGGCGTTCTCTATCTCTCCTTCCATGTATGCAATCACTGGCTATGCATGGAATGATGGGTACCCATTAATCAAGCGGGGGTTCAGATTGTTCATGACAGAAGCTTGCGTTCTAGGAGTCTAGAAAGGTGTCAATCGCGCGATGGACGATCTATATTCGTATGTTACTCTAGCATTGTCACAATGCAGCATTTCCTTCAATATTATCACTATTATTGACTTTATTTGCAGACTAGATGTGCGCCAGGACTCACATCTCCCGTCCCCAAAATGTGTGTCATTCCAATTGGGGCGTCCGACTTCCATTGCTGGCTCAGTTGGCGGGATGAAGGCTCGTGGCGATGCTCTTGCCGGTTGAGCTGTGTACAGTGTCTGGCATAGAACTTCCATAGAAGACTCCATGGATCGGACATATCACTGATACGTCCAATGCTGAAGTCTTATCGCGGTCGAGGACAGCACAGCCATCATTAGAACCAAACCACAACCTCAGGTAGGCTTTCAATAGCGAGGACTGGCATTATACTTGCTCTAAGGGTATCTCTGCATGTTATGCTTTCTTTTTTTTTACGAGGATGAACATTGATCAGAATTAAAAACAGGTCAACGATAATGAAAGCGCTTCCTCAAGAACTCGTCGACATAATTATTGACTTTTTACACAACGACAAGAGTACGCTGAAGTCATGCTCTGAAGTATCTCGAACCTGGGTCGATTCCGCTTCCTTACATCTTTTCGCTCGTGTTAGTCCTCTTTGGCGTCCACCATACACTGACAGTCTAGCCACGTTTGCTGTCAAACTGAAGTCTTCACTGCGTCTACAGAGATACGTCAAATGTCTAGAGATCAAGTACTACAAACCACAATATAACGGCGTGCAAGCTCCGAATCCCATTGCAAAGAAACCTCCGATCCCTTTGGAAACTCTCTTCCTCGCATTGCAGAATTTTCCACATTTAGAGCGGTTGATATGCGGAGATATTGAACTGTTCTCGATTTCAGGCGGTCAATCTGCGATGACGGAGCTGCGCCAGCTACCAACTGTCCGACTTTTGGGCACAAAGTTCTCCGTGGTAGGGTCAACCTCGTCCATTGGCAACTTCTTCGGACGATTTCGTTCAGTCGAGACCCTTTTCCTGTCCAATATCAAGTTCGACCCTCGCGACACCTCCTTATTTTTACCGTCCACCACGAAGGTCCAAGCTCCAACTGTGGTTGCAACGTCGCCGAACGTAGCGGACTTGTTTATCATCTTGCGGAATACTGTCCACCTACCAAGTGTCGTGTCATGTGGATTAAGTATCTTCACGCTCGATGATATTCCAATCGTAGGCGCATTCCTTGAGGCCCATCTTCGACGTATTATCGTGCTAGAACTGAACTTGCTGAATTTCTCAGAGTGGTGTACGTATCATTACTATGTCTTCGGATTTGATACTAAGGATGGCATATGCTTTCAGCGGAAGACGGTACACAGCCCTCATGGCATCGTTTGGAGCTCCCTAAGCTCTCTCAGGTCAACGCTCTCATCCTCAATACCTCATTCACCTCAGGAACATTGGACCAAAACGACTTTGGTTGGTTAGCTATCCCTTCTATAGTATTCACCCTCCCGTCAACCTCTTCATTATCTTCAATACGCATTCATGTCCTTCTTTCGGACCTCGGACCTCGAGGGCTTTCGTCACTGCAAAGATTCATTTGGAGTGAATTCAATAGCGCATTAGCTAGACTACGGGGCCTCAAGGAAGTCATTTTTGCCCTTCATGTCTTGGTATCAAAGAATCGTGTCTCCTCATGGGCAGCTGTCGTGCTGCTATTGCAAAGTGCCTTGCAGGATGTCCAGGAACGAGGCATTCTGCAAGTAGAGCTCTGCTGGTGCTCGAGCTCTGGAGTTTCTCAGGGGTTCTCCCCTTGGCTTCTCAGAAATGCGTGACGTGCGCCCCGCATTTTTCATTTTCCACGCTAATGTACTGATGATTTGATTGTGAACGCAGCAACACTTTCAGAATTACGTCCACTGGTTTAAAACGTATCTATGCAATGTAGGACAGTGTTTACCGTGCTATGCCATGATGAGAATGATCGGTAATTAAGAGGCACACCTAGGGAAGGGAGGGCAAGGAGGAAAGCTAGTCGTTGATGAAGCAGATTTCTTTATAATTATAAAGCCTTAAGTTTCTTGTTCTCCGAGTATCAGGCTTGCTGGGCAAAGCCGATGTGTTTCTGTCGCATACTAGTATATCTCACTGCAGTATAATTGTTCTTCTTTCGAATACAGATACCAACTGTCACGAAGACGTATTTGCCCTGATGTTCGTCACGTCCGCGGTCATGACATTATGGTATAGAATCGACCGAGCTTGGATAAGAGGTGATAAAGAATACCACACGTAAATGGGTAACAACACCTTTATACATTACGACGGCAAAGCATGCAACCAATGACAACTTCCTAAATCTATATACCTAACAGGACTCTTCATAAATGAAATCAAGGATGGCCGAATTCCAAAGTCTTAATTGACGACTCCCGCTTTGGTCATAGTCGTATCGTCAGAGTCTAAGATGGAGCGTGAAGGACTGGGGAGGTCGCCGCCTGTGTTATCGTGTTGTATCGTCTTCTGAACGCTAATCTGGACCTACGAGAAATTGTAAACGAGTACATCAAGCAACGCTATAATAAGCATCTCGCCCATAGGAGAGCAACAGGAATACTGAAAGATTGGTGACACACCTTTGCAGGGACGGGATCAACATCGTGTCTTGACTATCGATACAACACATCCAGCATACGCCATCAGCTCCATCAACGAAACCAACCAAAGTCCCACAGAGAAGCAGAAATGGAAAACTTACCGCAAAGCCATTTGCTCTGCCAACCCGACTATAATTCTCTGGGAAGAGGACAGGAAGAGGACGATCGCCACGATCACTGGATCCTTGTGAGCGCCCTCGGAGAACCTTGCGCGCGTTCAAACTATTGATTTCAAGTATTGAGAGTTGCATCTGGGCGGGATGGAGAAAGTTGCTTACGTTGCGAGGAATGCGTTCGCATACACTGTGCACCACATAGTTGGAAGCAAGTCATAGACAGGGTGATTAGTACGGGAAAGCTCTCAGGGAAGGGATGTAAAGACGGACATTTGCTAATGGCGAAATGCAAGCCGAGGAAGATGAGGTTGTGTGGCATAGAAACCCACTGGATGAATTGAACGTCAGGGCAATTATACCTGCAGAAATGGAATAGACAGGATATATCCAAACAGACTTACGCAAATGAGTGAAACAACCGTCGTGATCCTGTATTTATACATGCCTGTAAGTACGAAAAGATAAAGAAGCGAGACTTGAATCAAAGCACTGACGAAGTCACCAGCCCGTTCTCGACTGTATAAAGTGTAATTGAGTCAATTATTGTGTCCATACTATCCCAGTCACCACATCAGTTTTTGATACATAACCCACACTTCGGCAGGCAATGTGAATGTACGTACCTCGAAAACCCAGTTCTACTTCTATTCAAGTACCAGCAAAGTGCAGCAGCGATCATGATATCGACTGCGGCGGCAGTTGACAGACCAATCGTGAACACCCACTATTCAACGGATTGAATGTCAACAAAGGTTGAAGGTGGATATCGAGCCGATGGAGGAATACCCGATGACGCACACTAAAGTACTGAACGAACTTCTTGTAACTGCGAAGTTTGATCCTGTGAAACGAAAAGCTTAAAAGTGGAGCAAGTGGGGGTAGGAAAATTTGAGCCTACATTTTTGACGTTGATACTATCCATGGGATTCGCATGAAAACTTCAGAGCAACAAACACAGTCATGAAGAGTGCAGCGACATACCTAAAGCAGCAGCTACGGGCGCACGAGACGTCGACGAGATGTCCAGTCAGTATAAGTAAACGTTCATTAGAGCGTAACATACCAAGACGAAAAAGAGCAAGAGTGGCCTACACAAATTGTTCAGGCGTTAGCATGGGATGAATGAGGAGGGAACTCACAATAGGGAGCGTAATGTAATAGTTTGATCGGCTCACTATTCCACGCAATTCGTCAGCAATCTATCATGAGTTGGACAGGGGAGAGTCGACGAACAAGTGAAGATACGATGTGCGAAGAAGCTTTATCATACATTCCAATTAAGCAGACGTGAAACTAAAAAAACAGATTGTGGTCGTACCAGTGAACAAACCAAGTAATGAATGCCTGCAACATCAGAGCTGTTTAGTCAAGAGAAAAAGAAACACTGTAATCACAAATACATACGGTAAGGGCAACTGTAACAGCGATTGTCCTACATCATAATGTGATAAGCACAGGTCTGACTGGAGGTAGAGGAAATGTACGGACCGGGTAATGAAGTCTGAAATACTCTCATCGCCAAAGTGGTCTATGAGATATGTCCAGTTGGCTGCGCTCGCCATGGCGGTATGTAGAAGATCCATTGCCCTTTGAAGTCGAAACAGATGGGTGGTTGGTGGGACTCTGAAGGAAGAAACGGAGCGTACGCACCATATGGATGCGACCTAGTATAGAAGGGCGAAGCAGCTGATGAAGTGCATTGTGGGGAACTCGAGTTGTGATAAACATACCATGATCTTATACCTGAGCCGATCCTTAGGGTATATCCGGTAATACAGGAACACTTGCATCGTCACGATACCTGACAGGCTGCGGAAGCACAATTCATAATTAATACCTAAACAATATTCGTCTTCACAAAATACGCTTGTCTCAAAAAGTGCACGGACGAGAAGAGCGAAATGAAAAAAGATGAAAACTAGTCAAAGTGAAGACCAAAGATGAGAGAACTCACAACGCGCTGACCAGGCTTCCCAGCAACACCGCGCCGAGAGAGGGACGCAATCCAATTGCTTCGGAAAGGATTTTGAAAGTCGACATTGTAATGGAGTTGCTCTTCTCTAATCCCGAAATTGGTCGGTTATGAATACGCTGCAAGATTACAGTGCTGTGTGGGTAACACTAGCACCATATGCAGGTAAGAATGGCACGCTGGGATCCCGGCTACAACGCACAACGCACACGTACAGGAAGGGGAGAGAGGGAAAGGGACCGCAGGTCGAATGTATTGAGTTTTATATGGATATCACTGCCGTAACGGTGGCGTTGGGTAACAATATAAGCCAGGTATTTCTTCGGGGTAGGTGTTTGTTCATCGGAAGTCGACAGAATCCCTTCCATCGTTTCCCACCGTGCCGGTTACCGAACAACTCATCACTATTGCGATTGTTCTATAGACTTCACCAGACCCATTGGCTGCGACAAGTCGCACCTGAAGAATTAAATTCAAATTGTTACGGGAAGAGATGGCCAGGTGGTTTCATCGCAGGTGGCTGCCGTGGAGGTCTTCGCTATCTTTGTATCCAGAAGGGTCATGCACCGTTAAGGTCGCCAAGAGAACATTAAGCCCAAAATGTAATCATCCGAGGAACGAATCCAGGAGGAATTTGATTTGTGTCCTATTTATGTAACGCCACTAAGGTGTTGTAGACGTTGGTCAGTGTATCGCCTAGTCGAAACCACATCCGTTCTCTGCGAAGAGTGTCTGAGTCGTAGCAAGGACACCCGACATTGTGTGTAGACCGCTCGGAGAGACCTGCTGGAGGTTATTCCAACCTGTTAATTTAGGCGGAAGAAGGAAACAACCTGGCAGCGAGATTGTTGATGCATTTTCTCAATCGTGAATCTCGACCGAAAGATCGTTCGGACTATTTACAGATCAGCGATGAACATTGAAGAGCCGGTGCTTGCTTTGCAGAGTTACTATATCGATTTGGTGCATCATCCCGAACCTTTCCTGTTTCCGGGAACTGAAACACCATAATGGCTTGTTTTCTTGTTGGGCGGAGTCTCAGTAGTTCCCAAAAAGTCGGAAAATGTCCCGACCTTGACAATAGGACTTCACTGTTCAGGAATAACCTTAGACATGCAGAAGCACGGACCAAGAAGAGGGAAGATGGAGAAGGTTCAAGGCCGGACAGAAAGTGAAAGTTCAAACATACCTTAACACGGACTACCTCTTCAGGACATGGCGAAACAATAGTGAATGTGGAGTGTCTCCACATCTCTGGTCAGACAGGCTGGCAGAAGCAAGCAAAATAGCATTCGTCCAAAAAGCCAGCGCTCATATAATTGTAGACGAATTTGTGTGGGGATTGAATGGAGGAGCGGTCTGCTCATTTGTACATGTTGCCGCCACCCGGCCGGTATTGTAGAGACCACAACCTGAAGCTTGAGGCCTGGCAGGGTGGCAGCGGTTGTGTCGACAAGACCCGGACCCTTTCGTGTCCAGGGATTCACAATCTACGTAGATTAGATTAGATCATCCAGTCGATTTCTCATGTCCTTGTCTTCAGTACACAATTTGAATCAGTGCACGACTAGGCTGCAACGGTGAGGACGAAAATCGCCGTTCAGCACTAAAGTGTTTTTCAGGTCCGTTTCGCTTTATCCAGTGCACTACGTGACTGAACCGAACCGAACACCTACAACAGATGTCGTATAGTGGCCCGAGGTCATTGCTGACGATTCGTCCAGTGGACGCAACATCGTGTTGAACTATCTTCGCTTTGGACAAGACTACGATGTCTCGTGGTTTTGCATTCAGTTCAGAGGCTAGTGTGCGAGAGATTTGGATTCTTTTTCTGTTAAAACAATCGGGGCTGTTTCTGAGCTGGCGTCTCAATTTCTACCACCGAATCGGACATTCTCACAGGTACGTCCGACTGTGTGATCCTCCCGTCTATTTTGCTACGTGGTGTTACTGCAGAACATGCTGTGGATCCGGTAAACTTAGTGTTGTTCTCGGTACGGAGGTACTTCCAGACGTCGGGAGATGCAGAGACCGGAACATACATCGCATATAAATACGATCTTCGACCTCACTATGTGTCCTGAATCTGCATTGGCACAAGTATGACTGATAATCCCCGGTTCTTTCAGTGCTGCGCTGACATTCAACAGCATGCTCTTGTTGATCTTTTCTCGACATCTGCCGTAGACAGAGCAATGTATGCTCAGACCACTTTTATCACGCCACTAAATAGTCTACGGTATGATTCTGAGGTAGGCTCACCTTCCGCTTGCTACGAACATATATTTATATAAGGCAAGCAGGACATTGAATATCCGAATATGATTTTTGGGATAATCGCGCCCTTACACTACAATGTCGCTTTTGGTATACAAACACCCGAATGCGGATGGCCAGGTTCCTCCACTTCCTACTGATCGTAATGTAAACAAAATATTGAACTTGAACGATAAAGAGAAGGCGGCGAAATGGCTACTGATGACTAAGAATGCATCTTGGCAGGACCATGTCCGTCCTCTAGTAGTGAACCATTCAACACGACACGTCCCCTCTCGCACATCTCAGCAAATTCTGACTTGAAGTATCCCAGTGTTTCCCTCACAGTATACTCCCACTCCCACCCCTGCTCCGGTGTGACAAACGATATGATGGTGCGTCTCAGCGTGCGATGACGCTCCAAGAGCGATCGGAAACTAGTCAATGCCATATTCTGCGCGAAAGCATTCCTGCGTAAAGGAACGTGGTAGGTGAGATGCATATTGAGCTCCAGGCGCTTCAAAGGGCGCTGAAGCATAGTGGTTATGAGTTCGAGGAACTCGTCCCATTTTGCACAGGTGTCATGACCGTCTACATCGACACAGAACGCCTCTAAGGCAGCGGTTCCCGATTGACTGAGGGAGGCTCCTACATTGGGAACTGTATAGCAACCATTCTTGGTAAGAAATGATGAAGTGGCGGTATCACGTAGAGTCTTCACGTACAGGCGGGTATAAGAAACGAGCGTCGTAGTCTTAGGTTCAAGTGGAGATGTTTGAGATGCAGCGTGGGATGACGAAGGTACGCTGCGAATGAAGGCAAGTCCGTAAACATATCTGTATGCAGTGATCGAATGCTGGCAAAGTCGATGGTGCGAAGGAGGTAGGGATTTATGGTACCGTTGAAGCACAGTGGGAACGATATAGCTGAGATGGTGGCTACTTTGACCTTTGTTGGCAAGTCGGGAATCTCGGCTATCGTATCCCTGTCCCTGAATGACGCGTTTCCCAGAAAACAGAGTTTGTCAATGTGGGAGAACGCGCTGAGGAAGTCGATGAACGGTGCGCCGAAAAGCGCGTCCTCGGACGCTGCGAAAATGCCGTACTCGAAGCGCAACTCGTCAAGGCGGAGACATGATTGGGTCTGGAAGAGTAGACTGATGCCGTCTTTCGGGTCTGCGCCGAGAAGATAAACGCTCTTGAGAGAGAGGGTCTGGAGGCGAGACAAAGCTATGACGAGGGCCACGAGGTGACTCGAATGGATAGACACGGAAAAGGAGCCTTGACCCTTGGATATGGAGAGCGAACGGATGAGGCGACGTGCATAAAGATGTTTGGAAACAAAGTTGGTGAACCTTTTCAAGGTTTTGCTCGCCGAGTGAGTTGGTGAGCGATCTTTATGGTTGCGGATGGAGAGAGAGATGGAATGGAATAAGTGGTAGCGGCTTGAGGGCAACCACATGTGGTTGACCAAGCAACAGCGAGCCAAGGTTTTCTTGTCGTCGTGTAGAAAGTCGATAATATGATCGACTAGTTCCTGAGGGAGGAGTGCGACTGAGCGGGTTCGAGAAACATCGTAGCAAGGGGCGACATGCATATTTACTAGCACGCCTGGAGAGGAATATGAAGACTTTGAGGATTGGTTACGGTCTTGGGTGGACATCTGAATGATAATATATTGGTTGTGCGTAGTCATACAACATGATCGGAATGATGGACGCCGTTGCCATTTGGAGTTGATAGTTGCATATTTGGCCCTACGAGTGAAAAGATGCAGGTACGGAGTTTGCTGCTCGCCGGGGGAATGAGGTTGGCAGTTCAATGTCAACGGTCAACGTTTCACCCTCTGATTAGAATGCATCGTTTCTGCTGGAAGACCTGCAGAGATGCCAGAACGTCATGGGAGAAATTGAATAGATGACAGGAGAGATGCAATTAATATGGCCGTGAGACTATGATAGTGCTTACAGGTGTATTGAAGAGAGCCAAGGGTAACCGGTAACCACTAATCGACGGGCTTGCACATTGGCACAAGCCAGCGATATGATCGATTGATCGAGAGCATGGGCGAGTCCAGCCAGGAACACGGTAGAATTCACCGGCGCCTCCCTGCACCATTAATCTACTGTACTTGGAACGGCGATGACGCAGTACTTGACTGTTTGCGATGGGTGCGCCCGATCTCCCGCCAGACGTCCTCCGCAAGCTGCTCGATCAGCTGCTCGACGACAAACGCACCCTGTCCAGTTGTGCCCTCGTCTGTCGCGTGTGGCTTCAGATCGCACGCCCGCTCTTGTTCCACTCGATCAATGTCCGCATTGGATTGGCCAATCGGGCTGGCTTCGTCGACCAGCTGGCTGTCTTCGTCGACCAGCTGGCTGTCTTCGTCGACCAGCTGGCTGTCTTCGTCGACCAGCTGGCTGTCTTCGATGCCTTCTTGCAGGAGACGCCACAGCTGGGTGTACTTGTGAAGAGGTTGGCGCTTGCGAATGCGTATGAAGACCTGTACAAAGGTCGCGGTCGGCCTGCAGTCAAGCTCTCCGTCCTCGCTCCCGTTCTGGCCAAGCTGCCTAACCTCGTACACCTATCCTTTCACTCGGTCTCTCTCGTCTTCGCTCCCCAGCTTCCACCCCTCTCATTGCGCCTTGACCGACTCGAGCTATTTCATGTCCCTGTTGCTCGCAACCCGCTTTCAATGTACGGTGCACCCATTCTCGATCTTCTCTCTCTTTTCTCCTCCATCAATACCCTTTCCCTCATACCATCCATCTCACCGCCATGGATCGTTCAACCAGTCTTCATCTCTCTAAAGTCGATACCCATCAAGGTTCGGGTACGCACGCTCTCTGTGCTTGATATCGTCAAGCGTGGATACGATCTTGCCCTTGCCCTCCTCATTAATGCCCTCGACTTTTCCTGTATCACGCGGTTTACGGCTCGCATCAATTCAGTGGATGATTTGTTGCCTGTTGGTGGTGTCTTGAGGAGGATGGACGGTCTGAGAGAGCTCGAGTTAAGTTTGTTCACTGAGGAATCAGGCATGTATGCAGTAGCATGATATACGTACTGCGCTCGCTAAGACCAAGCCTGTGCAGTCTCACAAGCCCAATGGTCTATTCTCTGTTTATCAACCCTCACCTCCCTCAGATCCCTAACTCTCAACGTTACTCTTACTCCCACCAGTGTCACGTCAGGGTTCCGCGCTTTCCGTTCTATCGTCCCGCTCATCTTGAGCTTGTCTGTACCCCTTCCTACCACGCCTGATTCAAGACCCGATTCGACCGCATCTACTCCACGACCTCTCGAGCCCGCTGCGGGAACTCTCGCGTCTGCAACTACAAGTCTTTCTAATCATGCGCATACATCTAACGCCTCAAACGCTCGCAATCTTCTTGCCTGTCATCTTCTACCCCGCACGCGAACGCTATGACAATCTGTATACATCTACACATCCTTACCGCCTCGCTCTCCCCTCCCCACGTAAGCGATGCCTTGAATAACTTCACGTGGTATGCGTTCGCTGGTGCACTTTCATCAACACATCAAGCGAGGAGGTTGAAAGAAGTCAAAATCATCGTGTATCCAGAATCTGGAGTGTTGTCGCTGTGTGAAGAGGAGGATCGTTTCGATGGTCGTGATCACGTCGCTAGCGAGAACGAGAAGACGGGCGATCTACTATTTTCAGGAGATCTTGTTGACGTCATTAGGGAGAAGTTGTGTGAGGTCGGGTTGGATGCGTTGGTGAAGGTGGAAGTGGGGAGCTAGTTGGTGATCGGTTAGGCATGGGATTTTCGGCAGCTTTCGAGGATGGCGAACAGATGATTTGGGATGGCACCGCATTTCGATGTGGTGTCATCTATGTTTGCACGCTTCACAGGAGACGTGCTTATCCACCTCATGTCTGCGGACGCTCATGCTCAACCCCCCCTCAAGGCGTACAATGATACATGGACATGTCGAATATCTCTTGTCACCTTGTTGTGGATTTAAACCCTTACGTTGCTTCCGCCCGCCCCACCCGTTTCCTTCCCCCCTTTTTCATGTACGTCAATCAGCTCAGATAACGTTTCGAAGCTCAACTCGCTTCCACAGGAGGCAGGCTTAATCCATCCCATGCTTCTAAGACACTCATGCTCATTGGGACATTATTCTGGATTTTAACTCTTCCGTTGCCCCTTCTCCCTCCCTCCCTCCCTTCTTTTTCTGAGGTGTACGTCAATCCATTCAAATATCTTTTGAAACTCAACTTGTCACTTCTTAGATTCATCTTGATGATATGATTTTGACATATGCGACGTCTTGGATTAACTTTTGTTCTGTCACATCTAGGTCCTTCGAGCCCTGTTTAGCTCTATCTCTGTATCCGACTTTATCTCTTAGCCTCGTTTACGACCTTCTAGGCAGCGTTCGTGTAGAGGACGACATTCTTGACACTAGCAATGAATTTGTCCGGACGCCCGGATTTACGCCATTCGGGGATATTTGACCAATCAGCACCCAGAAAGGTCTATCAAGATATCGACCTGGAGGACAAACAATAGAACATGTCTCTCTGTACGTCACACCTGTATGAGCCATAAAGGCTCTCTTGCGCACCGTGCGTGTCTACTTCAACACTTCTGGTCTGCTTTCGGTGTCGCCTCGGTTGACTTTCGCTCAGTGTTCAGACGTTGAACGCGCATGGTCCTTTGGGAAATTATTGTGCGGAGTCAATGTCATTACGTTATCCATGTTGGAGTTTTGCTATTGAAGAATTCTTTGGTGTGGCGGCTACATTCGAATTAAAGAGTACTAAACTTCCTCATTGCGGAGTGCCACCGCTGGCTCGAATTCTGTGCAAGTCTCGATTTGGAATACATTATGTTGTTCTACGCCGACCTGGGGTTCAATCGCCACAACTGACTTCCGTTTTCGACTCTCCATTGTATTGAACTACATTCGCAGCGTGCGCCTCGGAAAACGGTCTGGAGTACACTCTTTTGCTATTCATAGACAAGAAGCTTCAATTTCAATGCTTGCCGTATCTGGACAATCACGATAAACATCCACTCGCTCGTCTTTCTCCTGGCTTCAGAAATCCTCTCCGTGCTTGATTCATCCCGTCATGGACACAGGACGACTCCCTCTTGACTCGTCATCATCGTGTTCGAGTTTCTTCACGACCACAAGCCTTCCCTTCAGCACTGTAGCTTGGTTTGCACGGATTGCGGCGTCCAGGCCTACAAGGATGAGATCAATATGCTTTTACTCCTGGTAAGCTACTATTTCACAGATATCTTTGGCATAGTAATTCATGTTGTAGATAGGCGACATCATTGTCTGGCCTTGCAGCTACATTCCTATTAGAGTCATATAAAGATTTGCAAGAGGACCTGCCGAATATGTCGAACCTTTTATCATCCCAGAGAATACAGGGCTTGTCTGGGAATCTTCCATTGGATTCAAACCTCGACACTTTTTGTGTTCAATTCGCAACATGTCCCTTCCATCCGCCACGCTCCTCCATATCAGTCAACATCGTACGGCTCGTCAGCCTCCTTCTCACGTTTCTCATTCCGTCATTTGGTGTGATTGCCAAACAGTGACTTCAGGACATTGTCGCAGGAGAGCATACATCGCCACGAGCCCGCAGTGGTTGTACACACTTTTTTGAATGTCCCAAGACTCCCAATCTCCTGAAACGGAAGGCGTTCAAGTGGCTTCTCTACTTGTTATCCTTTTACTGGGTCTCTTCCTAATAGGATTATGCTTCTTCTCTTGGATGGTACACCCAGTCATTGCATGGACTAGCGTATTCCTGATCTTTCTGTGGACATTGTTAATCATCGCTGCCGCTTTATCCCATTTTCTCACCTCATATGGATCTTAGAGCAGCATCGGAAGCCGTCAAAAAACTAATTTGAATTAGAAAGCACAATGAACCTACATAGATATAAGCGTGTCGTCTCAACCATAAGCAGTTTTATACGAAGCTCGAGGTCACTCGGACGCGAAACGCTAGGGACACTTCATTGTCAAATTCGACAGTTGTCTTTCCTCCAACCGGAATCCTTGTGAAGAATGAAGAGAAAAAAGTCGATAGAGAGAATCGAAGGGTGAATATCACTTTATCCTGTACAATACGAATAGTCAGAGCTTACCTGAACAGGAACGATGATGTCTTACTACGCACCTGTGTACACATCCTGGGGCTTCAGCGTCGTCCAAGGGTCTCGCTGGAGCATTATCTGAAGTATCCCTTTATCTCTATACAGACGCAGCACATTCTAAACGACGTTGCGAATTCCTTCAAAGTAATGAATTCCATCGTGAATAGTGCCACTTTGCTAGTATGACGACGAAGACCCTTGATCTATGCTCGCGATCCATGACAAACAAATGTACTTACTTTATTCCATCACTCCGCTTACCCGAAGTTCCAGCGACAACCACAAGTCACCACTACATAAGACGATGATAAAACTCACTGAATTCATCTTCAGAACTGCTCACGAGTCTGCGGAATTCGTTCGGTTTGTATCCCAAGTATGACTCCTTATTTTCCGTCTGCAAAGGCCATCTGGTGATCCTCAACAGAGCTGCAGCACGCCCAGCAGATGTATAGCCATGTGTTCCGCGCACCATCTTACGCATCGAATACACGTACGGCCAATCCCCTCTTGTGTTGCGTTCGCAACACCGCACTCTTCATATACTTTCCCTCATAGGCTGGCTAGCTTTAACCCCTGTGGCGTACCAAAATGGTCCTGATGATGAAACGAAGCATATCAGTCTGAATATGTCCGGTGCAGAGTCTACTGACATTCGATCAGCTCGCAACGTCCAAAGGTGACAAAACTCGACTCATTACCATACCACTCGAGTTGTCCTTAGGTCAGATTCAAAATCCTACATATTCTTCGGACCGAAAAATCGAGTAATTGAGTGTATTTCCACGAACGGCTCTGGCTGGAAACCTGCGATTTGTCATTGTTAGTGCGGGATACGTCCATAATTGCGTTCAGTACTGCAATAGAAGTACGCCTTGTAAGCGGCTGTAGAAATTTCAACCATTGCGAAGAGACCTGGCTGATGTAGAAGGGTGTCAATAGGCGAGAAAAGACTCAGCGTAAGGGGACCGTGATACTTAGTCACATAGACCCGTCAGGGAAAGTAACAGATAATTCGTCCGAGATCAGCCAGACCACCATGCAGGGATGAAGTTGGGCCAATGGATTAGGATGGAGAACAACGCCGATAGATTTCTACGCTGTTTGCGTCAGCGTCGCGAGCCCTAAGATGTTGGTAGAGCACGATGAGTACTGAGCCATCGAGCACTATGTTATTACAACAGGAGCTCCAGGGTGCCTGGACAAAAAGGGTAAGCAACGAATGAATCGATATTGAACCAGGACTTGCCTCGTTCTTGCCAACTGAGGCCAATGGCAATCATGACCTTGAGAAGTAGATATAGACGGCTCCTGTAAGAAGACAAGAGGCCGTTCAACGAGGACTGGCTTGATTTCACGATGACGAGAACAACCGACCGATTCTTGAGGAAGGGGAATCTAGTTGACATATGTAGCGTATAGAATGAAGGGGTCAGATCCTCACACGACCATATGTAACACTAAAAAAGTACAGGACTTCGACATGGACGCGGATTGTGAGAAACGGTGCTTGCTACTCATCAATGTGCCGTCGCACGAGCCCATCACGTCTCTTTTGAAGTCAAGTTGGAATTGAGATGAGAGCGCAACCGTACAGAACGCAGAACAGCAAATCGATGGGCAGACAGAATCGGGGAATAATCCTAGAAACCAGAAAGAGACCACATCGCAATGAATTACGAGGAAAGGGCGAGTGACTTGTTCCGTGGGACCAATGACGATGTGAACTTGATGGCCAACCGATCTACGGCTTAGGTGACTACCATTTCAAGTGGTCAAAGACAGGGAAGTATACAGGAAGGGAGGAGCGAGTTACGAAACGGGTCGTGTCGTGCTTTCTAAGCAACGCCTTGACCGTTCGGCCCTGTGATGGACTAACAAGTGTGCGACGGATGATTCTCGACCAAGGCTGATCTTCAGCTTGACGGTGGTTGTTACAAAGGTTCCAGAGTTCAATCTATGCGCCACATATATTCTTGAAGGTATCCTGCGGGGTGGTGACTAAGGTAGGAATAGAACAGTAGACGCGTCGGAGGGATAGTACATATCCGACCAGTTGAAATTTTGAGCATGGATTCGAGAAATACTGGAAGGTGTACAACATAGGTGAGGGACGCGGCAGAGTAGTCAGTAGGACCGTCAATTACAAGAGGATTTTCAAGACGGGGTCCATTGAGAGATTGAGGATTATGACTGAACGTGGAAACGCTGGGCCTTGAAGCTTGACCTCTTTGGATGGATGGCAACCCTACAACGCATACAGGCGTGGATGCGTTAGTTACTTTGAGTCGAGCAACTGCACAGGCGCAAGATGATAGTTGAACGTTGAACGTCTATCATCGTAAAAAGATGTTCAACTGACAGACGGCGGGCTATAGTTGTAAAGGGTACGCATCGTTGTGGCGGAGGAAAGTCAAGCACTAGTTGCAAGGATGAGAACGTGTGATCGTGTGAGGTGGGCATCTCAACCAGAACGAAGCACATGCACTATGCGATAACTGACCTCGTCCTCAGTCCATCGTTTGATCACCGGTTGCTCTCTCCTCAGCCAGCGTGCTGGAGACTATACAGTAGAATTCGCCAATCCCGTCGTGGCAAAAATCGACTTTGAGTCCCAAGATGCATATCCATGATGTTTGCTTGGACGAAATCCAACCCTTAGACCTTGACGTGGAAAGTCAGGGAGTCGTGATGAGATCGAACGGAGGATCGTTGTAGCGGGATTCGTTACTTGCTGAGAGGTCGATGAAGACAATCTAACTGAAGATTATCGAGACAAAGATTTTGTGGCGGGATGGTTCATGCTGAGACGAGGAAGTTGCTTCGCTTTGACCACGACGATCGAGAAATAAAAGGGTGAGGGCCATGGGAGATTGCCACGCTGGGATCCAAGGATCCTCGTATTAAAACAAAAGAAAAATCGGTTTAGCGGGAGACAGAAGAGTTGAACATGTTGAGAGGTGCATGCAAGTGCATGGCTCGGAGATGACTGTGGGGAGAAGAACATTCTGAGCAAACGCCCACGCGACAGCAGCTTGCACTTCTTTTATCGCCAGGCCGCTTGGATCACTCTCCAGGTTTCGTTCGTCTCCATCGCTCGCTTGATTTCCACTTCTTTTAAGCTCGTTCGATTTCGCCGTGTCGATGTCGAGGTACAACACCGTTGACAAAAGTGTCTTATAGGCTGGAAGTCCCGGAACTGCCTGAAGATCGATTCAAAGCTGTAAGCTAGCTTTGGTGGCATGCATCATTGGACGACTTGGGTTGATGAGATTCAGGAAAGGTGGGGGAAATAGGCATGATCGACGAGCTTCGTGCCTGCAGAATGGGGTCTGTCTATCTGCAGCCCCTCGCGGTGTCTGCTAGTCTCCGGTAGGTATCTGCAACGTACTAATCTTGGAACCGATGTCGTTCGACTCACGCTGTTCTTGAGGCCTTGAGGCCTGAATGCTGGGGGAAGCCGATCTTTAAGGTTCCTTACAATTCTGACATCCTCGTGAAGCCTCTTGTCCAGTCGCGTCCCCGAAATATGACAGTCGACAAGTAAAGACTGACATGAACGATGGGTTGTCTCCTCCATTGCATGCCTGCTTTATTCAAGTGATTCTTCTGCCATTCAACTTGCCATGGTAAGTCTTATCAGCACAACCTGGAAACTATATTTGATGGAATCATACTCATCCTATATGTTAATGTGATATTCTGTAAGAAGCTGTCAACATTTGCTTCAGAGGCTGGATGCCTCACTAGAATCCTCTGTCACCTTGCTCTTTAGAACAGAGGACACCTGAAAAACCAGGTATCCCCTGTTCAACGAGCAAGGGATTTTGGGGTTCTTTTGGAGCAAAATCTCGACCATGGTTAGATGGCGATGACATACCTTTCGCATGCGTAAATCAGTCCCTGTGATCTTCATGTAGGTTGTTTATGATTCTCGTGGTGCTTTAGTATCTCTTAGCAGCTCTTGACACCACGTTTTTCTGCAAACGCTTCCCTGAACATTGAATGTTACGTGAGTTGTTTCATTCCTGATCGTGTGTGTAGTCGAAACATGAACTGACGTATGTTCTCGTCTTTCCAGCCACGAACCCAACTGAACGCAAAGCTAGACGACGTGATTTGAGCCCTAGAAACCCTCCTTCTATCCACCATCCACTCGAATTCTCCACAGTTAGATGAGACTCGCCTCGAATGTAGAGTTGCAGCTCACCTAGTCGCCCTTTTTGTCGTAAACCTGCAGCTTGCCAACAAGTCCAAAATTAGCTGTAGATCATACGAGAAGAAGACCCAACCTCTAGAATATTGCTGCAATGGACCCAGTTGGACGACGCGACGTACTACGCGACACGCAGTCACGTGTAACAGCCCAAATCATTCGAACTTTGCCCTCCGCGCTCACTCCGGGCAAAAGTTTGGTGTGCGGAGTATCAAGTCTGATTACGAGGGAAGATTGCAATGCCCCCCAACCACAAATTTCAACCACGACTTTTGTTACCCAAGTCAGGGTAGGGTATGCATTTACGCCACATCGACTCGCATTCCCACTCACATTCAGTTCTTACAGATTCACTCTCAACTATGGCATCAACCCCACGCTCCTCCAACCAGATCGATATATTCGAACAACGTGCTTACGCCACTCTGCAGGGCGGGGAGAACGGTGATGAAGACGCGGCAGTCGACGAGCTGCGACGTCGTAACTCTCAGATCCTTCTGTTGCAACTGCCGGACAAGATTCTTCTAGCGATTGTCGAGCACCACACCCATATATTCAGGTGGTTGGCCTGGGACAGTACGACGAACATTCGCCGATTGATGGAGAAATACAAGATCCTTGCCATGTCGCAAGTCTGCCACAGGTTGAGAACCCTCTTGACATCCTCGCCGAGCCCTTGGAGGGTGATAACTTCATTACCGCACACAAATACGTCTTTCGTGCTCGAGCTACTCCACCGAGCGATACCACATCCTGTTGACTTTATAGCGGTGACAAATGCGCCCTATGGACCTCTACTCCCCCAATTGCAGGCTGCAATTCCATTCATGCACTCACTTGTGATAGAACTCTGTGAAGGTTTCTATGACGTGAAGCCCGACGACTTTCAACCTCTATCCGGCGTTGCCCCCTATCTGCGCTCGCTCAAGCTGACGCAACCTGTTGTATCTGAGACGGGAAGACTATCAATTCCTAACATCGTCGACGGTGTCAACTGCCCTGAGTTAGTCTCGTTGGAGGTCGTGAACATCGCATTTTCCCCAGCTCAGTTCACCTGGTCCGGGCAGTTGACTCATCTCATTCTGCTTGTTGATCCAGACCCAGGAGCAGAGTTTACGTCACCTCTCGTTATGGACGTACATGTCCTCCTGATGAATGTCCTCAGCCATCTGCCTCTCCTTAAGGATCTCGAGCTTGACGGTGTTTTCCCTCCTTCGAAGAACAACTACCAGTTGCTCACCGGAATCAAAGTTGATCTCTGTCATCTCCGGCAATTACGCGTCGCTAATCATGGGCGATCGCCCTCACTCCTATTGAAACATGTCAACATCCCAGTCGGCGCAAGGGTGGAGGTTGACTTCAAGTCCGTCATGCACGAGAGTTCCGTGCGTGAGCTGATAGAGATTCTGAGCCAAAAACTTTCTGCAGGCGCGACGCTCGATGGGTTCGTCGTCAGACCTGTCACCGGTGGTGGACAGGATGCCTTCATCGCTGGATACACGGAAGTTGATTCTGTGTCCGAGTTTTGTTCGGAAAGTGGCGACTTGCCTTTTCAGTTCAAAATCTTTATACCATCAGCTCTTCGACAGCAACCATGGCCCTCAATGGTTTTCGGCACACTTGCCCGACTACCATTGCACAACGTGAAGATGTTCCATATGGACAAGTGGGCCTCGACCTACTCTACTAGCGATATGGTGACGCTCCTCCAAGCAATGCCTCTTATTCATACACTCTGCTGGTCAGGACGAACTTTTGAACAATTGGTCTCGCTCCTTATGGCAGACTTCAAGGAAGTCGAGGGGGCGGAAGGGGTCACCTTGCCTAACGAATCCCCGATCTTATCTTCCTTGAAAACCCTGATCATTAGAACTGCTGATTTGGGCGATGATTCTAACGCCGTTCAGGCTTCCCAAAGTCTATGCCTGGCTTTGAAGGCCCGGCAGGAGCAGCAGATGCCCGTTCACTCACTCTTACTTTATGATTGCACTCAAGTATCTCAAGAGAACCTTCGATTACTTGCTCCGTATGTCAACGAGTGCTTTCATGATGACGCCCTTATCTCTGTCTAGGCCTGCGATTGATCCCTGACCCAAGCGGTTTCTTTTAACGTCTTTGATTTGTTTCGCATATCATGTACTGCGCCCGATGAAATGTCATTCATATGCTATAACTAGGTTGTTATAAATGCGTGTTTGAAGACACCCATGCAAAGGTTTTCCCGGTCGTTGATCGCCACTCCGTGTCATCCGAGTCCTTTGGTTGACTGACTGCCTATATATCCACCTTCATGGTGCGCGTCATTTCTTCTATCTTGTGCCCAGACGTTGGTGACGCACTATGCCTCGTCTGGTATCCGACAATCATTGCTTTCCTCAGGCTTATACTAGAACGTAGGATTCGATTCTGACTCCCGGTCTTCCTCATTTAGATCAAACCTGTCGTCAGTGATTTTGCGCATCGACTATTGAGCACATCACACTTTCGATTCCTGGTGAGGATCAAGTTCAAAAAGAATGCAGCCCCCTTTATTCAGCATTCATCGTGAGGTTTTTGTTTTCTGAATTCTGGTCTCTGGATACTTCACTCTTTTCTCGACCAGTGAGAAGAAAGGTTTGTTTGGATTCGCTAAAGCATTCATTTTTCAGAATTTGTGTATTTTCTGCTTCAGGTTCTTTGAACGCCATACTGTCACGTCCTTGTGGTCTGATTATGCGGCACGTTCGGACTGGTTCATGCTGGGTTTGCTCTGAGATCTCAATTACGAGCTGATTCGGCAACCATCTCTAGCTGGGTCTTTGGCTGCTCAAGTTCTCAATCAATCAAGCGGTGCCCACGTACTCAATGTTGCCGCTTGGACTCCGTCAGAGTCAAGAACTACTCTTTTGTATATGTGCATCAGCAATTGTATGACTACCGGTCAGTGTCGTGGTTCTACACAAGACAGGACAAATGTGGGAATACCATGAAAAGGGGAGAGCAGGTTTGCTTTCTATAACATCGACTAACAAAAATGTCCTAGGGCAGAAAGAGAAGGCCTTATCGTACCTATTGCTGAAATTCTGACGTGCAAATCCTACTCCGTTAGTCATCCGCTTTGCCCTCAACTCGTATCAATCCACGATCAAAATACTTCGGCAGCGCGTTCGCGATAGCAGTCCGGCAGAGACCAATTGTGGGTATAATGAATTCATCGGCATTGTATCCATGCATATTCAGATGGAAAACGAGCTCTTGCAAATTTGGTATCCTATCCAGAGTCACTTGCAGGTCTTCCCATTCCAATCCCCCTAGAACGTGTTGAGTCAAGGTCGAAACTACATTCCGTTTCAAATGTGGCTTTTGACCCTTATCTCGCTCCCAGTACGTGAGCTCATCTGGACTATCTTCCAATGTAAGTGTGATATTTTTCATCCATTCCGCGTATACTACTTCAAAATGTATTGTCACTTTTGAAAGAGTTTGGAGTGGAGCTGTCGAGAGCATACGGCAGGCGAATGCCCACTGGCATGACTCGGAAGAACTCGCCACGTATGCATAAATGCGAATGCGTAGAGCGATGGACCGAATCGAGGTAGAGCTTGACAACATCAAGTGAGGTTGTGCCATGAAGAAGGCATCTAAAGAGACATAATCAGAGGGGGACCGAGAGAAGGCAAGTCAAGCATACCGATCGGTAAACCATCTAGACCGACTTCGATCTCGTGAATGCTTTGGGCATTCAACGCTTTGAAGAATTATATGCTTCAAAAGAGCGTAGGCTTAGGATTACGAATTTTATTCGAGTGATGGCGGCCACATCGACCGCCGCCGCCGCCAGTATCCTTCCCAGAGACTCCAAGTGATCTGCACGCCTAATGATGACGGACGATATGCGAACCTTCGCCGGACCTTTTGCCAAATAAGAAGGTACCCTCTGAGGGATCCATCCATCGATGCAGAGCGTGTCAATGGAACCAAAAAATTCTATCAAGTCGATCACGGGAGAGAAGAGTAGATCGATGTCGAGATCGCCGTTGACATCTTCCAGTGTCAAGCGCGATAGGCGAGACGAGGAGGGTGATGGCAGCGAGAAGAGCTGTCCACCCATGTAATCCGTTTGCGGCAGCAGCGTCACTTGGAGTAACGATAGGTGGCTTAGATTGGGTGCGAGGTAACGAATCTGAAAGATTTGTGTAATTGAGATTCCGGTTTGCTGCAGGAGAAGTCTGTCACGCCTTGGACGAATAGTGAGGTCATGAAGATAGTGTCGAACACCAGGGGTGTTCCGGAGGAAGGTGAGGAACTCTGTCACATCATAATGGTGCAGTGTCGAGATGTTAGAAGACACCGTCGGCGCGATGACAGTGAGGGTGCGGAATAAGTGGCGGTGACTCCTTGCAACCCATCGTTGAGAGACGAGGGAACATTTGGAAAGGGACTGTTTGTCGCCCTGAAAATGATCGATTATTTGATCGAGTAGTTCTTGCGGAAGGGAACAAGCGTCCGTGTTCAACTCGTGCTGTCGCTCCGGAGGGGGAAGTCAATCTTATACCACTTGAGTGCTATTGTGGGGGAGAGACCGGCCAATGGCCTGCTCCTGAGGCCACGAAGGGTCTCGGGGGTCTGGGGTGTGCCGGAAGGGGAACAGCGAGGATCACCCACAAACCCGACGAAGTCGCTGACGAGCTAGTTCACGCGACGGCCAACCCACAAAAAAGACGAGGACGGGACGTATTCAGTTGTACAAAGTAGGACATAACGAGTTGGAAAGTTTACGGAATAAATGGATAGTGTGATTAAGAACGTGCCCTCGATGTGCGTGGTTTGGGATTGGAGAGAAAGTGGGGGTTTAGTACTGGTTGTAGCAACTGCGCATGCATTGGTACCACAATTTCCAATTTCCGCCAGTAACGCAAAAATGCATCAGATGACCACCGGCCCATTAACTTCACAATATCGGGGGGAACTCCACATTGCAGAAGTTCGGTAGTGCCGCCAATGCGGAACGAGTGCCCTGTGAAGCGGGGGATGTGGCAAGAATGCCAAATGGAATTGCATATTTTGAGGAAAAGTTTCTTCGTCAGAAATCTCCATTGCCCACCCGGTGTTTCCTGGTATGAAAAGAGGGGAAGGGATTCTGGAAAGCGGTTCAGATGAAGATGGTGCGTGCTAGAGGCGATTGGGCAGGACGAGCCTAGTTGGCGAGTAAGACGGGTGTCATCACCCATGAATCTCTTCGTTTTCGTGTAAGGGTAATGCAAACCGCGAGAACCATTCGCAGAAGAAACTGGTCCTAAATGAAAGCGAGAAGGGGTCCGTTTTGGATCATGCTTGGAAGCCGAGGTGGGGAACAGTTCTCCCAGACGAGATTGTCCCCAAAATGCGATGTCGGCGGCAGCCAAGAGACATGCATTGATTGAGACAGATTTGTCAAGGTGCGAATGAAGGAGTTCGAGCATGACACGTGTTATAGGAGGGCGGGGTGGTAATGCATCGGGGGCGAGGCGGTCCACACCATTGAGGACGTACTGTAAATGCAGTCCACCCTGCCAAGGCATGCAGTGGATGATGTGCCAGGCACGTACTGCAGAGATACGGTTGCGCACAGTGGATAATACGACGCCACCTGCGCGCGAGGCAGCAAAAGCACAAAGTAAATGTTCTGATGCAGGAAGACGCGCCTCCAGAGGCACAGATTCTCTGTCGCAAAAGGCCAGGAAGGACTTTAACCCAGAGGTATAGTTGTCGAGTGTAGAGTCCGCTAAACACAGCGACAACACATCACGTAGTTGCGATTCGGTAGTAGCAGATAAGCGTGTTCGAGGGGGTCTAGGAATGCCCATGGGGTGGTGCTTGAAAAGAAAGGAACGCGGAAGGGAGGGTATATAGGATTCACTTGCGTAATGGCGGCGTTCTGCTTGAACCTCATTGAGGAGTTCTCGCACTCGAAATTCACGATCCAAAGACATAGTCGCTGGGTAAGCCATGGTCATGTTGATGTTCCCATTATGTCATATTCACGAGATTTGTCATAACATGCAAAGACATATATTGCGACCATAAGACTGGAAATCTAAGCTACAAGTAGGAACGGGGTTAAGTGCTTGGGTAAGGAAAAGGTAATAGAGGACTTGGATGCAAGAGGAGGAAAGAGACCACGGGATGGAAGATCTGCCAGATTGTCAGCAGATGGTATGTACTTGGTAACAATCCAAACACCAGAAGTTGCAAAGACATTAACAATTTTCTGCAAAATCCGATTCTGCTGAGGACTACGAGAACAGCCTGCTTTCAAAGCACCATTGACACCCTCGTTATCTGAATGAACAAGAACTTGGACATTGGAGTATCCACTCGCAACAGCGAAGTGAGTGGCAAGCTCAACTGCAACCATCTCCGCCCACCCAATATCCCGGCCATCAGACTTCCAACCAGGTTTCAACTGCCACGCTAACCACTTGCCATTAGCTACAAGTCCAATTCCCCATGACGTAGAGGCATCAACAAAGAGCTGGAGATCCGTCACCGCGGGGGGAACCAAAACATGAGAGCCGCAAAAAGACTGAGATAGGCGTGCTCACCACCAAGCGGCATCCTCGAGTACTGCAGTTGAGATCCGATGACGTGCAAAGATAGATGTGGAGTAGTGAAAGCCACTGGCGAAGCGGTAAAAGGAAGGCAAGCGAGAACGACCCTCAGGCAGGGTGAGACAACAATGGTTCAGTGTACCAACCATTTTCTCACACTCCTTGCGAGTGAATGTCGCACCAGAAATCCAAGGTGCCAGGCGTTCGAGGTACTTCACTTTCTTGGAAGCAGGAAGTTCAACAGTGCGAGATGGGATATCCCATTGAAAGCCATTGTAGGTGAATGAGGAAGAGAATGGTGTATGCTTTGTTGGAGACCAGGGCCAGCCAAGGCGTTCGGCCACAGAGAAGATCAGAGACTCATCGTAAGAATACTCAAATGAGCCATCGATTAACTTGCGGGTTGGGTAACGCCAGAAGACAAAGTCGTCAACCCATTTGATAATCGCCTGAACACCGTAATGCTTAAAAATCTGAACAATTGCATCCGCCACACGACCAAAAATACCAGGTGCACTGCAGGATCCAAAAGCCGCACAGTGATCAAGAATAACGAGGCCGAGAAAGAAGATGACAAGGTAGGGCTGGTCGTCGGGATGAATAGGAATGTTGCGGTATGCATTCTGCACGTCGTTGACGGATGCCTGAGTTCCTTCAGGTGCATCAGCGATGAGTAAGACACAGGCGACGAATGTTCCCCATTCGCACTGGAACTCATCAGGGTTGATGTCATCATTGACGGAGAATATGGAGGGGTTGTCACGCGGAAAGGAGAAATCCTGAATGATGCGGAAAGTGCCAGGGGTAGTTTTAGGAATAATGCCCATGGGTGAGGTACAAAATGGACCAATGAGTGATTCAAGTCGAGAAGGATGGAATGGTCCTGAGTATCGCCGTGCGGATAGTTCCGTATGAATGTGAAGTTGGAGGGCTTCAGGGTTGTCCAGAGAAGACTTGTGATTAGGCGGGGTATAGGTAGCCGTAATAGGGAGAGAAACACTGATGCGAAAACCATCACGAATACCAATAGAAATATCTGCAAATTCATCAAGGCAGCCAGCCACCTGCAGCTCATCCCTCCAAACATCCCAGCGTAGAGGAGCCACAATTCGGCAAACTGAGTCAGACCGCCCGGCATCGCTGGGCTGCATGGTCCTTGGAACCACACAGGGAGCAGAGGTGCGCAAAGTTACAGGCTTGGGAACGGCAACCCCGGGTGTTGTGACTATAGCAGATGCTGATACCTTGCGGCGTGAGCTTGAGAGACCCCTCAGAGCGAAGGTAGGGTAGCGGCGAGGTAGAGCATTGCGTGCTGACGTGGAAACGTCCGCCACAAAGAAAGCAGCGCGATGCGGGTGCCTCAAGTGCAGGTCGATCCTTGGAAGTGGTGCGGTTATCCTGAAAGGCAGCTGGTGGCACTACAGGAGCAGTCGACCTCGATACCATTGGGGGAGCAGTAGGGGCATTGGCAGGGCCGGATGTGCGCCAAACATAACCCTGTAGATCAAACCGGTCTTGACGATAGAGGAGGTAATCGGACTTGACAGCATCATAGATGCTAGATTGCCAGGTGCCAGGATTGAAACGTTGACGAGCAACAGCCCGACGCCGAATGTCCATATCGTACTGGATGAGCAAACCCGGAAATGTTCGAAAGTCAGGGTGATGAACCACATTGTGATAATGGGCCGCCCATGCAGAGGCCAAAACTTCACGACCCCCCCGGGGAGAGTAGTGCATGCGGATGAGGCGCGGCATACGATCAGCCGCATCGAGGAAGTCTGTCATGACCATCCAATGCTCAGAGTTCTCCAAAGTGGCCAGATCGCGGTTAACGAGAACACCGTTGCGCAACTGGGTAGCCTCAGATCGGCGCGGAGCAAACTGCATACCACGAGAGTACTCCGTGAGGATAAGAGTGAGAGGAAGATACTCTTTCCACCCCTCTTCCATGATGCGAATGGCACCTGGAGGGAAAGGAACATCGCTCGCTGCTAACTGGGAAGAACCATCACCAAAGTCATGTGCCGCAATGGCAAGACTGATGCCTGATGAAGGACCGGCCACTGGACCTGAGAAACGATAGGGAATGAGTAAGGGTATCATGGCATGGTAGTGGTAATGATGAGGGAGTCCAGTAATGATAACGGTAATGGTGAGGGTAAGGGGAAAGGTCCATGGTAATGGTATGGGAATGACACATGGTAAACGGCGAAGCGGCTAGAAGACTCGGTAAAGGTAGAAGTGAAAATAAACATACCGGTTGGAGCAAAGGAATAATGTGGTGTAGGCTGCACCTGAGCGGCCGGTAAGGGGTACATGTTAACCAGTTGGGCATGGCATGCAAGGAAGCTGGCCCGGGATGACGGAGACAGTCTCGCCACCCGATCGCAAACCTCAAAGGGAAAATCCCAAGAGGCCTCATCAGGATGCGTGCTGGCGGGGAGCGGCATGTGAAATCCTGGTGGGCGAGGAACGTAAGGGAGAGCCTCAGGTAGGCGAGGTTGCAACATGGGAAAAGGCGACAACACGCCAGCGTCGTGATCAGCAACGGGACGTTTGTGAGAACGCCCATGCGAGGGAGAGGGTTCACTGCACTCAGAGAAACGGCGGATGTGCGCTGGACGTACAGGAGAGACCACAATATGAGGTACAGGTGGTAAAGGCGTCTGGGGAGGAGCGTTGGAGGAAGACTGCCTAGCGGGAGAATTGCTCGGGATTGGGAGCCTCCCAGATCCAGACACTGGAGGGGGAACCTCAGGTGGTCCCGTGCGCGACCCTTGTCCCAGTACCGGTGAACGTTCGACCGGCGGGCTGGCGGGCGTGCGGGGAACTGGCGTGAGCGGGGACTCGCCTTGGATAGGGGCTACAGTCCGCTGCTTGGTCTGACAGGTCATCATGGACAACACAAGGTAGTGAAAGGAATGCGAGAGATGAACGAGTGACAGAAACGGTTCGAAAACGCGAGAATAGCGCGAGGAGAGTGTTTTTCGATATAGAGGATGGAGGGGGGAAAGAAAGGACGACGAGAGCCAGGATGTATGCACCCGCCCAACTAAGGAAACCGGCGTAATCCGGTGAACTCCGCTTGCACGAGTCGTAGGACTCGAGTTCTCGAGTCCTCTCATCTTTGTCTATCGTAGTGCTAAGCCGAGTGTAAGAGTACAATAGATAGTCGAAAGAAAAAGTGAACCACACAAAGCGAATGCGACTTACGGATCGGTGTGAAGCTGGAATATAAGTTGTGAGCCTGTCTATCGGGGTCCCTGTGTGATTGATCAGGGTCACGAGTAAAGAAGCCGCAACTAAGTTTGATAATGGAACACTCTGAAGTCGGGCAATAAATACCACCTATACCCTCCTTTCTCTTTCGGACGAATAGCATAGATGCAGAAATAGGTGGCACTACGAATGAAAGAAGCCGAAGCTTCAACACATCCAAAAATCTCGTCGGCACGGCAGATACAGAGAAATAACTCGCAAAAAAAGCAGGGAAAATATAAAACGATACCTCAGTTTAACATTAGGAGGGTTACACTGCAGAATAGTCTACGTTAAGTGCTAAGTACGAAGCGGAGTTTCTTTTGACTGGGAGTCCCCAACAAAGTCGCAGATGAACTTGACATATAGAGCCCCAGTAGTATATCGTGGCGAGGCGACATCCTACTCTCATTGCAAAAGGATGATGTGGACCCCATCTGTAATAACATTAGTAGATGGACAAGAACAGGTGGAGACTATTTGCCGTCATAGACATAAGAGGGAAGAATTCAAACGCAGTTAAGGCTCCCTTCTCTCATCAGCGGTTAGGCAAAGATAAACCGGATGTACACGCACAGTGACCGGTAAATAACGTCGGTAATCGAAGTGAGTGACTTCATATGCGGATCCTATGAGGCAATTCGAAGTTACCGCAACTCTCGTCCAGCCAATGGATCCTGTCAGCTAGCATCGCGCCCGCCAGAAAGAGCGTCAGATCCTGGTAGAAAATGTTAAGAACAGAACTAAGGTGGCTTAAATATTTCTGCTCGCACCTAAGGCTAAACATCTGTGCACAACAGTCAACGTGACGGACCTACTTACCATAAAAGTCAAACAAACGAGTCGGAGCAACGACTCAGAATGGGTAAGCGCTTACATGTGTGGTGAGGGGCTTAGCGCTTGTATGGGTATAAACGCTCAGTCGGAGACTCGGACACCGTCCGATGAACTCCCTGAAGTTGATACTTTTACAGTAAGGTGAGCGGTGGTAAGGGCCCATCTCTTTCGGGTATTGAATATTGACCTCCCAGGATCTCTGTATCAATATCAAGTTCTGCATTAGATATAAGCGCACATTGATCTTGTAAGAGGCAACACAGATACAAAAGTTGATTCGAACCTCATCAACATCAACAGCCCAGTCAGTACCTCTCCGGCCTCAAGGTATGTCAATCAGTAGACTCTCGTTCGTGATTCTGATTTAATGTAAAGCTTAGCTTAATCCGACAGAAATGGCCTCCTCGTGTTTCAAGCTTCTCCCACAGGAGATACTCGACAGTATAATTGATTGCCTCTACGATGACAAGCCAAGTTTGTCGCAATGTACTTTGGTATCACAGCGGTTTATCGACAGAAGCAGGCATCATCTGTTTTTCAAGGTCACACTCGTGAATGAGGGGGATAGCACTTCGGAATGCACCTTCGACACCATTGCGTTCCTCTCATTTCTTGCTGAGATCCCTTCCATTCGTCATTATATCCAACGTATCACCATTCATAACAGTAATTTGGATCCCGATGCTCCTCCAGGGAAGCCTATCCAAGTCTCCCACCTGATTTCCATCCTGGAGCTGTTGCCACAATTGATCAGGCTTTCCTTATGTGATGTTCGGTTGGCCTCAGACGAATCAGCTGTTCAACGACTTCCTTCCCTGGCGGCGCGTTTCAAGTTAAAGCGGCTCTCTTTGACTGGTGTCGACGATGAATCAGATAACTCACGAGATTCGCTGCCAATGGTCGACCTGCTGAGTCTTTTCTCGCATATCGATATGCTCTACGTCAGCGGATTTTACAGTGACTGGGCGAATCATGTGAAGTTTGCTTCACTGTCTCATTTGGCTCAGAAAGTATCAGTCTCGTCTGTTGCTATGATCGCTCTACGAGACTTCACGGAGCTCGAGGAACTACTTGAAGCGACTGTGGATACATCCCACGTCTCACGTCTTACAGTCACAAATTCCGCTCCATACAACACTCCACGTATCAATTCGATATTGAAATTATTCAGCGAGGAAGCCCTTCGCGAATTTGAGTTTGATCTCAGAAACTTTATTTGGCGGAGACGTAAGCACTATTTTGCGCAGCTCATTCCGTATTTATTCTAACATTTCCTCCACTATTTTGTCACGCTTAGGGCCCTGGGATGTATTAGAGCTGTCGAGGTTCATCTTCACCCGCTCTGTGAACGTTCACGTGACCATCAGTCGCTTCCCCTCCTCCAATCGGTCTACCTGGGAATACGTGACTTCCCTGATGTCTGCATTTCCGACTTCCTTCCTCGAAGACATATCTGTCCATCTCCATGTTGATCTCTCTTCCGAACACCGCATTCCGGATTATGGTGTCGTTGAGGGGGAAATCTCAGTTCCGGACACTCTGAAGTTTCTGGATTGGTCGACGTTCGCTACAATATTGGGAACTATGCCCAAACTGCGGAAGGTCATATTCCATATGCATTTTCACGGGTTTCCTGTTCCTTCAAACTATACGGCAGTGAAGGTATTTGAAGCGAGCCGGGTTATTATCGAGGACAGGCTAGCCATATATCACAAATGTGGAGTGCTACGTGTCAAAAGGGAACTCGGAATTTGGACCACTTTCGACGCTTAAAGAGAGGATGTCTTCGAAATGCTAGCACAGTCGGGACGGGACTATTGCATGCTGCACTGGATGTACATACCGAATTTCTGATACCAGTAGGCCTAAACCAGACCGTAGGAACTCTCGGAAACCAGTTTTTAGCATAAATGTTGCGATTATGCCTTAATATCCCCAACGAGCGAAAGATGGAGGAATATATAAAGATAGTCTATACACATTTATGGACAGACAAAAATCCCGTGACAAGAATGTAAAATCATTTGAACGGCTTGAACACCAACATAGCAGACCGCACGCTCTCAATCTGCATACCTGTTCGCATCAGCCGCCACCCCTTCGACTCGTAACAACCCGCGATCGTGATACTTTGACAATACATCCTCGAGGGTAGCTCGGCAATCCTCCATTACCTCCATCATAAGGGCATCAGTGGAGGCATAGCATCCGTCTACATGCAGAACGAAACCGAGCTCTCTGAGGTTCGGCATCTGATCCAGACTCTCTCGGAACATTTGCCAATCCATCATCACTAGGGAGTCTCGAGTTGACGTTATACACTGGTCCGACCCAAAGTCTGAGTGTGATTGGTCATTATCGTCATCGTTATCGCCGTCGTTGTTGTCATTATCGTCGTCGTCATTGTTATTGTTGTCATTGTTGTCGTCGTCATTGTTGTCATCGTTGTCGTTGCCATTGTCGTTGTCGTTGTCGTTGTTGTCGCCGTCGTCGCCGCCGTCGTCGTCATCATCATCATCATCATCATCATCATCATCGTCGTCGTCGTCTTCGCTGTTGTTATCGTCGTCGTTGTCATGATCGTTATCGTCGTCGTCATCATCGTCCACATCTAGCTGCAGCCTTCTGTCCAGATTGTGCACCAAGGTAATGTGATCGTCAACATCATTATCCCGCAAGGGTGGAGTGTAAACAACATCAAAGTGCATGCTTAGGCTTGATATAGTTTGAAGCGAAGCAGTGGAGAGCAGATAGCAGGCGGATTGGAACGATGAAGGGCCCCAATATTGATAAATAATGGTACGGAAGCTCAAGGACTGGACCGAGGGTAGCCACGACAAGCTCAGATAGTCCCAAAAGTCTATGTCATCGTCTAAAGATAACGCTGTCAGAGTGAGAGTAGTGAGAGTAGTGAGAGGATAACTTAAGCATACCGAATGAACCGTCCAAATTTACCTCGACCTCAGAAGCCTTCCGTGCATCAAGGGCCTCAAGAAAAGCATCAAATGACAACCAAGAGTCAATGTCTGGAAGCGTGAACACCACTCGCGATATCTCATCCGAGGCAATGGTGCCTTTTAGCAGCGGTTCCAGAAACGGCAAATCTCCTCTACGCCGTCCGATGACAATAGATGATACCGGGACCTTTCGCGGACAGCCAGCCGGATCACGTCGTACATAGTGACAGATCCAATCCTCAATACGGAGGGTACCAATGGAACCAAGAAATTCGATCAAATCGACAAAAGGGCACGAGAGATCGCCGTCCTTCGAGACAAAATCAACGGTTTTCAGTGATAACTGGCGCAAATGAGACACAGGGCATATGGCCATTGAGGATATATCTTCGTCTCTGTCTTCTGATCGCGATACAATTGTCACGTTGCGTAACAATAGATGTTTGAGTTCAGTTAAGAGGCTTCGAAGCTGGAAAAGCTGCGTGATTGGAAGTCGTGGCTGTTGTTCCGAGTCGTCATCAGGGTCCTCCCGAATAGTGAGATCCTGAAAATAGTTTCGAATGTCAGGGGAAGTGTTGAGGAAGTCAAGGACCAGTATCATGTCATGATTATCCCAGGTCAGACCATCAGGGCCCTCCACAGCATGCAAGGTAATAGTAATGGCGCGAAACAAATGGCGGCGACTTCTGTTGACCCATCGATGAGAGACGAGGGCGCACTGGGACAGGGAGCGCTTGTCGTTCTTGAGGTGATCGATTACAGCGTCCAGTAGTTCTTGTGGAAAGAAAAACGAGGTGGTGTAACGGTACATCTCGTCCATTCACACTTCGACCTGAAAAGAAACATCATATAGCGTGAAAACAAGGGCCTAGTGAAGAAGGCTTACCTGCCACCTAGAAGTGAAGATGGCGGTTCCGATACAAGTTGGACCATGAGGCATACAAAAAGCTCGGCACGCCACATGTCTTTGCGCGCTTCGTAAGAGTCACGGACGGAGAAAAATTCCATTTCGAAATGCCGCAATCTGAGACCCTTATAAGTAAGTCTGGCTGAAAATGTGTTACTTTGCAGAAGAAAGAGAACCTGCAAGACCGTTCGAAGAAGCTTACTTGACGGATAGCGAGACAGAATCTCTTCCATCTACTTCCATGACGAACCCAATTTTTTTTCCCTGCATCTACGTTGGTCGTCATTAATATATGCAAATATCGACACAAAGAGTAAACAGTCCTAATAACGTACCACTTATTTATGCCTTCTTTGCCTTCATAAATGTTATCGGGGAATTTCAACATCCTCCACGTAGTCCTTTCGTCAAAATGAAGACGAAGACGACGAAAGCTATCACCACAAATGTCCGGTGCAGATCTTGGAAGACGACCACAGAAAAGCAAGGGAAGGGCGGAGTACCAAGGAATAAGAGAAGAATTCACGAGGTCAAAGTGGTCTAGCGTAACATCAAAACAGTTATACGAACGGCGGAACACTGAAAAGTGCTAACTGTCAAAATTGACTAGCTTGACGGTAGGACGTCGCAACCTAGGTGCTTTAGTGGTCGTTCCCGATATCTAACCTCCTCGTGTGTAATTGAACACAGCTTTGATGGTTCCTCGAAGTTAGAGAGTCGATCAAGTGAAAACCATTCCGATGGTGGGCACGATCAACAGCTTGAATGAGTCCCAACTTTACTTAAGACCGGTATCGTTGAAGAGAGCCGCGGCTGAAATTGAACTCAGCCTCTATTGAGAGAGAGAGAGAACGCAGGGGTTTGTATTGGGGGGAACAGATATCGATATGTGAGGGAGTGGCGCCCGGGAAGAATAATCGGGTGGGATTCATGGGATTGTATCGTACATCGAGTTTCGTGGCTGCAAGGATGTACGATTACAACCTGAAAAGCGGTCATCTGCCATCCCATATGTGAGAAATATTCAGCGTGTAGACAAAACGGCATACATACCAAAGCTTTGTATTTAATCGGTTTGAGAGCGGTACCTCTGAATGAAAACAATTGAACAACTTTCCTGTACCGCCAAAGAAATATCCGACTCCATCGAGGCCTCACACTTCTCACTACATTTCAGAGTCGAACATGATGTTGTCGCAGAGTCATCGGCTACTTAAACAAGACGCGTCTCATGGAAAGAGACAGAGAATCCACCAGGAAGAATTAGAGATGCCGCCTTCGATGAGAACAGCTCCTGAAAGAAAGTCAAGGCATTAGAGAAGATGGGGGCAGAATCCATTGGGTTAGGCTGGCAACGGTCTTCAAAGTGGAAGCAACCTTGTTTTGCTTGACGACACAAAGACGGAGGTCATAATCTCGCGAACCATTGAGATGTATGCATATGAGCCAGAGACCAAACATATCATAAAGGTTAGGATCATAGTAGCTTGAGAGAAAGTTTTCGAAAATGAAGCCAATGATTGGTGTGGCTCACTTCCAAGCTGCAAGTTGCCGTCGCACGCAGGTCGCGGGCGGGCGGGCGTTTCTGACTTTGCTCTTTTCCATAGCCCAGTGGATCCATTTTCCTGAATTCGGTGCACTAGTAGTGGTCCATGCCAAGTCTCAACACGCCTAGGGCAGGGCCTATATCGCTTGATGCTATGTGAAAGCTTAACGGCAAGACACTGTATGATGTTTTGTCAACGAAAACGCGATCCAGCGATTCTAGATACGTAGGACATATGACGGGCGGATACAGCGTACGAACCCAGGAACTGTACTAAATTCGATCACTGAAAGCATCTACGGGATCGAGTTTAGTACGGGATCGAGTTTAGTACAGTTCCTTCAGAGACGACACAGATCAATGTTGACCTGTGCCGTCTGGCGTGTCACCAAGAATGGACGTCGACTACGGAATTCTCGTGCATGGAAGACTTGAAGTCGCAGTCTCCCATGCACGAAAATACCGTGTGGGAACCGGTACACATTGTGGACCCGATGCTTTCCACAGGTGCGACATCGCTTGGTTGATTCACCGAGAGGCATATCATGAACAAGCCGCATTCATCATTGGATATGTAGATGTCGATGGTATGGAGATTCTGAATTGCAAAGATAGGTCTCATCCTACCGTCTGAATTCAGAATTCTTATACCACCAACTCTTGGTTAGCAACCATAGCCGCCAGTGTTTTTTTTATTTTAGCCCCGTTTGGCCGACTGCCATTGTACAATGCAAGAATATTCTACATGGACAAGTGGGCCTCTGTGTATTCTATTAGCAATGTCACGATGCTCCCCCAAGTGATGCCTCTTCTTCATACATCTGCTGCTCAGAGCGGATTTCTAAACGTCTGGTCTCGTTCACTCTGGCTGGCTTTAAGGAAGCAGCTGAGGAATTGAAGAGCTCCGCTCATCTCCCGAGCGCTTGGCATCACTCGATTACCCTCTGGTACCAACCTTAGAAACCCCTTTTAATCCGAGATATTAAGTTGCCGTAGGTGGACATTTCAACGCCCTTTCAGGTTATCACGGCCTTCGTCTGCCATCGAAGGGACGCTAGATGGCTCAGATGCCTATCCACACGCTTGTACTTAGAGATTGCATCGCAGCGTCGAAGGACGAAACAAGTTCCTTTCAATGAACTTTGTAAGGTATGTTAGGACCTTGTAATACTTTGCTTCGATACTGAGCGGCTTCATGTACCTCAATGTGTGAAATCGCGAGACGATCGTCAGGTTGTTCGCTCCTGTTGGCTGCATGATCCCAACGAGTGTTCGATCTGATCTGCGACGGACCTGCCTAGTGTCGCGGAAGCAAGACAATGAAGTATTGGAACCGAAGTGTTTGAACAATAACTGGCGGCATGCGACCGCTTTTATTCTCACATTTTATTCCATGTCGTAAGACAGATCCCATGCTTGAACGATATGGTAGGCACTAATATACATCTAAATCTGTCGCAACATCAATCAACGTACTCCTAGTCTTTGGAGGACCGTCACGTAAATACTAGTGGAGAGTTTCTACGGGCATCTTTCATCTACAAATGCTTATTATGTGCTTCTATTCAGAAGCCATTGGAGGCCGGCATTGAAGTCTTGGTTCACTTTAGCAGATAGAGAGGTTGTAGGGAAAATTATGTGTCCTCCATGCGGCAATCCGGGATACCTACAGATGGAGTCAGTATCGATACGGACTGTGCAGGTGCATGCCTGAACTCACACATCGAGCTTCGTCTTGACCCCTGATTCCCTCAAGACCTTTTCATAAAGTATTCCCTCGTCGCGGAGTGGATCCAATCCTGAGACTTGAATATACGCTGGTGGAAGGCCCGAATGACTAGGCGCCAGCAGGACAGAGTATCGAGGATCTAAAGGATCTGCCTGGTAGAGCTCTACAGTTTGTGTTAGGAACATTGCTTCTGCTTATTCGAACGCAGAGTATGTACCAGAAAAGCGTTCAGCGTCTTTTTTCGAAAGATATGGGCCGTCCGTCACTTCGTCCATAGACAAAAGCTCAGTTTTGTACCTGTCCATCGGCGCATATTAGCAGGAGCAGTTTCGACGGAATGGGCGACGTACTTCTCAGGCTGAGCTCTTATATGAATTACCTGAGGGATTTGCAGCAGTTGTCCTGTCAACTGTCGCCCGGCGAAGAATGGATCGTCGCGAGCTTGGAGTGCAACCGAAGCGGAGAAATTTCCTCCCGCGGATTGCCCGGCCACAATAAACCCTCGCGAGAGTGATGCTGACAACTGCGTCGCGTTCTCTGCGGCCTAGTAGGGTTAGGTCTGACCGTAATGGCGCGCATATGTGGTGACAAACCCATTTCAACGCAGCGTATGCGTCATTCACGCCAGTAGGGAATGGGAAGAGTGGAGCCAGTCTAGTAAGTAACTATTACATCTGAATAATTTGCATTATTCAGTAGACCATACCTGTAGTCGACGTTCACTACTACAACCCTGTTCTTCACCGCAACCGTTCTCAAGTAAAAATCATCCATGTCGCTTGAACCAAGACAATATCCTGAGGAGAGATAGAATTAGAGATCGACGTCACTGCTGGCCATGTTTATGAGACAGCAGTGTACCTCCACCATGATACCAAACAAGGAGCGGAAACGGCCCTGTTTCTTGAGGGCCAGATGAAATCGGCATGACACAGCGTACTTTAATTTCGCCACTGTCCACAGGTACAAGATGATCCTGAACTTGATATTCGGAGTCTACGAGGAACGGTCAGTGTGAACGTAAGCGTAGATTGGAGGTAGTACCGGAAGGCAGCTCCGGTTTCATTCGTTCTTGGAACTGTAGAAACCTGGCATGCAGGGCAGCCCTCTGCTCTTCGATAGTAAGATTCTGAGGCCTGTTTGGCATCTGGGCAATAAGAGGAGCGATTTCGGGATCCAGTGTCAAGAAGTGAGCGTTGGACGACATTGTTGGGATACTGGCTGAATGAACTGGAAATGGGAATTTGTGAGTGAATGATGAAATTATACCGGGAAGATTGAAGTCAATATATAGGTATTCGCCCAGAGACACGACTTTGTCTCACCGAGTAATCTTCGACTTGCTTAGAAAGCTCGATTTCCCATGAAGCCGTTTGCTTTCTCAGCATTCTTCATATCCACGATTCTCGTCCCTTGCCATCCTTCTCAGGCTCAGGGAATTCCCCGAGCCGGGAACTAGCGTTGCCGCAAAGGCGAGATGGGGGATACGGCTCGCCACGTGGTGATGACCAGAAACCTATCGGAAGATGAATATCAATGAATCTGCCTGTGTACAATATACATGGACTTTACCTAATGTAAGGTTGAGATGTACGTAATGTAAAATGTATTGATTTCAGGACACTACTGAGGAGCTCTCGAAACTCAGTGAGATTGTCCTGTGCCAGAAGAGACTTGCAGCGGTCGGCGGTATCACTATCCTCTTCATCAGAAAGAGAAGCAAGCTCGCTGTCGAGCCAAGTCTTCGTGAAGTGGACTGATGCCTGGACTGGAAGAACATCTAGCGCGACACAAAAAAGAATTGGATAATCAAATTCATGTTCTGAACATGTATGTAGGATAGGATGCACGTCAAAGCGAGAAATCAGCCATACTTACCTACCAAGGTGCAAATAAATTGATTGCAACGCGTTCAAGTGCTCCATCTGATTCTATTATTCAATGTGTCGGCCAGATGCCTCTGAAGTCCCTTCTGAGCAATCGCCTTGTTTTCCTCCAGCTCTCTCCCCTCACATTCTTCCGCATCAATCGATGGATCCATTGCGAGGGCTCATGCAAAAACTTGACGTGTTGACTGGAATCGGCGAAGTGAGATGTTACGGCCTTACCATCGAATGAGCCTTTCATCCCACGAACGAGGAGGAATTGGACCGCGTTCGAAGAGGCGCTATTGCACCTTCGATACCTGAGGGAGATTTCGTACGGCAGACTGATTGATGCTCATTAATTCCCATGTTATCAAGTAACATTCTTGCCTGGGGGAATCCATGACATTGTTAGAATGCATGCGCTCAAGTTAGTGAGTATCTTCTACATCAGTAAGAACGAATGTCGTCACCTTAAATCTATTTTTGATGCATCTTTCAGGCTCAAAAGCCTGTCCGACATTCATACTTGAAGGATTGCGCTGGTGCACTTAACTATAGCCATACTACGAGTAACGACGACAAGGATGTTCGAATATCAGTGAGGCCAATAGGATCGATCTCGATGAGATCTCACAAGATCTGCTTTTATCTTATCTTGAGCAATGTTTGAGCGCTTATTAACATTGCTTCAATTGCCAGTGTTTCCGCTTTCAGCTGGACTGTGTGTTGCTTTCTACATATTGCTATCTACTTTTGCTTTCTTGCTTTCGCATCTGCTCTATCTTATTCTATCTATATTGTATGTTTGGATTATCACAGTGCTATGGAGAAAATATCAACTACGGAAACCTCAGAATGCGGAAATGAGGCGCATAAGGATCTCCTAAAGAAGGTCTGTGTATATATACACTTTATGCAACTTCGGCAGCTAGAACCTTCATTTCAAGATATCTACACTCGAGTTTCAAAACGAGGCGCGCGCCATCCGAACTTCACTACTGAATGCCAAGTTACAGGAGACCCTGGATACATTGGATGCCCTCACTACCACTCATGCTCAGGAGCTCTCTCTGGAAGAACGGACGAATGAGCGGCTGCAGTTTAAATTACGCACTGCTAGGAACTACGCCAAAGGCTTGGAAAAGGAGAGAGATGAGTTACGCGATGTCGTGCAACAGTTGGTTGACAAAGGTGGGTCTATGATTCACGCTTGTGGACGTCGGCGAAGGAAGCGTAGACAGATACACACTCATATCTACTTCCGCTCTATTTGTCGTAGTGGAGAAATGCGATGACTTTGGCTTGTGGCCTCACAATCAGATGCATATATCCGAGCACCTCGGTTAGTCGTCGATCCTCGCCAATCCAGACATCCCGAATAACGCGCAACGTATAGAACCACTTCCTCCCTGTCAGGGGGATATGCCGAAAGATAGTAAGGATGACTTGAAATATGCCACTATGGTGATTTCGTCGCTTAAGGCAGACCTTCAGAATGAAAGGCAGCACGTGAAGGTTGCTGAACGCGAGATTGCAGACCTGCAAGCAAAGCTAGCCCGCCGAGAGGCCGAGCTAGAGATTTGCGTGGTCCATACAGGGCACTTTGTACCATTCGATGAGCGGGAGGTATCTGCCTCAGAAAAGGAAGAGAAGCACGGACAAACGAGGTCGCACTCTCGCACAACTAAGAGAAGAAAGATCCCCGCATCCTCTCTTTCAAAAGAGGATATTGAAAAGCTCTTCGGATTCGCAATTGCAAGAAATCAGTCGTTGGAGCTAGAAGTAAAAGCTGCGAAAGACAGGGTGAGTAGAGACTCCTCTACAGTAGATGTGATGATGTTTTGTTATTCATATGGTCGTTATTCATATGGACGTGTAGCTTGAGGGGATGAATGCAGAGAAGACACCTTACAGGCCTGATCGAAACAGAGAGGTAGAAAGTCCGCGACGACCGCTGAAGCCCAACTTGTCGGCCTACGCCACACCTTCAGCTCGACCAACTCCGAAGTCGCCGAACCTTGCGCCTCTCATTTCAGAACAATCGCCTTCGCCGTATGTCCTATCACCTCCACGCCGGACATCTCCAACCCCTCCGACGATGACAACAAGCCAAGCTGAGATACGAATCATGTCGGTCCAGCGACAGATGGAGGAACAGTTGCAACGGCTAGCTGCCGCTATTGACGATCTCGCTACTGAGAGACGCCACTTCAGAGAACTTTTTGATAAAGTGAGTGGGTATGCGAGTAGATTTGATTGTCAATTGAAAGCAGTTGATAGCGTGCGAGAGAAGAAGCCGAAGATACAGATGAGCCCACCGCCGTCGAACACACAAACCTTGCGAGGTGAGCCACTAAAGACGGTCCGCTGATTCAATTGCCTAACGCGTGTGTGTAGAATCCACGGTTCAGCAAGGGCGGTCCCCCAGAACGCATCCACCGGTCAATCAGCTGTACCCGTAGTGTTTAAATCAAATCCACCGCTCGAAGCTTCGTGTTATATCATTGCGGGGACCAAAGTCGAACAAGGACGTACAGAACAAGCAACAGTTCCAAGCATCATTGATCTGCTTGATGGTGATGTCCCGCCACGAGTACCACCACCTCTCGAACCTACTTCCAGTGCGCTAATGGCTGGCACTGTTGTTGATCATGATGATGATGATACAGAGAAGTCGATGGAACTGGCCACTCCCCTCCAGCCAACTTTGATACTGGGTGACGCATCTTGGCATTCGCGGCAAGGCGAGACAGTGGGGGATCAGGTAGATCCTGCGATGGTTCCTCTACCTATGTCTCCACCTGAGGTCGAGGTCAACCTTCTGGCTGTTGATGTGGACGCACGGCCGCCTGAAGACAATATTGTTATTGCGGACCCTGCCGATGAAGAGGGTGCGGAGCGCTCGACCAGCGAGCATCTCGAACAGAGAATAGAGCAACTTGAGGATGAATTACGATTAGCGAGGGAAGAGCTGTCGGAGACTAACGAGGCGCTACAGCAGTTGCGGCACCTCGTCGACATGCTTCAGCTCGAAATGGAGGGTGGCGATCTTCTGTCCGCGGATGTCGCTTCGGGCTAAGCTCGCTCAATTCGTTCACGAGTCTCCTTTTCCGGAGTGCAGTGCAAGACCCTTCGAGGGCGAGAAGAATGACGGGTATCGAGGATGTCGAGAACCGATAAGTTGCGAGATAATATTTGTGGCGTACGGTGTGTGCCGTGCGGCAGCAGTGTTGGGAATCCCGACAAATATTGGTCCTTCAACAAATCCTCGAACCTCGAAGGGGTACTCAGCACCGAGGACACCGGCTTTAGTGACGTGCTGGTTTATGTGCCCTGTATAGTATGGTAAATCTTCTTGGATGGTGTATTAGGGATTCTAGCTTAGAAGCATGGGAAGACAGGCGTGATTGAATTCGCTACCCCCGAAATATTCAGCCAAAAAGAACTTACGTGTATAGCTAGGAAAAGGCTTCTGATGACAGTTCTGAAGAAACTCGCATGTGTGATTATCAACTATTCGTACACGGTCACGGTCGTGAACACATCCCATCGAACCATCTATCAACAACGACCAATCAACATCCTCATCAATCGGAATGTATAGGGAGAAGACCATAGCACGAAAGGGATTGGAACTAACCTGATCTGAATAGAATATTCCAATCAAGCCGTTTCATTACTATTCTCCTTACCCGCGCCGCTGGGTTGCCCCGTGTCCTTGGGATTCTGCTTCTTTCGGCTTCTTGATTTAACGGAGGTTTTGTTCGCCTGAGGATCCTGCGTATAGAGAGCGCTTTCACCATCCAAACGCGCCCAGGGGCGGTCCGGACTGTATCCCTTTGAGAAAATCGGTACCTCAGGCGGCGGAGGCGGGACCCTTAGTACTGGCTGCTCCGCCGGCTCCTCTACTCCTACATTCTTCGCCACAGATATGTTCGACTGAGGTCGAGTTCTGTAAGACGAGACTACGACTCTCTTTGTCTTGGTATTCAGAGAGAGTACTTTGTGTGGTTGATTCACGGGATGGCTCTGCAACGAACCACCCAAGAGCTGGTCTGAGGGACGCGGCGGAGCTCCAGACAGCGTAGGGAAAGCGCCTGCAGTTTGACGAGCTTCTTCTGCAGCGCGTTGCCTCTCTTGTTCCTCCTGAGATAATGTTTCGCTTATCTCATTTTCGACACGAGATATCAAGGTTTCTCGGGAGTCAGAAGTGAGTAGAGACGTTTCACAATGGGGGCAGGCGTAGAAAGGCGTATTGATCAAACAGAGGATCAACCCGCATTGACGACAGATAGGTGTATACGGAGACAAGGAGTGGATGCGAGCTAGAAATCCGAATAATTGGTAAGTAAATACATTCTGTGGCGCGCTGACGTTCCATACCTTGACAGAAACATCCGCCTTTAGGGTCCTTTCCACGAAGGTTCCTGAGCCCATCCCGGAGTTCCTCAAGCCTTCGCACCTCCTTGCTTTTCGGAGCTTCCTTCTGCTTTGATTTCGACCCTTTCGGAGCTGGGGAAGTTCTGCTAGACGTTGGAATGCGATCCGATGGCACAGAGGATGCCTTCGAGGCCCATGGAGTAGTATGATGCATCGCTACAATGAATACTTGGAAGTGTGAGTCAACGTTCAATTTTTGATGAGGCCCCGAGAGATTCACGAAACGTAGCGAACAACAGAACTGCAGTGCAGCGATCAATCATTGCATGCTCGCCTCGACTCCCGCTAGATCGACACGTGGGCGCCATGTGGCTTCGCTCTTATTCTGCTTTTAGCAGTCATCCAAGTAATGCGCATAAGCGAACAACATTGTCCATTATGGTCGGAGGCCGAACATATCGACCCTCTGTTTTTGTATGCATTTGTATTACTGCACGGAAACATGATTACGGCGGAAATAAATGCATGACATGATGGTCGGAGCGAATTTCATACAAGTTTCTCCGCGACGGTCGCTGCCACCCACCACTGAAATGGAAGCCCAACGTCATTGCAACATCCAGAAAAAATCGTCCAGTTCAATTCTGCAACACATGCGCTCATTAGCGTCATAAAGAGCAACGGTTATGTGTGACCTTCAAAGCATAATTCGTTAGCAGTCCAATGTTGCGTCCCCGTGAGCGGCACGGTTGTATCATGCATTGCAAGCCTCCAGAACGAAACGCTAGCCCTGTGAGAAAGGGTTCAAGGGTTCGCGAAGACGTCCGGTGGAATGTCAATTGATAGGTAGCTGCACCAAGTACCGATACTATTCTGAGAGAATGAAATCAGTTAAATCCGACGGTGGTACGACCACCTGTTCAGATGAGTGTAAACGCACCATAACATAACGTTCGTTGTCAAATGCATGTTTCCCAGTCGAACTGGTCCATCATATTTATGGTTGCAAATAGAAAGGATGTCTGGAATGTTTTCAGATGGAAAGCGTCATTTTTAGCCACTATGAGATGAATCGGATGTTGAGTGGTCACCGGATGAGTTTAATCGACAGGTCCCTAGATAATTACTGAACTTTGGAGAATCCGCACTCGTCGTAAAATGCAACTGGGATTGTAGAAACCCCATTTAGACCATTCTGAAAGAAATTTTTTTAAAGCTTGGAATAGTGGCGTTCCCAAGTGATCGCATTGCGGGCGAATAAGAAGTACCGCCGGGACTGCTGGAATGCCAACGATTCACTAATGCCGTAAACAGTGAAGCCAAATGGGTATCATAGTGGCTCTCATTGCGAAGGAGTCGGGATGAGACGATTCCAACGGTCTGGACTCTCACAATCAAGATGATGAACAGTTGAACACTCTTGGAAGCAGCGTGATGTCAACGTGAAAAATATAACGGCATTGTAGAACAAGACTGGAACTTGAAGCGCTTCATAATGAAAACACCGGATTCCATTCGTTCCATTCGTCCTCCCGCGAACGTAGGGAGAATATGATCGCAGTGGAGAGCGGCTGGAGTTTTGCGGAAGACGGTCCATTCACCTAACGCTCGGAAGATGACTACTTACAACGAGCACCTCGGACGAGGAACCCTGCAATCAAACCCTGTGATCATCAGTCTGAACCCAAAAAGTAGGATGGTATGGAATATACGCGATTAACACATCCTTCGAACCATTGAAAATATCGCAATCATTTCCCACTCGTCCATCATTCCAGCGGGAGCACACGGACGGTACATGATAGCGCAGCTGTAGTTTGTCCATAGGACAGAAGCCTAACCTTACCGGCTCTCGTTATTGCTATTGTTGCCATCGACGTATCGGTGCATAGCGTCGCGGTGAACAGATTATCAAGAGGGTCAGATGGGGATTATGATAGCAAACTGCATAACCCTGAAAGGAGTCCTGCGGACTGACGCCTCATCAAGGCAGTTCTCAAGGCAGACTGCATGGAAGACTCACGCTGTATGACTATCACCGATCTTCTCGTACAGGGTATCCACATGGTACACATTGTGTCCGCGGAAATTGGCAACATCCGCTAGAAGTCCATGCACGGAATGGCGCTTGCTGTGTGGATAGAGGAATCCATCGCAGTCATCCATGGAGGTAGACTGGTTGCCAGATAACGATTCGTGTTCTCGGCTGGAAAGAACCGTCATAGTGCATCAGGGGGTCGAGAACTTCTTGTACGTGTGATGCTACCTGTGCAAGCATCAGATCAGTCAGCCACAATGCTTGAAGGGAACTCCATCTGTCTGAAGCAAGTACGGGCCGAGATAGTGGAACACATGCAACCTAGCTTGTATGGGGTTAGGTGCAGAGAGAAGGAAATCGATTGTGTGAAGTAGACAGGTATTCACGGGCATCATAGGCGCAGCCTCTTTGTCTAAAATCATGATGCGTCTTGTCAAGACTGCATATCGAGTTGACGGTGACACAGACAGCCTAAATGATGAATTCATTAAGATCTGACAAATGTAAAGCAAGTTTAACGCATTTCGCTTTATGCCGCAGCACATGGTCGCAGATACGTACAAACCGATGAGAAAGAGAAGCCGGTACGTACATAAAGTAGTCTGTATACGTCGACGAGGCACAAAGCGTTTGCATCTGGCAGGCGCGGAAGTACGTAGGTGCATGTCTCCATGGAGCCCTACGACAAATAAAGCGACAAAGAGCCGCCACATAGGTGGTGGCAAGAGATAGTCATATAGTGGCGTCAGGACCAATGAGACAGAGATGTCATCTTGCATCAGATATGTCCCAAAGAGACCGCGGGCGCTGGTCAGAAACGATATCATCGCAGACAAAGTGGTTAGAATTCAGTCAAGCAACCATGCGCAGTGTGAAAGAATCTGGAAGAATACAAAAGGTGAACTACCGAATCAGGACCACGGGCGTTGATTCGGATCTGCGTTTCCTGCGATGGGACGATAGAGATATCCGCCGGCGACGATTGAATGAAGCGGTCGGGACAAGAGCGCAGAACGTCTGGACGTATTCAGTCAGTATAATAAGCGATGTTTGAGTTCTTAGGAGCGGTTTGTGACTAATAGCTGGGTAGAGTGGACGACAGAATCTCGCCATCAGTTCGTGCGCGCCCTGCAGGGTTGCTCTGATAAGGTGTGGCGGCGGCAACAACACGGGCGAGAGTGAAACCTTTGGGGGAGGTAGACAGGATAAACAAGGGAGCTGGAAATAATCGCGTTGAAGGAGGTAACGGAACGACCTAAAGCTACGAGGTGCGGTGATGCCGAGAATGCACCGTTCAATGGATTTGATGGGAAAGTTCTAAAGAAACAAGGTACAAGGTTCAGTCTAGGAGATCTGCATACGAGAGATGAAACATATATGACCACACGGATGAATAGGCGATGCTGTAAGCCGGCCAAGCGACGGGTTCTCGAGTGAGAGAAGGAACGAAACGACTTGCTATGTGGAGAACAAGGGCAAGGTCTGGTAGAGGGTAGAGATGCCGAGGGGGTGCCGGACGAGTCCGCGGGCTCTCGCTGTGATGGGAAGGAAGCGGAGTTTGAAGGAGATGATGTGTATAAGCGCGTGAGAGGGAAATGGCGGGATGGGATTTTGGAGACGACGGAATCGAGGACAGTTTGGGAGATCACGGTTGGATCACACTCCTTGGGTGATCAATTACACTTCTGATACATCCAAGCTACCCTTTTGACGCGCTGGACGAGGACCCTTGCGCTTCTTTCGTGTCTTCCTTCTGTTCTCATCAGCACATCCCGCACAGACTCTCCGGGACAGCCTTGAGAATGCTGTAGGTCCCCTGCTTTATATATCCTCATTCCCTTCTCACTTCTCCCCCAGTTCCCGCCCGTCCTCGCCAAAACGCGCAAGTCCTCGACCAGACCCTCCTCCAAAGTCGCCTCCCCCCGTCGCGCCACATTTGCTTGATCCAGAGCTCGACAAACCAAAGCAAGAGTCGATCACTCTCATCGACGCGAGTCCTCCAAAGCCACCTCAATTGCAGGACCCTGTCCCGTTCAGCTATTCGACCTCTGCAAACCCCGTAGAAAACCGTTGGGTACGTCACCAGTCACTGTGCTTGGGCTCATTACTAACGCGTATCGTAGAACCCTCCACCGCCGCCTCCGCTTCATCTTTCGTTTACACCTGCTGTATTTGCCGTACCATACGAGTTAAGCATGCCACACCGAGTTGAGCCTGAGAGACATTCGAGGTTTGATGCTTTCGTCGTTGGCCGTCACTTTGAGCTGATCAAATCACTTCGATCAGCCGCCGCACTGATGATCGGGCATTCGACCACTCGCAGCCATCAACACCACCGATAACCACTATCCATCACTCGCCTGCCGTTTCTGTCACCTCCCTCGCTCACTCTTCCATCTCCTCACCCTCACCTCCTGTAGGTCATCTCGCGTTCGTCTCCCCATATCCGTCGTTCTCATATACGCAACAGCTGCCTCCCCCGTCCGCCCAATACTATCAGCACCCTTCCTATTCCTACACTCCTCCCCCTCCCCCTCCAGGCAGGTATGCCGACGTCCCCCAAGGATACTCTTCTGTCGTATCTGGCGCCCCAGTGACAACGCGCGCTATCAGGCCAGCGTATGTTCCCACCCAATCCTACCCTGGTCAAGCAAACTATGTCATTCACACCGACGATGCTGCAACAAAATTGAGCGATCGTGTTCGCAGAAAGTGCTACAACTGTCGCACCACCGACACATCCACCTGGCGACGGTCCAGCCTCACGCCAGGAAAAGTCGTAAGTTTCCGCTTTCTCTTCGTTCCGGTTTCCTCTCTAACGTTCACCCTCATAGCTCTGCAACAAGTGCGGTCTCTTCGAGCGAACTCACTCCAGGCCACGTCCGGAACAGTTTCCTCACAAGCGTGGACCAATAGTCACGACTTCATTCAAGTCTACTCGCACGCCTCCTCCTGCGCAGGCAAGGCTTCCGCCTATTTCCCAGCCGGTGCCGCCTCACCAGTATGACCATCCTTCCATCGCTCCGTTGATGAACCGGAGCGACTCTCAGCATTCACATAGTCCCAATGGCTCGAATGGCACCTCGCCTGAACTTCGCAATATCCTCAACGGCCCGTCAGGTGCTCCCGACCACCATGCGAATGGCTCCCTCTCAGGTCCAGCTGAGAATGGTCACGCACGCACCCCACCTTCCCGGACGCCTCCTCATCATAGTCCCCGTGTGGAACAGAGGACGCCACCACAAGCGTACGAGCAATCAACTTGATCCTGTTTCCGTCTCCAATGACTTTGATTCGCTTTTGGTTCTCCCGTCGATGTATTTATACCTATTCTGTTTCTGATGGCTGTTGGTTCCGAGTAGAACGTCCTGTCGTTCGTTTCGCTCTTGTCCTGCGTTCTGGGAGGCTGAGCCTCGGACTTTATGCTTTGCCTAGATCCGCGCACCTTTCCTGCCGGTGTTCGCACATACATACCGTTACGTGTGCTTTCTCTGTGGTTTTGACGAGCTGCTTGGTGCAGTGGGTGCTCTTCCATGCTTTTTTTCATTACGCTTTGTCGAATCCCTTCCTGCTCCTCGGTTCTCGTTCGTTTCGCAGCTCGCTAATCTCGTATGTTTATCACCCCGACTTTCGTATAAAGAATAGTATACGTTCAGGCCTACATGCTACGTCTCGTTTACCCCCTGGTACCTTTCGAAATTCAATTCGCCTTCTGGGCACTGCTCCCCAATTGTCCTATGATGGAATCAATGTCGCCGACTCTCCCGGTGTGATCAGGGACCACCCTTGATCGCTTCCTTTCCAGGGCATCAGGGGGATCCGAACGAGGATGGGTGCAACCGACTTTAAAATAGGCTCGCAAGTCCCATGAAGTACGTATCATATGTGATTGGCTTTCGGTCCCTAACGCCTCTTCTCTCATGCTCGCATCACACGACGTGTTCTTGTCCTGACATCGTGTGCAAGGAGGGACGTCCATGTTCTGTAAGCATCCGACAAAGACGTATGTTTTGCCTTACGACACGTACACGACATCCTAAACTTGTCTCGTTATCCTCAGGAAGGAAGAGTCTTGATGTCACCGGATACAGTTCGTGCAGGGACCAAACCTTGCGGATACTCATCTAGAAGCCATTCGGCACGTCATTCAAGCCGATGTCGAATTGAAATCTCTTTGCTTTGCAGTATCTCAATTTCTTCCATCATTTGGGAGTTCCATTTGTTGTCTCCATCAAAAGACCCGTTCCAATCACCTGGCCAGGCGGTACGATGCACGGGAAATACAGGATTATCAGCGTCCATGTCTCGCTTACGGTAGACGTTTTGCCAAGATATAGACGTAAAGCATCGGACAGTCAGGTTCCAAGCAGCCGTTAGGAGTGGAGATCCCAGATGACAAGCACAAAGCACATGGGTGACCGTGGTATTGATGCCATTGAACGTTCGATGGAAAGGTCAGTCAGGCACATTACTCGACAGCGCGCTCACACGAACTTACATCTCCGGCCCACTTGTGTAAGATGAGGATATCCATTGCATAATGACTAGGTTTACGAATCACGATGGCTGATGCGTTGATAGTCTTTGCGTTCCCTGATGCAATCGCACGATCACCATCAGTTCAACAAGGGCTTTATGCAGGGTGTACAAAGTGAAATACTGATACGTGCTGACGGATCTGGATCTCTCTGTTTCCCTGATAGGGATTACAGAAATGGTTTTCCTGTGCTCGAATCGTTTGCATCAGGCACCCACGATGTAGGGTTTAATTATGCTGAGAATGACATCGAAAATGAGCTGTTAATTGAACTGCGAAATGCACATTCGTATAGTTGAGGTGGTAAGCTGGGTCTCGACGGTATTCCTTGGCCAAGCCCACCGTGGACATCGCGGAAGTAGAAGCTAAGTGCTTCTTGTGAGCTCTCACAGTCCTTCCGCCGACATCGGGGTATTGCAGACAATATAAGGGACAAGCTTCCAGGTATGATACGACTTCTGTGTTCAGATTACATCTTACAAAGTTCGTGATGAAATAGCTGTCATTCTGATCGTGAGAGGACTGCAGAAATCACAAATTACGCGGCTTACGAGAACATCATGCGCAGTGGACGTATACCGTACAATGTGCCGGTCAGACGCAGCGGACAATCGCAAGTGAGGCTAATTGAGGCTTCAGCTCTCTCCACGATTCACTTCGGCACTTCTGCGACCATAACCCGAATCGGAGGTTACGATATGATGGAGCTTGATCGGTCAATATCAAATCCACCACTGCTCTAGATACCTCACTTGGGCAATGAGGCCTCAAGGGCCCCGTGCATCAATGCCCTGAGCGATATTGAGCCCTTAACATGTTGTGGCACTCAGCGGTCGGTGGTCAAATATAACAATCTACCACGGTCATAAATGAGTTCCTGTTCTGACGCACGGCGAAGTGGTAAGAACGGTGTTTGTGTGTGCGACCTACTCAAAGTTCCCAAAAGCGTACCGTCAACTTGGAACAAGTGTCGTTGTGGATACTCTTTCCAAGTACAAACATGACCATACTTGATCCGCGAACGATTCACTCGCGAATCTTGAGATGAAATGATCTGCATGCTTATTACGTCCGCGGTTGTATGTATATTGATTCAACGACGACTACGGCGTACCTTGATCTCAAATGACAGCAACAAAGTTCGTGCCCCCACCTGGTCTAGTTTACGATTGAGTCGGAGAAAGGTGCGTAGGCCGACGCACAGTGGAGAATATCGTCTGAGACGAGATGGATTGAAGTTCCGATGCGCAGTAAGCCGTATCAATCTTTCAGATTCCATTCGACGGGACGGAGATCTTGGATGGGCTTGATCTGATGGAGTGTCATGGTTGAATGAAAGTCAAATTTGACGTTCGGTAATGGGCGTCGGCTTGCGGTGGAGACTTGTGTACATTCGTTCTCCTGCCAAGCCGCTCGTCCAACCGCTAGAACAACTTCGCTAACTTACCTCATAGCAAACAGTTAGCTCGATACCGCATTGATTGTTGTTGGTTATCTCACCAGTGACCAATATCAAGACAAGTAACCACAAACGCCCACAACATGGAGCAGCTTATTCAAATCAGTGGTTTCTGTAATGTTTCAGCGAATTGGGTCCGAAATACACGGATGTTAACAAAGCCGAATCGTCACAATGGTTAGGATATACGGTCAGAAATGGCCTGCGTCTGAATATCACACGATAGGTCGTGATATGCTGAAGAATAGCATTGTATTGGCAGTGCAAGTATACGACAAAGGTGACTACGAAAAGTAAACGTAAACGAAAGACTGTGCCAAAAGCTGATTAGCCACTCGCCAGTGGAAAAGACGAAGAACAAGTGGCATGCCCAGCTTAAGACTCCGTTAAGATCCGTATACTCGATCTACAAACAAAACGCGGACCAGCAACGCCTCTCTTTGACACATAAGAGTCTCAAGACGCTAGCTCCAAGAGACCGAGATGACTGTAAAGAGCCAGGAAAACATCCGATCAAACTTATATAGTGATCGCAGATGGTCCGTGCGTATGGGTCACTTTTGGCGCCCAGTATATAGAGTCGAATGACAAGAGAGGTTGTTTTCTTTACGAAAGTTACACCTGTCGGGTTGATATTTGGGATGTTCTCGTTGCCAGACCATTCGTGGTTTCGGTCCACGAGAGAATCTTGAACTATTTGGCAGGGAGAACAACTCCTTCATCCAATGATCGTGCCGATGTTCGTGAGGTAATTGGCACGGCCCGTAATGGAGGGATATGTCTTATTTGTATTCCACTCATACTAGTGTCAGCAGTAAATTCGAATACAAGTTTTCGTTTGACCTATTACATCTCTACTGAGTTTGTAGAATGTGGCGGCTATGCGGAGGAACCGCCATATTCTGACAGCGAAACTGTTCAGAGAGGCATCTGCAACACCAAGGGTATACAGTACAGTTGGAACCTAGGGCAATATATAGACTATACACCCGAGAGAAATCGTCATTCTTAACTAAATGGAATCGCGACTAATGAGGCTACAATCTGAAGTCAAGAATACATCCTTCCAAAGCGAGTACACGAAGCCAACCGTTACAATTACTGCTCACTAACGAATATCGCAGCCATGCCCATGCCAGAACCAATACACATACTTGTGCAGAAGATCTTGCCACCAGTCTGCTTCGCGATATTCAAACCAGTGGCAACTTGTCTCGCACCAGCTATAAACACATGTCAGCACTCATCCTAACTATGTTATCGAATCAAGTTGAGCGGGTAAACTTACTGCAACCCAATGGGTGGCCAATAGCGATCGCACCACCGTTTACGTTAACTTTCTCGAACGGAATGCCGATGGTCTGGATGGAGTAAACCGATTGGCTGGCGAAAGCTTCGTTGATCTCGTAGAAGTCAACTTCGTCTTTAGACAAGCCAGTCTTCTCGAGGACTTTAGGGATAGCGTATGCAGGACCGACACCCATGATCCTTGGAGGGACGCCAACGACGGCTGCGGTGACGAACTTGCCGACGATGGGGAGACCAAGGCGCTTGGCGACTGAACGACGAGTGAGAACGACCGCTGCCGCGCCATCGGAAACTTGGGAAGCGTTGCCTGAAACGATACATGTTATTTAGAAACATAAGAAAATCGATTTCGTATTCACATACCGGCATGAGTGGTACCGTCTTTTGAAAAAGCCGGCTTAAGCTTGCCCAACGATTCGGCAGTGACGCCGTCACGAATGCCATCATCGGCATTAACGGTCAATTCGATCTCCTTCTCCGTCTTCGGGTCTGTCCACTTGACGGTGATAGGGACGATTTCGTCCTTGAACTTGCCAGCCTTCTGAGCAGCAGCGGCTTTCTGGAACGACTTTGCGGAGAACTCATCTTGAACCTGGCGAGAAATGCCAAACTCCTTCGCGACGTTCTCGGAAGTGATACCCATAGGAATAAGACAGTCCTCGGCTTCTTGACAAGAGAGCACCTTCTCGGAGAAGCCATCTGGCTGCGCACCAGCGCCAAAACCAAAGGTCATAGACTCGACGCCAGCACCTTGTAGGTGTCAGAAAACGAAGAATAACGGCTCCGGTTTATGACATACCGATACCGATGTCAATCTGACCTAGGGCAATCTCACTCGCAATCTGGTTTACAGCAGTAAGGCCTGAGGAGCATTGACGGTTGACGGTATTGACAGCAGTGGTGTTGGGAATTCCAGCAGCGAGCGCTGCCATACGCGCGGCTGAAGCACCACCGCCCGGGGGAAGCACGTTCCCGACAGCCACGTCCTCAATGAGCTTAGGGTCGAGTCCAGCCTTTGTGTAGGCAGCACGAAGGACCGCGGACAGTATCTCCTCTGGTCTGGTATCCTTGAAACCGCCCTTTTTGCCCTATGCACGAGAGTTGATACATATTCTAGATATAGAATCTACAGGGCGACTAACCTTTGTAATTGCAGAACGAACTGCAACGACGATGACTACATCATTGTCGCTCTGAGAGAGGACCTTGGACTTTGCAGAAGTACCGGCAAAGTCAGCAATTTTCTGGGTAAAGGAAGACATGGCGACAAGAATGTAGGATGGATACGCCGAAGAGGATGAAGGATGTTATAAAGCCCCGCGTCGGTCGAGGTGAGACCGGTCAAGCTTGGAGTGGGGTAATTGGTCCCATCTATTCACATGCTTTCCACTTGCCTCTTCAGGCAACCCCGACCCCCGATGCTGCTGAACTTGGTCTCATAGGCGTGTTTTCCTCCGGGAACTGCAGTGGCTACAGCTACTCAGTACTAGTACTGCTTGCTTATGCATATGATCCTCACGGGACCGCTGGAGCGTGCCTCTCTTCGGCGTCCTGAGACTGATCTAGCCATATTTCTTACGATGCTCAAGAGAATTATCCAAAACTCATCCCTTTAATAATGTTGTGGCTCTGCCTAGAACACTGTCGCTGTATGCAACTTAATTCTGATACGTAGCTTCGTTCTTAATCTCTCTTTTACTTGACTTGAGTCTTGAAAACACTCGCCATCGTTTTACAACGCCTGCGCCCGCGTGGGTCCAAAAGAGGCAAGTGTTAAGGTTGGCGCCTTTGTTGGTGTCTATTTGGAGGTGGTTCAATGGAGAGCGCGAGTTGTTCTGCTCGTCGTCGTTCACCATCCTACCATCGCATTTCACAACATTCTCGCATTTGTTGCCAGCTTATTCTGCTCCCGAGGTCGCTGGGCGACTAGCTACCAGCACCTCACTCACTCTCTTTCTACACCATCGCTATGCTCGTCCCTCTTTTGTCTTGTCTCTTCTTGGCTGCAACCCGAGTCTCTTCGTCCAGCATCTCCGTTTCCTACCCGTTGGAAGAGCAGCTACCCCCTGTTGCCAGGATCAATTCCTTCTATACATGGACTTTTGCGCCCAATACATTCAAGTCGTTGTCAAACACTACCTTGACCTATACGTCCTCCTCGCTTCCAGCCTGGCTTAACTTTGACCCTTCAGATCGTGCGTTCCATGGAACCCCTTCAGCATCCGACGAAGGCTCTCCGGCTATAGAGGTTACTGCTCATGACCCGTCTTCGTCGGAAACAGCGTCCTCATGGTTTGATCTTCTCGTATCCTCTTCCTCGGCGCCAGTAGTACAACATTCACTAGATGAGCAATTTCGCCTGCCGAATCCATCCTTATCCTCTGTATTTCTCATCGGAGAGAACTCAGCCCTGAGGTCAACCCATCCTGCCCTTCGCATTCCTCCTGCCTGGTCCTTCAGTATCGGCTTCCAGTATGACACCTTCAAGTCTGATGGCGACATTTACTATTCCGCTTTACAAGCCGATGGAACCCCTCTTCCCGAATGGATGTTCTTTAGCCCCAAGTCCATTACCTTCAATGGGTTTACTCCCAAGGGGACAAACACCACCAAGCCATATACGCTATCTCTGGCCCTGCATGGATCGGATCAGAGGGGCTATTCTGCATCTTCTCTTCTGTTTGATGTCGTCGTGGCCGAACACGAACTCTCTCTTGCGACAACATCCCTACCAACTATCAATATCACTGCAGAAACACCCTTCTCCGTCAGCTTGACGTCTCCGGTAGACTTCTATGGCGTCTTATTGGACGGAAAGCAAATACAACCGGCGGAGATCACCACCCTTGAAGTGGATACGTCCTACTATGGCCAGTGGCTAAAGTATGATACCGCCAGTAGAACTCTTTCTGGTCAACCTCCCGATTCTCTAAAGGACGGTGATCAAAGTACTCTTCTACCCGTAACGCTAGCAACCTCCGTCAATCAAACAATCGAGACTAACGTCTCTATTGCTGTCGTTCCATCCTACTTCTCTACGGCGTCTTTACAGCCTATGTTAGTCAACCCTGGTCAACCGGTCGACTTCGATCTCCAGCCGGTTTATTCTAACCAGACGGGCATCAATGGTCAGGATGATGTCAACCTGACTGCTGCGTATGACCCGACTGACGCGGCCGATTTCCTGTCGTTTGATCCTGGATTCGGATTTCTCACTGGGACGGTTCCTACGAACACGAGTGTAAATGGAGTCAACTATACTCACATCTCGGTCACATTCACCGCATACTCTCACATCACTCACTCAACTTCCCATACTACCCTACCAGTCTCGCTCTCACCTACGGACTTTGCTCATCAACATGGACCTTCCCATGGCCTTTCCGCCGCCGCTAAATCCAAACTGATCCTTGGTTTAAAGATCGCATTCAGCGTTGTCGGTGGTCTAATATTCCTCGGACTCTTCCTCGCTGGCTTCAGGAAGTTTGCTCGCGTCCAGGATTCTGCTGTCCAGGGCGAAGAAGGTATGCGGGCTTGGACGGATGAGGAACGCAAGTACTATGGCGTTGGAATTGAAGTCGACGGAAAAACACGCTTAGCTCCTGGTTCAGATGAGAAAGGCTATAGATGGTCCGATTCTGCTGTCCGTGGGATCAATCCCCCATTCGATGAGAAGTACGGTGCACTAGGTCTCACGCGAACGATTACAAGCCCACATCCTAAGGTCCAGAGTCCCGGCGTAATGCGCAAAGGCGAATTCATGGGCAAGATCAAGGTTACTGCTCGTAAAGTGAGCGATACCGTCCGGATCGTCAGCGACACATACAGGCGCGCGGTGCATACGAAGGCTAGGAAACCCTTGATCTCAAAACCTGTTCTTGTCATGACTAGCGATGGAGATGGCTCCATTCCTCGTCGTGTAGATCCATTACGATTTGGACGCTCCGCTAGCCCTCGTCATCCAGATGCGTTACCGTTTGAAGACCTCGATTTCAGTCAATATGCTCCGAGTGGTAGGGGCACCTCCATCATTGGTTCACCCTCCTCTTCAACAGGTGGACGCTCGATCCCACGCCGTCGTGCAGACTTTGGCAGGCCAAAGACCCCCTTGGTCCTGACTACACCGCCTCAAGCACATCTTCATGACCATGACATTCGGAGGCGATCAAGTTTGGACAGTCTGACATCGCTTGACACCGATTCTTCCACGGATACACATGCTGCTGAAGCTGTCGTTCAGCATGCCCAGCGTGCCATGAGTATCCGAAGTGGTCGGAGTGCCGGTGGTGCGTCTGTAGGTTCTGGGAATGGAGCCAAGGAAAGGATGACGATCGTCAACTTTACGAGCGCGAATCGTGTCCCAGTTCCCAAGATGCCGTCATCCTACTTTGAAGGTGACGACCCTCATCCGACTGCGACCGGAAACGAGAAGGGCAAGACCAAGCGCGTTGTTAGTCAGGTCGCGAAGGTCTTTAGGAGCGGTTCTACGTCGTTGCGTGCAGGTGACAAGTTCGAGGAAGATGCTCTCAGTCTCGGGATTTCGTACGTTCAAGCATACGGCGACGACTCGCGTATTCCAGGTACGTTTTGTCGTTCGCTTTCCCTTTCGGGTTGCTGATACCATTTCACATAGGTGATCGCTCATCGGCATCCTATTCCGTGGAGACATCTAGTGCTGGACATGCGGCCAAACCTGTACAGCGGATTCTTGCCAGAATACGAGAGGCCTTCAAGTTCCGGGTTCAATTGGAATCATCTTCGGGCAATGACCTCCATTCTGCCACATTGGAATTGAAGCTCATGTCCGGGGGGAGAGTTCCCAGCTTTGTCCGCGCAGACTTAACGCCGAGTGTGAATAAGACTTCACCACGGGCTATCGATTTCGCCGGTACACCGTTGTCGTCTAATGTTGGAGTGTTGGATATTGGGGTGTTTGTGAGAGGGACGGGAGAATGTGTTGGACGGCTTATTTTAGAAGTCGTTGAGCAGAAGAGAACTTAGACGTAGTTGCTCGGACAGCAATGTTTCCGTGTACTTCTAATATAGATTTGTCTAGGTCCTTGTACTTTATAATCATAGATATGTACTTTACATGTAATCCTATTATAGAAGGCTCGGTGCACATACTACCATACTTTTGAACAGAAGACACAATGAAAACATTATAAGCGACAGCGTCAGCAAGGTCAGTTTTCAACGGCATCATGCATCACGGCCTTCCTTCCCAGCATGCGATACAGCAGTCGGATGAATGAAAGCAAAATGACAGGCCTTGCTTGTGAAATTACCTGCCTGCTCTTAGTGCGTTGTATTGGCGGAATGATGCCGGTGCCTGCTCAGATGGTTCCGTTCCTGTGCCCACGGGGGTTCAACGTGGTTGAGGGCGTTGTACGGCGCGATGAAAGTCCTCAGAGCTACCACCTAGTACATGTAGAAGTAAAGGTATCGTATGGGTATCGAGGGAAGTCACTCACGAAGTCAAGCGTGTAGGACCTTCAGGGAAAGAGCTTCAGACAATTAAGCAGCGTTACCAGCTAGTCGGTCGAGGGCGGCGAATCTTGGGAAGACAGACAAAGGCAAACGTGAGAGGAATTAGTATAAGATCTTAGATCGTATGTACTGGAGAGCAGAGGTTAAGCGAAATGAAGATTGCATTGCGAACGGAAAGAAGCTAGAATTGAGACACGAAGGTCACAGAGTTCGCCGGATGGATGGCTCGTAAGAGCTGGCTCGTTGATGATAGCAGAGGGGTCGGGGAGATAACAGTCACGGATAACACAGACAGTGCCAAAGTGGCCTATTGAGGTGAAAAGCAGGAACCAAGGAACAATCAAAGCACACGCCACTGGCACTGCGGTCCCGCAGCGAAGAGGTATTCTCGGAGAAAGACCACTGCACCCTGGCAAGTCCGCTGATGAAGCTTGAAAAGTCACTTGCGGACCGGAGAAGAGGATGAAGACCCTATGAATGGGAAAACGGACCAGAGGGATGTACGCTGTCCGAGGTTAGAAGGCAAAGAGGCTTCTGAGACATATGGCAACTATCTTCAAAAAGGGTCAGGATGGCTCAAGACGTTTTGAAACAGTCAAGGATTGGCTGGTTGCAAAAGCATATCCGGGGTTCCTGGCAAACATTGCCGGGTGTTCCACGGATATCCTATGGCAGAACTCCGTCCGTTGAACTCTGAAGACTCCTACGATTCCCTCAGGACGCTGATCGTGGATGACGGGAGTCTCGCCTGAAGAGCACATGGCGGGAGTCAGGATATGGACAGGCTTGCGCATGGTTAGTATGAATGTCATACGACTTCGAGACGTCTCGAAAGGACATGACCATACGCACGGTGAGCACGCGATGAAAGTGATGCACGATGAGGATATAACAAGATGGCAGACAGGCGGAGGAGAGTTGGCGGTAGGAGAGCAGGGCACGTGGTGGACTTGGACTTTGATTTCGTGTCTTTCTGCTCTTCCTCATTCATCTCTGCACGCACTCTCGACTGCATCCTTGTCACAAAGCCGCATTGTTTCCTTGAGGCTCGCAGGCGTTCTCTTCAAGCATTGGTATATATATTCTCATCTCTTGCAATCGATTACGGTCCTCATCTTTCTCCAGAACTCCCATCATAACATCCTTCACCATGTCCGACAAGCAAGACGCTCCTACGTCCTCCTCCACCGAGACCAGCGCAGTCTCCAATGGCGCCAGCACTCCTAAAGCTATCATTAAAAACGTTGACATGAGCGACGAGCTGCAACAGGAGGCCGTTGATATTGCTTCTGCCGCGTTGGAAAAGTACAATATCGAGAAGGATATTGCAGCGCAGATTAAGAAGGAGTTTGACAAACGCCATGGTCCTACTTGGCACGTCGTCGTTGGAAAGAACTTTGGTAGCTATGTGACCCATGGTGCGTCCCCTATGTACGACGCGTTTCGACGCGTCCACCGCCTCGTCAATACTCGTGCTAAATATCTCTTCAGAAACCAAACACTTCATCTATTTCTACATCGGTTCTCTCGCCATCCTTATCTGGAAGTCATAATTATCCATCCAACAACCACCGATGCCATGGAGGTCATAGCACCTCGCACGGTAGACTCTTTACGCACTCACCGGACCCTTTGCTCAATTACTTCACTCGGTCGTATTGTTGTTGTATATCCTTCTTCGCTTACGCTACTTATTTCATTCCCCAACTTCCGCCGCAATAATACCAATTGTCGATATACTGTCTGACGAAGTCTAAATGACTCGGTTCCCAGATCTGAAGTGTCAACCACTCCTTATTCGGACAACCAATTGCATGAAAGCTATAGACATACGAGTTTCTACGTGGGATGGTAAACGAAAACACGAACACGAGAGAAAAGACTAGTAGTACTGCAGGATGGTGATGACAACATGGTATGGACCCGACAGTCATTGTGGCAAAGCAAAAACATCAAAAGAAAACCCCCCTGTAGCACGAAGTACAACCCGCTCTAAAGCATAAAAACCCCTCTGGCTCCGTTTGACTACCCTCTTCACTCATCCTCTCCCTATCCATTACAAGAAGGCAGTCAAGCCAGCAGCCTGAACCTTGGCGGGTTGCTCAGAGTTGATCAAGGCAATGAGACGAATCAACTCGGCGCGAACTTCGTCACCAACTTGATCGGGTCCACTGGGATCAAGAACATATGCAAACACTTGCAACAGCTTGTCCAAGTACGGGCTCAACACTTGAGGCTGAGTAGCGAATAAGTGGAAAATAGCCTTGAACACCGGTCGGTTCTCGAGGAAATCGTGCTTGAGAGGAAGAGCATCGAAGAAGACAGGCAGGACTTGGTCGAGGGGGACGGCAGCTGTGTTGCGTGCGATGAGACGAGCGACAGCACCGACGGCATTGTCACGAGCGTTGAAGCGTCCGGAAGGCGAATCTGGGGTGACTGCGAAGAGGGGTCGGAGGGCGGCGAGAAGGTGGAGATATTGAGGTGAGAGGTCCATCTCAGAATGCTCGACGAGGAGACCAGCTGCGAATGCAGCATTGGTCTGAACCTCAGACTCAGGGTCGCTCAAGGCGCGATAGAAGAGATCGAGGAGTGCTTCGGTGTGAGGAGTGACAGCGCTCTTCATACCAGCAATGATTTCGGCGAGACATCCAATTGCAGAAGAGCGGTCGCTCAATGAACGGTTCTTTTTCTGTACCGCGGAGCATGTTAGCATATGTTTCTGAAAATGAATGGTATCAATAATACTTACGTAGTACTTGGCAATGAGTGCGAAGAAAGTGGGGAACGCTTGCGAGAAATCGGGACCGAGAGCGTTTGCGAGCGAAGCGACCAAGTCACCAGCTGATGAGATGAGGATGGAATCGTACTCCGCAGTATCCTCGGGAGCCTCATCAGTCTCATCCTGGTCGGGATCTTGTTGGCAGACAGCCTTCTGGTCTAGAACTTGCATGGCAATGTTGGCGAGCTGTTCAGCCTCTGAAACAGACATTAGCCCTCTATAGTGGCCACGGAAAAAAATAATCGTAACGTACTGCCATTGAGGAAAGCCGGGCCAACCTTGTTGATAGTCTCTGCGAGTCCGATGCAAAGACCAGCTACGACTTTCCTAAAATAGATAAAATGCGTTAGTACATTGTCCAAAAGAGAAAGTCGACAGCGGATGCAAAGATCAGTAATAGATTCGTGTTAGTCTCATAAGCCTTTTTAGCTTCGAAGTGAGCTGAGTTTACGAAGATGTATCATCATAGAGATCATCCGAGAAGCTATCAATTGATGCGAAGAAGGAATCAGAAACTCACTTGTTATCCTCAGATTCGTACATATCCAAGAGAGGAGGAAGAATATGGCCAATGAGCTCCTTGACTCGCGGGTCAAGGTACCCAACGTTGGCTGCACCAGGTTGCCAATCAGAACCACCGCTGAGCTCATAGAATGTCCTCACGATCTCCAAGAGGGAGTCGGTGGCGGACTTCCTGATGCCATCATAGTAGTGAGGAAGTTGGCCCACGAGCTCAACTGTGCACTTCTCAATGTAAGGGAGGAAGTGGTGGCGGGTTGCATTCATGAGGACGCCGATAGTGTCAGCGGCAATCTCTTTTTCGATGCAAATGGTACTGTTCACGTCGAGCAGCTTGTCCAGATCATAAGAAAGGTCCTCGATATCAATTTCGCCGTTAACACCCTCTTCAATTTTTATGGCGGTAGCGGGTGTAGAGCCAGAGGCGAAAGCAGCGACAGTTTCGGGGTTGGAGGATACTGTGCAACGTCAACCAATCAGAATCATGAGTACTTGTATACCGAGGAGTTAAGCACTTACAGGAAGCGGTCTCGTCGCCTTGCTCATTTTGTTCCAAGCTCTGAACGAGAGCAGGGACGACGTTCGGAAGGTAAGGGGCAAACTCGTCCTCGAAGACTTTGGCCATGACACCAAAGAAGAGGAAACTGCACTCTCTGAGCCTCGCACTGCCCAGTTGCATGCCCTCGAACGCTTGCTTCATCATATCGGAGAAGTAAGGTCGGAAGACATCCTTGCCAACGGCCTCAGCGAAAGTGCCGACTGCATCCATGGTGATACCGCGTAATTCCTGCTCTTCGCCTTCGCCAGTGAGAATGAGGAAGTGTTGCAGACGTTCCATAGTAGGCTGGAAGTAAGGCAGGAACCTATCTCTAGAAGCATGGGCGGCGCTGCCGATGGCACCGATGATGACTGACTTGACGGCGATAGGAGCAGTCTCGAGGAGGCCAGCGAGACGTTCCATGATAAGAGGGAGGTACTGCTCGATGACGTTGTGAGAGACCTCGAGGAGGGCGTCGAGAGCGGTGCAAGCAGTTCGTTGAGTCGCGGGGTCATTTACGAGTTGCATGATAGTCTGTGGGGATTATTAGTATCGGAACCGTATTTTCTAGACATTTACGAAACGCACGGGAATGAGAGTGGCGTGCTTAGCAGTGCACTCCTCCTCCAACCACTCGCACAAACAACTGACGGCGATACAGCTGGCCTTTCTGACACTAGCATCCTGATCGCGGAGGCCGGCTTCGACAACAGGCCACACCTGGCCCATAAGAGGAGTCATGAACTCGCTGCAACCCTCGACGGAGACACCGAGAGCGAGCATAGCGCCGCGACGCTGGTTAGGATCAGCAGACGAGAAGTATTGTTGGATGAGTTGGCGAAGAGCTGGGAATACTTGGTTGGGCGGAAGGTTCGTCGCGAGCCCGTCGATGATACGGAGAGCAGACTACAAACGTTGAGACTTTAAAATGTATCTTTCACCAAAGGAAATAAAAAATAACATACCCGGGAGGGAGCATCTTCATCAATATCCTCAGGCTCTTCCTCAGTAGTGATAGGCATGAGTCCCTCCAGGAGGGTAGGTGCCAAGCCGTGGCTTTGAACCTTGGCTCTTTTACTACGATTCATGCGTTGGTAAGGCGCGGTATTGCGCACGAAAAAAAGCAAACACTTACTATTGAATGGTCCAGTTAAGTGCATTGAGAGCTTGAACACGTATCTCGTTATCGTAGTTGCGGTTAGAACCACAGCGGAGGAGGAACTCGACGAGTTGAGGGATGTGGGGTCCGAGAATAGGGATTTCCTAACAGCATAAGATGAGAACTAGTCGAACTACGACTTCGGGAGCGTTAACTTACAAGGATAAGAAGGGTTTCCAATACATCGAAGAGCTGGCGAGCGCCAATTTCATCGCCGCTCTCAACGCATTGACCGATGACGTTGATCATCGAAGGCAGGAGGTATTGGAAAGCTTTCTGTGATCATATTCAGTAACCACATGTGACGTTGAGAAGAGAAAAGACACACGATATCGGCCTTGTCGTCAATATCAAGATATTGAGCGATAGTACCAAGGGCCCTAGTAAGAATTTCAGCTTGTGCAAGCGAAAGAAGACTGCTGCAGAACATACTTGACTGTCGTAACGCGAACTTCGATGCTCTCGGGGTCTTGAAGCAAGCTCTCAAAGAGTTTGAAGAAATTTTGAAGATGGTTCTCGAAGCCCTCGACTATGTTTTCGAAAACGGTGTATAGGATGTAGATACCGACTTCTCGATGAGCAACTTGGGGGGATACACATGTTGATTGGAGGAAGGGAAGAAGTTCGTTCCATGTGCCAAGAGGCATTTCAATGCCGGCGATAGCTGCGATCACTCGCGCCGCCGAGTGACGAACGAGCTTGCTATAAGATTCATGAAATTCATTTCAGTCAGAGACAAAGCATGAAAGAAATAATGAACACGCACCTTGGCTCACTAAGGACAATTTCTGGCAACTTCGTCTTAATCAAATTCCTCTCCTCTTGTGAAACCTGAATCCATAGATCGCCGGAATTTTGGCTGATACGTTTTCGAAGTTCGACAGCTGAGAGTTGGCGAATCTGAAACGGGACAAGAGTAAGATACGCTCCTATTCGATTGCTGAATCTTCTTACAGATTGTTCTGGGGAACTTGCGAGAATGCTTGCAAGAGCAGGAATGCAAGCCGGATGCTTGTAATACTCTCTGTTCAGCTGAGCGGTGGCCTATTGCGAGAAAAATCGGTAGATGAGATTCCACAAGGCTTAGGAAGATGGAAAAGCACATACAGCTTTGAGTTGAACGGTATCATTAGCGGTCGATTGGACAAGGAGATGATGAAGGCCTTGAACGAAATTTGGCTGTTATATTCATGAGAAAGGCTCGATCTTACAAATGGCGAAGTCACCAGAGAGATACGTACATCCATCGTAGAATAGTCGTAAAAGTAGGGTAGAGGGGGGAAGAAGGGTTGCACGTCCAAAGGCAACTTTTGCCAGGGGCGCTTTCCAAATTTTTGGCTGAGTTCGATTATATACAACCACGTGGGAAACTACATCACCATCATTCGAGTTATCTTATCTCTAACTGAGTGACCGTTTCTCCCTCGTCGTCGACAATTGTTTGCCTAAAACCTGTCCTATGTACAGCTAGCTGATATCGCTGCTATTGTTAATATAGACCTTTGTTCTGAAATAGCAATAAAGTTCCTGAATTCTCACTCGAATTGGGTCCAACCCAATGGTCCTCGCGGCGGTATTCTCTACGTAACAGCTGCAAGGAGGCCTTCGCATGTTCGCTGACAACGTGGTTGACCTGCGAGAACACATCTCTGACTTGTGCATCTGGAAGAAGCATGATTTTCATCGCTTCTCCTCGTGCAGCTGGACATGACTGTCTGTGCCGTCTTGGGTTACGGGCTCAACGCTTCATTTGAACTCTCATAATCCTCAGGCAAGTCTTCCCTCTTTTGTATTCTCTCGCCCTGTAACTTCGTCTCATCGCTGGCGGAGTGCCCGGACAGACCTGGAAGGCATGATCGTCTCATTACTACTTATTCTTTTTTATAGATGTAATTGAATTCCTTCGTTTGTGTATATATTGCCAAGGTGCGACTACCTGCGATGTCCACACTCCCAATTTCTACAACGCCCTTTTTCCATACGACAAGAGGAAGTACGAACCCTTCGCAATGCCCCTGGTATCTATTTGGCGCATGCTATGGACTAGCATCATTCCTAGGAAGCCCATGCTCTTGACATCCACCGTCAACCGACCATTGGAGTGCAGTGACGATGGTTTCGCTTTTGCCGATACATCACCCTCGCGTTTCTCCCAATCACCGCGTTCCCTCTCTTTCGGCGTGTACGTCTCTTCATGTCTCGCATGCATGATCCCACTGATGGTCACGTCTAGACCTTCACGTCCCTATCTACCTAGTAAATCTGGTCATCCAGATTGCGTCTTTACTTCATCAGCAATTTGTTGCGCGACTGCGACCTTCAATTTTGCCCCCAATTGTTCTGCTCATCGAGGTTCTCGGCCAATGAGCCGATCCCTCATTGTGGCGTGGAAGCACGTCACTGCCAACCTTCGTTCTCAAGAGTCCTATGACGACGAGATGGAGTTTGTTGCGTCAAACTTCATTCTTGTCGAATCTCCCACTCCTATGCCGACACATCCTTTGATGGTTGATGCTTCTTTGCACCAAACGTCCTCGGAGAGGTGATGGTTTGATGACATATCTTTGAATAGAGCCTTACTATGGACCATTTCGCCGGTTACTTTGTTCCGGATACCTCGCGGATTCATTTGCTCTTATACATCTTCGCACCCCTAGACACCTTTCAGCTCTAGTAGCAGTAGAAAAAAATGAATGGACCCTTCAAGTTCATTTTGAAAGTCATCTCGATCAGGTCAGAGTGAAGCTGACCTCTAATATGAATGCCTCGCAGAATTCGTTGCTCATTAAACTACATTACAGTGCGTTGCATAAAACTCTGCACATTCGACGCGCGAAATACCATTTGGGGTGAAAGCCGTGACGCAGGCATCACGCGGCTGTGCCATGTAGTTCGAAAGGACCCTCCGCCTCAATGATTCTCAAATGACAACCTCCTTCATCGACGTAGTCTGCCTGTCTATAATCCACCTCCATAGCTTGTTTCTGTGAGTTTTTCTCTTCCAGCTTTGGTCCCCTGAAAATAGCTTTGCGCGACATGTTCCCCGTTGTTTGCTGAACTCCTTTGGTCCTCTATCGGTCAATCTCACGCTGTCGAAGCCTCTGCATCAGGAAATCAGCTATGGTCCTTACAGCCCTTATGGAAGGGCAATAAGGGCGATTAAGGGCGATTAAGCATGAAGTCGTAAGGGCTACATCTCTCATGTGTATTTTGGTGTAAGCGTTTCAAACAAAGCTCTGTAAGGGCTGTAAGGGCAACTGCTACTACAATGAAATACATTAAACCCTCAGTCCGACTCGTCGTCAGCTGCCGGCGGAGAGCTTCCATCAAACAGGGGAATAGTGGGACAGTTCCGAGCCACTGTTGCTTGTACGGTAGAAAAGTCGCCGCGTGGATTGATGTAGCGAGCGGAACGAGCTATGAGCTCACCAAATCTCCACTTCATGTAAGTTTTAGGGTTATGGGGACTCTCGTCCGACCCTAGGGCTGGCGTAGGGTCGGGCGCCTAGGGCCCAGGGTTGGGCGGCTGTGGGCCAGGGTTGGGCGTCTGTGGGCCAGGGTTGGGCGGCTAGAGGGCAGGGTTGGGCGGCTAGGGGGCAGGGTTGGGCATCTGTGGGGCAGGGTCAGTGGTTGTGGGCAGGGGCATATGGACGTCGGTGGTGTGAGGCGAGTGTTCCGTCCAGGACGGAAAGAGAGAGCGGCAGACATGGGTGGGAGAAGCGCCGAAGAGATGGGTGCAGAGATTCCCTCCTGGACGGAATTCTGTGGAGATGGATGTAAATGCAGTGAGAACGGGATTCCGGTGGGGCTGGGTGCATGCATTCCATCTTGGAGGGAATTCTGTGTGCATGAGGTTACTGTTTATTGGATGATGAGAATGCCGTTGATCTAAATTGACATGCGGCAGTTGCGAGTGAGAAAAAATGTGACGAAGATGGAATAGACCGAATGAAGGAAGGATGTGATGATGGGCGAGGAGATTAGCAGTGGAGTGTAAATGAGGTGAAGAGGATCTAGGCTAAATGTGAATGATGGAAGGGATATATTGGATGTATTCTAGGCTACATTGATGACGGCGTACGTGAAGAAGACTAGAGTATTTGAAGAAAGTGACGGCAGACAATATGTGAAGAGAAGGAGAGAAAAAGTATATAGATGAAGAGGGAATGAGAGGAAGGGCATGTTCGCAGACTCTCGATCATGGAGACGTATTCTTGCTTCAAGCACGAGATCGACTGGTGGGAGAATGATTGGGTGCTGCGTGAGCGATTGGAGGTGAGTACTGAGAGATTGACCGAGTGGCGAGATGGGAAGATGACGAGATGAAAACAGAAGGGGGGGATCGAGATGATGGGGAGTATTGAGATGAAGAGGGGGGAGGGGTTTGTAGAGGCTGTGGGGCGACTGTGGATCGACGGTAAGTTTGAATGGATAGTTGGTTGAAGGGTTTGAAGAGAAGGACTGACGAGGAAGGAGTAGGGGCTGACGAGTGTATGGAGAATCTGCCTGTCATTCGATGGCGGGTGAATGGGTATGTGGAAGAAGGTGAGTTGTGTGTGCGGATGAGATGTGTATAGAATGCTGATGAGTGAGAGTTTAGGGCCCTTCGAGAAGTGGACGGAGGAGAACATGTTGAAGCCGGCGCGACATGAGGAGGGATTGGAGGTTGGAGGCTGTAAGTACAATTGGGAATTATGAGCGGATGAATGGCGAGCTGACGACAGTGTGCAGTGAAGGACTGGTGCGCGATGAAGGTGCTGAAGTGGATGCTGTGGGATATGAAGGGGGAGATGAAGAAGTGTGAGGAGATGATAGAGGAGTTGGAGGATGGGGAGGTTGAGCCGGATTGCGTGGAGATCAGGCGGTTGGGATGGAAATGTCGATGGCGGTTGGAGATGTTGAGTATGATTACGCAGTTGGTGAGGGAGGAGACTCAGCGACTGGGGGAGAGTCGGCAGGGATTGGGGAGGTTCTTGAAGGCATTGGTGAGGCGAAATGAGGAGGTGGTGAAGAGGGAGGGGGAGTGGCGGGAGACGTGGGCGGAGATGATGAGTGATTATGTGTGGGTGAAGGATAAGGAGGAGTGAACTATGGACATGCACTGTATGATAATATGATGTAGTGTATGTGCCATAAGAGACACTGATCGATTGCCTTAAAAGTGTGAAAGAATGAGAGTATTTGGTTGAGCGACTGGGAGCCGTTGACGACCATAGCATTCTAGCTTCCTTACAGGGGGACTTATACCTATAAGTCCGCACAAGCCGGTGCACCGGCCAGTGCACCAGCTGGTGCCAGCCGGTCATGTGACTGCACCAGCCGGCACCAGCCGGTGCACCAGCTGGTGTAGGCCGGTCATGTGACATAGGAAGCTGGAAAAGCGGCCATATTATGTCAGCATTTCCTTTTTGGGACATATATGAAAGTCATAGCCTTGCACTGCGGCTATTCGTATATCATCTCAGAGTTATCGCGCGATAAGTGGTTAAGGCTGTAAATGCAAAATACTGAAAAAAACACGGTGCGATAGAAAATATGGCCATTGCACAAATATGCAATTTTTATATACCGTCGGAAAGCTGCAGATGAGGAGAGCACAGATCTGCCTTCAGAATCTTTTTCCCATGCCTTATTCAATTGCCATTTTCGTCCAGGCGAATCATCGAGCAGGTCTGCAGGTCTCAGACAAGTGTCCAAGCTGAGATGCCTCCACTTCATGAAAGTTTGATGAGTCATACAAGTCTAGGCCTCTATCTATGACATCATTTATACAGAAAAATGTATTAGAATCAGGGTTAGGAAGCCGTCAGGGATTAGGGCGAAGTGGACGAGCGTCTGTGGAGGGAAAGCCTAACCTGGTTGATATAGAGAATAAAGGAGTTGAGTAGTTACAAAGTATGCATGCGGATTTTGTTGAAGTGGGGAGATGATGATGAGATATATGGTAAGATGAAGCAGAGATACGAAATTGGACAAGTATGCAGGATGAGAGAAGAGGTTGATGTGAAGTACGCATGCGGATTTTGTTGAGTGTATGGGTCAAAGTACAGATAAGATATGAGTATGGACTCTGGTAAGAGCAATGTCGATGGAGTGATTGAATTGATGGAAGCCATGCATTAAATTGAGAATGTAAATTGGTGAAAATTGAAATGGTGCATGTACGAGGTGTTGACACAATCCGTGTGCAGATTATGTTGATGCGGATACAAGTAATATTATTATAGACGCAATCTGTGCGCGGAATTCATCTCTCCATACCAAATCCATATGCGGAATTCATCTCTCCATACCAAATCCGCATGCGGAATTCATCTCTCAAGGCCAAATCTGCACACGGATTTTATTGAATTGATAAGTGATGATGGAACGAACATTGGAGGTTGTCAGATGTGGTAGTTGATTGGTGGCAGTCTTGACATAATTGTGAATATCTGTGTCTCACTAGCAGTAGATAGCGTGGGTCACCGAGAGATGGTTAAAGAGTGTTATATTTGCTCATATATACTGTATTATGTATAGGACAGAATGGATAGAGATATATATATATATTCTTTGGTATTGCATTATACCCGTAGAGGCCGAATGTGGTTAGGGTTACATTGATGGCGATGTGGGCGAAGGATGGAGATGGTGAAGTTGGACGTGGTGAGGAACTGTTGAACTGACCTTCACTGATCTTGACCGATAGGAGATGTCAGGCAAACGAAACACAGGCAAAGCGAAGAGCAGGAGGCGGAGTAGTAAAGGGAAGATGAAAGCGAGGAGAGGCCGAAAAGAGGTATGTCGGATAGAGATTTCAGTGGATAGAATGAGTACTGATAGGAACGGTGAGGACAGATGGAAGAGATTAGAGAAGAGATAGTGGAGAGTGTGAGCAGAGAGATGATGGAGTCAGGAGAGGTAAGTAGATGAGGATTTGTGTGATTGATTGGAGAGCTGGGGCTGATTGATGAGAATGGATGCAGGCAGAGATAGACGGCGGACAGATAGCAGGGACGCCAGAAGTAGTTGATGCTCGAAAGATGGTGGAGAAGATAAGGAAGAGACGGCAGAGGGTTAGGGTTAGGTTAGGTTAGGGTTAGGTTAGGGTTAGGTTAGGTTAGGGTTAGGTTAGGTTAGGGTTAGGTTAGGGTTAGGTTAGGTTAGGGTTAGGGTTAGGGTTAGTTAGGTTAGGGTTAGGGTTAGGTTAGGTTAGGTTAGGGTTAGGTTAGGGTTAGGTTAGGTTAGGGTTAGGTTAGGGTTAGGTTAGGTTAGGGTTAGGTTAGGGTTAGGTTAGGGTTAGGTTAGGGTTAGGTTAGGTT